AAAAAAAAACTCGCGACGGACTACATGAATGCTGTGCTTCGCACCGCATTAATAATTAGTTGTGCAATGCAGAAAAAAGCTTACTTAGTAATTCTTGTTCGTTTTCAAATACAACATCATAGAAAATTTCCATGTAAAAACGCTCCACGTGAAACTCAATAGAAATATATAGCCGAACATGAAATGAGCTTTTCCCTAAAATCCATTTAATCATGTTTATAAAATATTCATGTAAAAAAAATGAACAAGTTTCGTTGTGAGAATAAAGTTAAAATGGTATGCAATTAATTCTTTAACAAATTTGTAGAATATTATTAAAAATCTTGACCATTAGTTGTTCTACCGAGTTGAAACTTCAAAATAGATATTTATAAATTAAAAAAAAGCTTAAGTTGATATCTAAATTATTAAAATGAAGCAAAAAATCTTTTAGATCATGAATTTTATCTGTGGTAATAGATCGCCTAAAACGTTACCTGCGAGTGCAAAATGTCCTTTATTAGTATGCATTACTTGCTTGCTCGCTATTGGCATCATTACTATGTTAAGTACAAAGGCTACTCGTGAAAGCTTGTCTCCATATATTCTTACTTCATTTTCATTTACTCCAATAGAAAAATCCGTATGCAATTATACTTTACCAACATTCGAAAGTTTCATCTGTGATAATACTAGAATTGATCGATTTCCACAAACATCAACAACGCCATCAAACAATTCATTTGATGTTTATCGAAAAAAAAATCTTGAAAATTACTGTTCGATTGTACCCATTCCAAGAGGTGGCTGGACGAAAGCTACAGCATATACCGAAAAAGATATTGTATTTGTTATCTTTACAGCTGCTGTATTTTTTCATACAAGAGCAACAGCTGCTCGTGATACATGGATTTCACGTATAACAAACTATTATTTTCTTAGTGCAACACCTTATCCTTATTTGCCTGTAAGTGTTGTTCCTAATGCTGGTGAAGATAAATTATCCAATATGAAGAAGCTTTTTTACGGTCTTCAATTGATTTATCAACAACAAATGAAGCTTTCTGTTTCAAATCGACAAAAATGGTTTTATATAGCCGGTTGTGATACATTTATTCTTCCTCATCATTTACTCAAACGTCTCGATGGTCTCGATTATACAAAGCCTCTTCTAGTTGGTGGCCATTCAGGTCGTATTACATGTCGAGGAGATATAAATCCAAAAATTACAGTTGAATTTCCATCAGGTGGTGCTGGATTTTTCTTAAGTATGAAATTATTTGAAATGATGCAACCAAATTTAACGAATTTCGTTGAAAATGTTTGGCCACATACATCTGAAATATCTGATGTTGCACTTACTTGTCTTGCAGCTCAACTAGGTGTTCGCATAACAAGAAGAGGAGGCTTTTGGTCAAACGTACCCGATTACATGCTTCGTAAACATGGACGTGCATCATTTCATAGGGATCTCGAACCAAATGGTTTTCACTATGTAAAACCAGATGAAATGTATGCATTAGATGAATTTTACGTTAATCAATATATGGATCGACTGATTAGTGACAGAAATTGGAATGAATTAATTCAATTTACAAGACGATTTGTTTCTAGTCATTATGAATTATTGAGAAAAAAGAGACGCGAATGCACATTACCGAAAATTTAGAATAGGATCGAAGCAAATACAGGATAAATTGTACAACTTGTAACTCGAAAAATATTATGGTAAAGTTTTCTATGATTTTTACATAGCAGTGTTCAGATTTCCAAAAAAGAAAATTTTGATCCTGATATCCCCGAAACTTTGTTATTACAAAAAATTTGATAATGCTCGAAATTGCCAATATTCGTAATTTCCTTTTTCAGATATCTGAGCATACCTCATTGATAGATAAATTTTTAACTTAAAATATCTGTACGTAGTCGAATTATAAATTTTAATCCAATAAAACTTCAAACGAATTTTTATTAATAAATCAGATTATAAGTGGTGAGAAATATAAGAACATCAACGTCTGACAATGTAACACATAGAGTTCGGTATAACTACCACTTTGCAATAGAAAATGATAAATCATGTAGTTATGTTGTGACTTTCAATGCAACATGAATAGCAAATAAGAGACTTTCAAGCGTTTCGGTTTGAAGATAGAATCTATAATTTAAAAGTCTTCTAATTATTTGTGATAAAAAATATAATTTTTTTGCTAGCAGCATACGATTCAAATAATAAGATATATGCCGAATATATACGTTCCCAGATGAAATATATCAAGCAATATTATTCATACACTATTTTTTTTGCTTGTTGAATTTCGATTATAACTCGTAATGAATACGACTCGATGATATCTCAAGAATGGTTTCTTTCCAAATTTTACAAACTTTCCTAGCTCATTTTTCTGCTTGCTTTATATCGTGATTATAATTCTTCAATTCATGTTCTTCTATCAATAGAAGTAAAAACATGAGCATAACCGTCAAAAATTTTACTCGATAGAAAATAATAATTTTATTTTCGATTAATATTGAAACTATTTATGATTTGCACATCACATACTTGAAATGGTTCATTCGATGACTGCGTTGCATTGAATGTAACATAACGAAATGATTGTAGTTCAGAAGGAAACTGTCTTGAATCGATGACGAACCTTTGAAAACTTGTAACAGACATTCGATTACCATTCATAAAAATACGTTTGAAAGATCGATGTGATATCCACCATATACCATCAAATGATACTTGCATTTTAAGACTACTCTGTAAACGTTCACTATGACCAATAATTAGTGAAAATACAATGTGAGATTGTATACGTAAAAAGTCAATAGCAAAAAAGTCACCCTTCTTCACAAATCCATTTGGACGCCAACATGTTTGTTCATCATTATCAACTGCTTTCAATGTATTATAGTTAACAAAATGCGTATAATTCGGACCATGAGGAACGTTTCGATATGTTGCTCTATCTGGATCTAATGTAATATCAAATGGAATATTTTCAATATCAACAGGTAAAACATTGCTGTAGAATATAAAATCATCTTTAGAACTAGGTGATCTAGTAGAATATGGAAATCGGCGGTTTTGCTTTCGAGGAAAACCAACATTCATCGTTAGTTGATTTAAACGTAGCGAATATTCAAGTTTACGAATAGCTAGAACAGAACTTGTGTGTTGTAAAGAATAAAAATCCTTTTTAGATGAAAATGCCATATCAGTCTCATTAATATCTGTTGGTGATGAAACAAGATCTACTATCAATTGTGATGGAATATCATTGAGCCAAATAGAAAAAAATAAATCACTGAATGCAAGTAATTCTAAAGATACAACGAAAAAACATGATAATCTATTCGAAAAACTAAATACCTGGATTAGTCTGCAAATGCATTCTAAGTAATTGAAGATGTCGTTGAGCATGTTCACGTAGAAAAAGACTTCCACAACCAATCCATGAAAATCCTGTATGTAAATCAATCCGAGAATCCATAAATGTCCACAACAGATTGTTATAATATGTAACAACATTCGTCACTGAATGCAAAACATTTGGATCTGATCGAAAACTAGCAATAAGTGTTTTTATATAATGAGATGTATTCCAATCATCATCAGCATAAAAGCAAACTAACGTTTTAGCTTCAGCACACGCTTGATATTTTGCTTCATCATACATATTCACATAAGAATTAATAATACGAATCAAACCGTTTGATTGATTACTTGTCGAAATTTCATTGAGAGTAAGATTGATTTCTGGATTATTGTTCCAAATAATAATTTCTTTAAAATATTTGGTGCTAACATAGTGTTGAACTGCTAGTTGCACTCTTGATAAACGTTTCCAATGAAGTATAATAGCAGTTAATTGATATTGTTGTTCATGTTCAGCTTCAAGAATTTTAGTTTGTTTTAAAGCATCAAATATTGCATTTGCATCAATAACGTAATTTCGATTGTCGCTTGTACTATCAATATTAAAATTAAATATTCCTATGGTGAACATTAACAACAAAGATACTGCTATGTAAAAAGTGGTTTTTCGTTTTAATCTTTCTAACATCGCCCGACGAAAATATTTGCATACATTACTAGCCATTTCTTAGAGGAATATTTCTATGTAAAACAAAATTCGAGCTAGTAACCTAGAAGATTGCTAATGCTTGTAGATTGAATACATAACTGATGTTAAAATAATAGTTTTTCACCGAGTATTTTTTTTTGTTTCAAAGAAAGGTCCAAGTTGGTGCCGGTTAACAATTATAGCATCAAATTCATATTGTCAATGGTACTAGATAAAAAGAAAAAAAAAACGCCAATGAAATGATTCAACGTCGAGTTAGGACAGTACAAAGCACATTATTCTTTTTCCATGTTTCTCATAATACGTCTTCGAATATTACCCTTGTGAATTGACAATAGCTTGAAAGTCATCTTCTGTTGAAATACTATATTCTTTTCAAAACTCTATACTTTTCATACGTTACAAACCGGTGAAAATATCGAATTTCGATAAATACATTTCCTTGCAAGAAATTTAAAGTGATTTGCAACGTTTAAGCTTTGTATGAAGTATATTTCTGTAGAAAGGACAGCAGTGCTCTATAAATCTAGATTATGTGAAACGTGCTTTAAATAAAATCATAGTGACTTGAATTTTGTTATTTTCTTTGGAATCATGATGCGTTGGTGTAATATACTCGGATGACATCTATATAAAATTCCAAATTCATTGCAGTATAAAGTTGAATAGACAGGTCCTTCCAGATTGAAATTCATCTCACGAAATGAATTATTTGTTACAGTAAACTAACAAGATTGAGTTCTCGTAAGAGTTCATAATAAATATACGATGAGCTAGCCGCGATCTCAGACAAATAATTGTTTGTCTTGGGAATATACTCAATTGCAAAAAATCGAATGTTCCTATAGCATGCTAAAGTATGCAATAAATTAGATTTTATCAATAAATATGCTGCATGTAACGACTACTGATTCAATGACGACGGTCGATAAATTCATAAAAATCAAATGAAGTAAGTATTAGAGTATTTGTAAGATTTTCATAATTTTCTTTTTTTTAGGAATGTTGAACATTGATTCATTTGTTTTGATACATATCAGAGTAATCCACACAAGTAATTATTTTAAATGAAAAATATGCACATTGACTTATAAATTGTCCGATTCTTGTTAATGCATTACAGCAAGGGAAAATTAGACATAAACCTGCTGTAGTCATTTATTAAAGTGTAAAATGATGAGCTATTCTTGATTAAGCAGTAAAACACGTTCACAAAAAGATTTGAACTAAAAAATGTGAAAAAATGAGAATAACGACAGTGTGTGGATGTGCATATACTTGAAGTTCGTATCTATCTACGTTGAATGAATGTTTCTACCTGAATGTAAACTGGAGTCTCTTAGCAGAGAACAATGAAAATCGATCAGAATAATGTTGATTTCTATTGAAAAATTATGGATAATATCGGGTTGGGAAGGTAAGTAGCAATGAGAAGCTTGTTGAAAAATATGTATCAAAAATCAAATTTCATGGAATGCTTATCATGACCACTTGTTTGAATTGATAGTTTTAAGATTGAAGTCAAAATAGAAGTTCACTACTCAGTTGTTCTACTTATCTAGTTTCGATCTCCTGACCTATTGAATGAGCCAGAGTTGAGAGTTATCGGAAGGAATAATGTTTTTATGGGATGCAAAATGTGATGTAATTGGAAATGAGACAGCAAGTACAACAAGTTTCTTTGAGATGAGTTGGCTTAGAAAAAGAAAAAAAGAATGTTAGCAAAGAAGAAAATGAGAGTGATTCATGCCCTGATGTAAATTTCCATGTTACATAGAAGAATTGCTGACCCAGTTTTTCACGATCCACAGATCACTTTTAGAATTCGTTCAAGAATTTCACTCAGTATTTAACTGTTTATGATCCTGTATGTCTGCCTTGTATGAACCAAATCATTAATTGTATGTTTATTATTTATTCTTCGTTTTAAAATATACTTTTGTTTAGTTATTACTTAAACACCTATGCTTCAATTAATTTTTTAAGATCCTAAAACTTCATAAATGCTATAATTGATACTTAGAGTAGCCATGTTACTAGCAAATAGACACTTAAATTACTGTTACGACTGCATTTGATTTTTATAATTCATGAAAAACAAAAATAGATTAAGGAAAGAGAAAAATAAAGATCTTCAAATTTTGATATTTACTAGCTTATCAACGGATTATATAGAACAACAAGTCAGCCTGTGTGGCTTATACAATGTTAAGATATGTATCGAACACAAGACTCCGTGATTTATGGCTTCGATAAATAATTTACGAGTCAGGTAACACGAAACGAAAATAACGTTTCACGATTCGTTTTTTTCTCTTTATGACTTTATAAACACGTGTATTATGAGAAAATCGACGTGCACATCAGTCCTTGAAGAAAGCGCGGATAAACGCATTCAAGTATTCATACGTTGATGTGTTCTATGATTAGTAATAGCAATATCAACAATATACATGGCTTTGTTGCTCCAGGTTGGGAGAATGTTCGCTGTGTTTTTGAGCAAAATATAGTTGACGGACTTGATATTGGTGCCAGCGTATGTGTTTATCATCAAGGGCAATGTGTTGTCAACTTGTATGGTGGCTGGAAAGATTTAGAAAGAAATAAAGAGCCATATACACCGGATACATTACAACTGGTTTTCTCAGTATCAAAAGGTATTATGTCTGCAGCAATAGCGTTATGTGTAGAAAGAGGTTGGCTTGATTATGATAAACCTGTCGCCCAATATTGGCCAGAATTTGCTGCAAATGAAAAACAGGTAACCCATGTTTTGAGACGAGCATATCTATTTGCAGTATGAAATGCTAATGTTTTCCGTTTTAAGAATATAACAATAGGTGAAGCTTTATCACATAGAGCTGGTGTGCCATTTTTTGACGAACAACTAACCATCGACGATGTATGTAAATGGTCTCGAATAATTTCTCTATTGGAAAAACAGAAGCCGCATTGGAAACCTGGAACAGAACACGGATATCATACATTCACAACTGGTTTTATTGGCGGTGAACTGATTCGTCGTGTTGATCCACATCATCGATCCTACGGACAATTCCTTCGTGATGAATTAGATAATGAATTTCTTGTGGGCGTTTCCGATGGTGAGATTAAAGCACGTACGGCTCCGCTTCTTCAAAAGGTAAGTAGTTGGTCACTAAATAGTAGAATCGAATAAATTTTTTCTTGAGAAAAAAATGAAAGATTCTTTTATAAATAGAGCTCACTTTCATTCTTTAAAGATCACCGGCAATCCACCTACTCTACCTTCACTCAGTGTGTTTATTAAAAAGGCGTTAACATTAAATGGTGCCTTTTCAATTCTACCAGAGAATCCTAATGATCTTCCTTTTAACAAAGCAAAACTTCATCAAGCTGAAATTCCTGCTGCAAATGGAATTACAAATGCGCGAGCTTTAGCACGAATATATGCTCGTCTCATGAGTGATATCAATGAAGATGGTCAAATAGAACAACGTCTTATCAGCGAAAAAACATTACTACAGGCTATAAAAAGTGCTACACCAGTAAATGAACCTGATCTAGTTTTGTTTGGCATGAAATCAGATTTTGCACAAGGCGGTTTTCGCCTTTTTGATGACTTTTTCAAAGCATCTGGTAGTTGTTCATTCGGTCATAAAGGTAATATCTATGTGAAAAGCTCATGTATCTTTCTTTTTTTATCAGCTATATCATGAGCATAAGAACTTATTAGGAGAAAAAAAGAAATCGGTACGTATTTTGAATTTTATATTTGTTTTTTCATAGGTATTGGCGGTAGTTGTGCATTGGGGCATGCTTCACTGAAATTGTCTTACGCTCATGTTTGCAATCAACTTGACTACAGTCCAACAGTTTTTGATCAGCGTTCAGTTCGTTTACTTCAAGCGATCGAGAAGATTCTTGATTCTCAAAATAATTCGTCTCTATCTTTATCACATGTAGATCCAATTGAACAATCTAAACAGGCTGACTTATAATTTGGAATTCTATTTTACTGTAGGTGTTTTATAATTTTAGTCTTAAATAAATAAATGAAAATGAATCTTCCTTTTTTTTGACAGACGCGAGAGACTCACACAATTTTACAATCAAGACATACAATTCGCATTCATTTCTATAGAAACCATTTGCGAAAAATTGGCTTCATAAATCGTCAGCAATCATTTTGTTTAATATATTGAAATATTTGCTTATTCATACAGATATTTTATATAATCAAGAAATAATTAGCAATTTATGCTTTTAACAATACTTCATTCTATGCAATTAGAATTATATCAAATCATTTAATAGTCTAGATATTTTTACAGTTGCATATCTTATAGCGAGTTCTATGAAATATCATTTTAAAATTTTCTTTCACCTTGTTCAATTTCTTAAAAATATTAACTACAAAGTTGATGCATCAAAACAATTTTCGTGACTATAAACATGCGTGGGATTGAAATAAATCAGTTGTCGTGAAATTTAAGATGAACAGTCAATTTATGCATGTTATATAACATCAATATATAAGTGCACATTAGTTATGTAGCTATCATTTCTTATTTGAGATAAAAAAATAGTCCAGTATTCTCTAGTTATTCTATATTGTATATGCTTCCATATGAATTTGACCCTCTTGTAGAACCACTCTGATAGGGATTAATCAAAGTAAGAACATGTTCTTTATAAAAACTTTAAAAAATAAATTTAGTAAATCATTTTATAAAAAGTTCGAAGAAAGAAAGAACTTTAACTTTAACGCATATTCACAGCGTATATTATTATTGCATGCAACGAATATAAATATATTGAACTTGGCAAACCGCACATGTTTCCAACTAAGATTAAGATAGTCCATGGGAAAGCATTTAAGTTACATGCACAAAGCAATCAGACGTACTTGAACATAGTAGAAAAGAGAACGAATATCTATTCGAGCATGGCAAAGAAAATACACCATCCAATGAAGAACTGTCAAATTATATGAGATTCTATAAGATTATTAACTGATTTTTCTACAAAAAATATCACACAAAAAAATAATTATCTGCCTAGTACTCCATTTCAGCGAAAAGTTTAATCAACGACAGGGTTCATATTCAATCAATGTCGTAGACATGCAGTTTAGCATAAAATAATTTCGACGTGATTCCATAATATAAATTGATAACTAGAACGAATTGTGACCATCTTAGTAGTTTTTAATGTTCCAAATTTTTAAAGTAAAATTTACTTGTAAATATTACAAATATGTTAGACCATTTAGTGTTTCATTCAATGAGCAAGTGAAGTCATTTAATACTGTTTCGAACAATGCATCGTAATTGTTAGCCATGAAAACATCTATTCATACGAAAAAACTAATTCTACAGAATGAATCGTAGAATGTCGGACATTCTTTTAACATTCAAAACTCAGAAAATAGTTGATGGAAATTATTTATGCTAATCAAAGATTGGTAAAAAGAATCAGTAAATCTTATGATGGCAATTGATAATCTAGATTATACTTATTTTTATTGGGATTTTTTTTAATAATAATCATAATAATAATAAAATACAATTCACCCGAAAGATGCTTTTGTTTATCAAATAATACAGAACATCCCTTATAGTTTTCTTTCTTCCATAGTGAATAAATATAAAACAGAAAACCAACGAAATCAAGAATATCTGAACAAAATACCAAAATTTTAAGCAATCGGTCTAAAATTTTGATAAAACGATTGCGTTACATCCATCATTAACTCTTTTGCTGTTTCAGGAAAATCTTCAACAAAAGCTGATGGTGAGCCCCCATAAACCGCTAAAAATAATCGAAAAACTTCATATAATTAAAGAAAAATCTTTAATACACTCACTATATGATGGTATAACTGTTTCAGGTGGAATAACAGTATTGGGTAAAATATAAGAACAATCCATGATAATACAACGTCGTCCAATAACACTATTTTTTCCAATGTGCACATAAGAGCCGATTGTAGCTGCATTAATAACACATTCATCTTCGATAAAAACATGATCCCCAATTTGCATTGGAAAAAAAGCAACACCTTTAGCAAACTTTTTAAATGGTGGTCGAATCACACATTTTTCACCAATAACACAATTCTTTCCAATTTTAACAGCAGCTAAATCTCCACGAACAATGCAATCAGCCATAACGATTGTTTTACCTTGAAGTACGATATTTTGTGAACCACACATTATTGAACGACGACAAACTTTATTGCCTTTTTAAAGAAATCGATATATTAATATTTTATAAACAAAACTTTTCTTTACCTGACGTTGTTTCAATAAAATCTGATTTTTTATAGAAAATTTCTGCTAGTTCCATCTAAATCACAAAATTCAAAATTATATTTACATGTGTATATCTATTTGTTCATATGTATATATTTAAAAAATCAAGCCAATACAAATCAAGAAAAATCACATTCGAAATAAAAGTTCTCCAAAAGTGTTCTCTTATGCCAGTAGTTGATAACTTTTATCCCATAATTGTAATAAACCTAAAACCGATGAAATCGTTCCAGCAAAACCTTGTAAACCACTATGCAAATGAACAATACTCAGGTTCGACAATGGAATATAAAGATCACATAAGTTTTTAACCGTATCAATAACTAATGGTCTATTGGCCCAAAAGATATGTGCACGTCTTATTAATGATGTATCGTGTTTTTGTTGAAATTGATGATGCTGTCCAACAGCAAACGATGCTTGTATTTCATAATAATCACGTGTTAATGCTAATGACAACCAGAGCAGCCATACTTGATTGAGATATTGTTGTAAGCGTTGTGGATAATTTAAATAGATAATTTTAAAACGATGAAGTAATAGAAGATTGTCAAATAACATAAATAATCCTTGACAAACAGCAATTAAACCAAACAATGTTCCAATACGTTTATTTCTTATATGAAAACTGTCCAGGACACTGTTTACATAATCAACAAAACGTCCCAGACGCATACCTTGTAAAATAAAATAACAAATAAGTAATGAAAAAAAACAATTTCTATCTCTTATTTTACCTTTTCGAGTTAAACTCATGACTGATTCTAAGTTTTGAAATATTTCGACAAGTCGTTCACCATTTACGACACGCCGTTTCTTTATATAATACCATGCAAGAAAACGTGATGCATATTGAACGGTACGATAGATTTTATCACGTCCAGCTGTGCGTGATGTAAAACGAATTACTTCGTCAAGACAAATTTTTGAACAAGACATCTGAAAAAAGATTTATTTATCTAATTTCATAACATAATCTGCAATGAAAATTCGTTCTATTATTTTCGACAAAACGTTCTTAACAAAATATTCCATTGAAATCATGCATAGTTCGATTCGTAGATATATAAAAATATTGCAGCCAATGAAAGACTTTTTCAAAATCTACATATCTATTTGTTTTCTTCAACGGAAGAAAATTGCGAATCGAAATACATGTAGCTAAACAAATCTATCAATTCTAAATGTACCGATTGTATTTTGAGAAAATTTATTTATTTCAAATTAGAAAACATTTTCAGATGTATATTCTGTAAGATTAGCCAGAGTCTCAATTATGTATTCATCAAGTAAACATCATTCTGTTTTAGTCAGTCAACGTAAATACTTCGTTATGATATAAAACAATCAAGAGATTATTATGAACAATAATTCGATACAAAAACTTATCTTCTTCGAAAGACTCGACACTGAAAAACAAGAATAGTAATCAAATGATTAACTGATTGAGGAGTAGAAGATTTTTGCAATACTCAAAAACGCTTACAAATAACTGTTATGTAAAACGAATTGGTATCAATTATTATCTATACCGATAAAATGAACTTTATCATCAACAGTTATATATACGAACATTTAGTATCGAGGCAAAAGTAACTGTTTGTTACAAGGTTCAACTTTTCGATCTCCATAAACAATTGTTTTTGTACTGCAGGATGACTCAATTACCGATATATCTATAGAAAATTCGGTTAGGTCTTCATTCTATTGTCATTGGAAGAAATATTTATCATCATAATAATATTCTATGAATAAAATTAGTCTTTTCAGTAGATAAGAAATTCATTGTCTAACCATTAACATATCAACAGTATACGTAGATACAAAAGAATCTTTTTTTTCTGTGATTGATGGTAGTATTGCAGTGTATGTATCGAAAGGTGACAAAAATAGTGTGATCTAGATAAAACGAGATATAATTCACTAACTAGTTCTTTTGTAGAAATATGGCCTTTATATTACCGATGTATGAGTTACTTTTACATTCGGATCAATGTTTCGATCTTCTTTCAAACGCAGCTAACCATCTACTTAAACTAAGCAACAATATGAACTCAGCAGTTTTCATAGTTTTATTACTTAAAAAAATGATCAGCTTGCTACACTCAAAAATCACAAATTCTTACCTTCTTATTGTATCAATTATTAATCATAAGATTTATTCGAATCGAATGGTACAAAAAATACTTGTACAATAATATCTAAAAGATTCATCATCAGTGTATTTTGCGATATATCGCTAAAATTAAAAAAACACTGGCAAAAGAGTAAAGTGACCATCCGTAGCCACATTGAAAAAAAATAGTATGATACAAACAGAAACAAGTTAGCAAAAAGAAAAAAATATACAACAGATCATACTATTGAACATAATTTATTTTTGCTTCAAATAGTTGAGTGTGAAAATCTTTTTGTCGAATAGATGAATTAGAATCATAATGTGGCATTTTTCGTATATATTCAAATGGCTTTGCCTCTGCTCGTAATTGATATTTTCTTAACTTATCACATGCTAAAATAAAAGTTTAAAATAATAAGATATTAAAAGTTTTTTTTTAAATCGAACTTTGATTTAAACCATTATCAACTTCAGTTATGATTTCATTGCCATTTAAAATCTTGTTTTTCAATTGTATATCAATGTTAGGTTTATAAGAATAATTCATTTGATCATTATTAATTAAAGTTATTGAACAGTCATTTGTTCTAAATTGATGAATATCTTCACGTAATTGTTCAATAGTTGTTTTCATTTGATTTAATTGTTCGAGATTAATCTGTTTATTTAATTGAGAATTAAACAATCGACGTTGTACATCGGCTATTTTTAATCGTTGGGTTTGTTTAAATGCTTTTAGTTTCTCTTCAACTTCTGACTGGGCTTGCTTTAATAGAAATAATTTTTCTTCATAAACTTTATCTAATTTTTTCATTTGATCATTGAGCCAATCATTTAAATCTTCTAAAAAATAAAAATAAGATACTTTAATTTAGCAAATCGAAAAACAAAATACAAACCTTCAGCAGATGTAAACTGTTCATTGAATGACATTTTTTCAATTTGTTCAGTTATTCTATTAAATTCATCACACTGAATATTTGCTTGGCAAACTAATTGTTCATTATGTTGTAAAAGATGTTCAACACATAAATGCTAGAATAAAAAAAAGAACTTTAAAATAAGCATTACACCTATTGTTGTTTTCAAATTTTACCTGTTGACAGTGTAGACAAATGGCGATTGGACTATGTAAACAGCTAGACGTCTGGCAAAGTTCCATATAGATATGTCAATGTAAGAACTAGTTGAAGTTATTATTCGACAGAAAAACTCTGTAACGGTAACACCAAAAGTCTGACTAGGACGTAGACGAAATCATCTAATTCAATTTTTATATCCAATTACAAAAGCCAACTGAAGAGAGCGCTCTAGTCGACCTTTTTTTCAAGCACTTGCCAAGACTGAGCTCAAGATGAATTCATAGTGCATGACTTTCTTGCGCAAGACAAGCGCTCGAATGTTTGCATCAGTTAAAAGAAAGGCAACTATAGATTTTTATTAAAAGATGAGTTATTTCGAACGTAAAATTGAAAAATAATTGAAAATTTTCTTTAATAACAGAAATGCTTAGATAAAAATTCAATCTCATGAGCAAGAATATCTGGCGATATAGCAAGAAGTTTAAGAACTTGAGCTCACCCAAAAGGCCTTAAGTCTTATCTCAAGATGTGTCCATAGCGCATGACATTCTTGCTCAAGATGTTTATGTTTTTCATGCGCATGTCAAAAAAAGTTCGACTAGGGCGCTAGTCATATATAGAAAACTTTCGTTACCCATCATCATAAACATCATACTACTATCACAACTCTAAGAACTAAGGTAGTGTGCACATTATGATCAAAGAAAACTGTTCAACTGGACTTATAGAAATGTAATTATATTATATTTTTCGTAATATTTTGCTAACAAAAATTATTATTGCGAAGCTGAGAAGTGATTTTCGTGGGGAAAAAAGACTTGAATCATGCGTTACTATCAAAGATATGTTCGATGCGTCACATCTAGAACAAAGTTCATGCAACATATGCACTACTATGCCACCAAAAGAGTATTGCTATTTTTTGTTGGAGTTTCAAAGAAACGCTACTCAATCTAGGGTAGCAAGAAAAATAGGAAGAATTTACCATAGATTTTTATCGACGAAGAAAAATATTTCTATTTGAAATGAATCAGTTAGGTGTTGTTTTAATTCATTTTTTCCAAGATATAAACTTGATTCTTCAAGCAGAATCAGTAAGTAGCTACTATGGTTATTTCAAGTTGAAAGAAGTTCGTGTTGATTCATATAAATTTTATGCTAAGCTTCAAAATCACAGATAATACCCTGTGAACATCCTAATACAAGTATTAACTACTTAGTTTTAGCGAAATGATAGTTATGTAGCTATGCAAACTACAGATAGTGAATCGATCATGCTTTTTTTGCTTAATATTTTTATTGCAGCGCATTATGAACAATATTCAATAATAACGAAATTGAAGCAATAACCATAGAAATAATACGCTGAACTAGCAATGCATAAAAGGCTTTCCTTAGAAAAAGCCTGAAACAATAAAGTAAACAGAAGATAAAGTGATATCAAGAAAAAAATAACGTTGTCATCCTATTCTATTGTTTTATTTACTGAAGTACGTCAACTTTTTCTTCTTCTTCTTCTTATTATTATTATTACCTGGGTAGAACTGTTACTTTTGTGTTGTTGCCTATCAAAATGATGTTAACTATAGCCCTTCTTTTATTGTGCCTCCAAACTCATTTGACCGAACATGCATCAATTAATGGCGCAAACACCTTGACTAAATTGGATTGTACTTATCAAGATGCACGATTCGGTTCTATTGATTTGTCAACAGTTGGTTTAAAAGGTGGTACCCCTGCTTTTCGACATGTACTCAAAGATGCTTATTTTTATTCGTAAGTTTCTACTGTCTTTACATCTAGTTTTTTTTTTTTATAATATTTTAAATATATCTACACATATCCAGTTACAATCCATGCTATCCATTTTCTGAAGAATCTTCTTGTACTAACGTGGCTATATGTCAAAGTCGGTATTTTTCTTTCGAATTTATTTTCTTTGCATTTGATCGGTTTCTGTTCTCGTAGTTTCTAAAAATGGATCAGCTTATTACGTTCTTGGTGTGAATTCAATAGTCAGTTGGTCAATCACATTTGATGGCAAAGTAACACTTGTTTATTCAGTTGTCGATCGTCAAACAATCGTGAATCTTGCTTGTTCGACTGAAGTCGATCAACTTGTTATTAATGGCGAATATGAATTACGACATTATAATTTAACTTTATATAGTAAATGCGCCTGTTGGAATGGCTGTTAATTTTCTTTTATCTTTCAATAAAAATTTTCTTAAGAAATGATCAGAAATCGGACGAATAGCCGCACAGTCAATTTCGTTTCGCCTCACGGGCAAGTACATCGAGAAGTGACCTTATTTGAAAATTTTCCAAATGTTTGAGTTGAGCAAGTATGATAGATAAAGACTATACTGGGTCCGATAAGATAGTGTAGATGACTCAGTGTTACAATCTTCTCCTTTATTTCGCCTTCTTCTTATTATTATATTTTCACCAGAAATAATCCCCCTTCTTTAAACATTAACATTCACTTAAATAGAATAGATACGAGAAGAAGAATGGAATGATTGTAAACGTGATAGAATGAAACCGAGAGAAGAAGAGAGAACATACTTATGGCAGGACAGATATGTCCTGACATAACACTCAGCATCATAGGTGTGCGTCTGTGTTGTATGCAAACAAGAAAGAATATTTGTGTAGACCAATGGTTCGTCAACTGATTATATTCTCGTACAAGAAAATCAAATGCAATATTGATTATGCTTCGTAGCTCTTCTTCTGTGATTTTGGTGCTTCGCAATAGATTGTTAAAATACTCTATTGCAAAATTGATTTATATGAATTATTAAACTTCAGTCATTCAGAATGCAAGATTCTGTTCTTTGTCAGCACATATTAGATTTGTATTGATGGTTGACAGCATACGTTTCAATGAATCTTTTACTAGTTTTCTCTTTCTTTTGTAGATTTAAATACATTGATAACAACAATGAACATTATGATGATGAAACGAGGAACATTTTTAAATCATCTGTTCGATGGAGTCAAAAGGTGCCTTTTTTTATATAGAAATAACCTCTTTTTATAGTTGCGTCTTGACAAAGTATTTCTCTCGTGTAGCATGCAATTCACTATGTTAACAAAAAAATGTATTTGAATGCTCGAACAAAAGCACAACAATGTATTCAGATGAACATAAAACAAAAGAAAAATCACAATGGTTAATCAGTTAATCGCTTTTTTTTCTTTTTCTTTGATGACTTCGAGACAACAACTTTTGGTTCATCTATCAGAAAAACAAAAGATAATAAAAAGTTTGAAAAACATAATCGTAATTTTTACCTGAACCAAATGGTAAACAACGAATTTTTAATTGCTGTGGAAATTCTGGCCGAAAAGTGATTTCTTTTGGTACACAATCGGCAGGTGGATCAATATCTTGAACTAATGAAAAAGTTTCCACTGACGAGGAAACTAGAAAAGAAAAAATGAGCAAGTAAAAACAATAGACAAAATATACCTAAGTGTGCTTCATTTCCATTGGTGCTTTTTTGAAAACAAAACAATTCAGCATTCGAATCATTTTGATGTCGAGCTCGAACTTTATGGTCACCCTAAAAAGAAGTACGAGCACCAATATTTTATCTTCGAAAGTAAAAATAAATGAAACTCACTACTGTAAATAGTCTTCCTTTATTAAGATGTCGATAAGACAATGGGAGTTCATTGATATCAGTAAATGATTTCAGCAACTAATTATTTCAAATGAATAAATTTCAAAGCTAATTCAATTTTTATTCACTTACAGTTTTTGGAAATAACAATAGTACAGGTTTCATATTCGTCATCTGAAAGAATGAATACAATATTAATATATCAAAGCAAAAAAAAACAGGAAGTCCAAATGAACAATAGAACTATTTAATTAAACATAAAATGAGATTAATTGAACGAACTAACAATAGTTACCTAACTAATGATCATGATATCTAGCTTCGTCAGCTACTACGCATGCGATTCAGCTCAGACAAAAATAGTAGAAGATAATTTTATCACTCCGCTAGTCCATTCCGCTACGATTCTATTATTGAGTTTTGTATATTCATTTCGTGGAAACTGTAATATAAAACATTTTTGCAGCGTTTATAACATTTAAATCTTAAATGAAACTAATATTACATATATATATTTATGTATAATTGTTGAACACCACAAACACGCCATATTATATTACTAACTGAAAATGAGGCTATTATTTAATTACGTTATATTGAATTAAGTCAAAACCAAATGTCTTGTAAAATCAAACAAAAAATGTTTTTCTTTTGTTTATTTTATTTCAGTATCAATAATACAAGACAAAGTAACATTTACAATATCAACTTAACTAATTTTTTTTAAAGAAAATCTTTACATATCTGTCGAATGCTACTCTATCAATAGCAACATCCCACACTTAATCAAGATACCTTCGAAGAAATTTGATAGCTTTTACCTATGAGAAATACAGTAATAAGATCATTTTTACATAGCAAAAATTCTTATTTAACACAATCTAAATCAGAGGTACACACGAGATTTTTTAGTTCTAATTGTAGAATCGAATACCTATTAGGAAAAAGAAAAAATTAGCTGACATACATTGCTTAAAGAAATGCATTTTCTATAAGATTCGGCAAAAATTCTACAATAGTCTTAACGTCCGCATTGGAGCATGTGACTGGAACGAGTTTCGGTGACAAAGCTTATGTTCATTCTGTCAGACTACAAAATACGCAGAATTCAACATAGTCTGTGAAATGAACTAAAAGATTTCTTTGCAAAATTTTAGTAGCTCAGTATTATTTTCGTTTTTCTTCCTATAAAATATTTTTGACTCGTCGATTAGAACCAAAATTTCTCGTGTGGTTATCTCTAAGGAAAACATATATAAACAAAAACACAAATTAATAATTGAAATGAGTTAATCTCGATTTTGTTCTTCACATGCATCAATCCATGAATTGTATACATCGACGGCTTCACTTAAATCTATAAAGGAAACGAGTATGCTGATATAGGAGAGTAAAATAATAATATAAGACGTATTTACAGTGAATAGTTGTTGAGTATGATTCTCGGCACATACGACATTCAATGCTACCAACATTTGCTTTTCGATCACTAGAAAATAGTCAATAAACTTTAAGAGAGAAAAATCATATCGAAAAATTCTTACATTTTAACTTCACAAGAACGATCATGTGAACAAAATGGACATGGAAATACAACAGAAAGAGCTACGATGTTTTTTTGTTTCGGTGGTGGTTTTCGTTTAGATTTTCGTTTTCCCATTTCAGTTTTATTCGAATTCGAATAGATTCAATAAAAATCTGAAGAAGACAATATCAATCATTGTCATAACAAACAAAATTTAAAAAAAAAGATTTTCGTTTATTTTTATTGAAAATAACAGATAAATAATGAAAATTCTTATTACTTCCTTTTACTTTTTGTTTTTACTTTTACTTCAGTTTTCACTTGAATTGGTTTAGCATGATCAAGTTCTTTGATGTGTTTGAAAAGTGCATTGCGCGTAGGAAATTCTTCTTTGCAAACAAAACATTGAACAATAATAGGAAGCTGAGATGTCTGGAATAAAATTGGAAATCATGTAATACTCAATTTTCTCTTTTTCTGATTATTACTCTTTCAACAACAGATTTTCTAGAAAACAAAGTACATGTCAACTAATCCGCTCTATACTACTATGGGAAAAAAGTTTTCCGATGAACAAATGCTGCACAAACTAGCATTGTGAAAAGCAGATTATACAGTTTAATGAAACTATTTGTTATCTATGTCAATATTTCTTATGCATTTATCTAATTTTTTGAATAAATGAAATCATTTGAATTCATAAAACCAATGTATAATAACATAAAAATGTCTTTTTTTCAACTATCATTCTGACTTGGGAGAAGAAAGTCTTTTTTTTTTAAATAATTCTGTGCCTTGCTACTTGATTGAATTGATCAATATAGAAAAAGTGACCCATTCAATTTGACATTCAATGGATTTTACTGAAAAAGAATTTATCGATTGAAAACGTTCACTTGTTAGATCAATTTCGGAATTATATTTTCCTTGATATCCTGATTATGGCGAAAATGAAAACCGCTGATACCAAATACATTTACTCGAGAGTAAGACTATAAGGGGGAAAACTATTCTTAACCAAAAATAAAGATTATAGGTCAATATTAGTACTTGTATTCGAAGAAATACAAAACAAGCAGGAAAATATTTAATTATATCTGATATCAATAAGTAGTATTTTCTAAACGAAGATTAAAACGTATTTGTCTCGTATATTTCTGACCTCTAATCAAAGTAATCGAACAGAAAGTTAGGTATCACATTCTGTATCAAAATTTTAATTTATCATAACTCTTGATTAGATCTGAATAAATTGTTCTTCAGATTGAAACTAAGATTCTTTTTTTTTCTATCACAATGAAAACTAACTGCATTAATGTGATTCATGCTCAAGTCAACAACCAATAAGAAGTACAGTCGCGGATTAAATAATGTGAATCAATTGTTCTATGAATCGATATCAGAATTCATAAAATATTAATCTGTTTACATCTCATCTTAGAGAATAGAATTTCATTCAATATGAATAGCATAAAACTAATACAAACCTGATCATTTTCAACAAGTGTTTCTGTTGTAGATTTAGTTTTAGTTTTTTTATTAGTAGTTGTCGTAACGGTAGATACTTCTTCTTCTTGTTTTTCCTGCTGATTATCTTCTTGTGGTAATAATTCTTCTTCAAGTTGTTGTTTCATTTCTTCTGTATCATCACCGGAAGAATCACCATCTTTATTATTTCGTCTTTGTTTCTTTTTCTTCTTTTTTGATTTACTAAACAAAAATAAAATAAATCTTTAATATTTTGTAAGTTTGAGTCAAATAAATACCTGGGCTGATTATATGCTGGTAATTGAACGATTTCATCATAATCATCATTAGTTAAATTTACTTGCTCGGGATTATCCAATGATAATTGTTCATTTTCTTGTTGTATATGCGCAGTCATTATCTGAACAAATTCTTTGTGTTTACGAGAATTTTCATGATTAAGAAAACTAAATAATTTGAAATTACACATAATAGTGATCGGAATTTTTCTTACGCTTTTTCAGATTTAAATGATTTATTACATGCAACACAATATAATTCCTTAATATCATCCATAGAATCGTCATCATTGTCATTTTCATCTTTACTGTCGTTTTGATTAGATTCTTGAAAGTTCGTTTTTACTGTTTTTTCCAAATCATCTAATTGTTTTTCAAATTCTTCGAATGACATCCATTGTGATTCTTTATATTGTGCCAATTCTCTTTAAAAAAAATTCATGGTGAGAAACAAAAATTGAATATTTCAATAAGATAGAGGTCGTACTCCAGTTTTTTTTGTTTCTCACGATTGCGTCTTTCAGCATCAGCTCTTTTTTTTTGTGTAGCCTGCTCTTCCAGATAAATCTTACAAAAACAAAAATGTCTTATATATTTTTATTTGATGTATTTTACTTTTCGAAGTTGTATTCGTTTATCACGTTTTTTAACAAATGCAATCAATTCCTAAATATAAAATATCAGTTTTTCGTCAAAATTTATATATATATACTCCGAAAACCAAAGATTTGATATTGTTTTTCCTTATTTCTGTTGAAATACTGCAAAAATAAGTCTTGTCATACTAGAAGTCCAGAAGATTTGAAAAGAAATTCAACCTTCAGATCGTAATTATAGTTCTAAAACAGGTAAGCTTTTTATTTCACACATTTTCTCGCAGCGACAATGCAAAAATGAGTTTTGACTATTGTAGCACATAATAATTTTTAAGAATGATCAATCATCTTCACTGAAGCATCTCACATTGATGAAGATCCACAATTTATTTTATATGAAAATTCATTTGAAAAGTCAAGCAATGCTTTTTTCTATTGTAGAACATGTACTCTCATCTTTGGTTGTCGGAAATATGTTGCATTAGACTGTTTTTTTCTTACTCGAACTTCTTCATTACGTTCTTTTTTTGCTTTATCACGTAATTTTTTATTTTCTTGTTCCATTAATCGTCGAACACGTCGATCCATGGCATCATGTGTATCATGTTCTTCCTTCCACACATAGGATCTTAACGTACAATAACTTGACCAATATGCATAAAATGGACCAACAACCTTTTAGACAATAGACTTTTTTTTCATGCGATGTTCATTTTTTTCCTTATTCTTACTTCTTCATAATCACTTTCTGATGTTCCAAACATTGGTATATCAATTTTTTTATCACTTGAAGCTTTTAAATCTTGTTCTGCAATATCTTTGAATAATTTATTATAAACTGTATAAAAACCCTTAAAAAAAAAGAAAATTATAAATTAAAAAATTTTATAATTAACATACAGTTTCACTATCATTATATCCCTGATAACATGAAGATGTAAAAAATGGGAAAATATTAATTGTATCATCTTCATAGTCAAGACCAGAGCTTTTTTTCAGCATTACATCCCGATGTGCATCATACCAAGCCCGTTCTCTAGGATCCGATAATACTTCGTAGGCTGCTCGAATTTCTAGAAAATGCTGTTTAGCTTCTGCAATTCTATCAGGATTTTTATCTAATTTAAGCAATGAAATTAAAATAAAATAATTGTAGTACATTATTGAGAAAGATAACTAACCAGGATGCCATTGCAATGCTAATTTTTTATATGCTTTTTTTAATTCTTCCTCAGTCGCTGTTTGACTGACACCAAGGACTTCATAATGACACTGCATGACGAAAATTATAAACTAAGAATGCTTCATAATTTCAAAATACAGTTCCTATTTTATATTCATTGATATCCAATCAAATTTACTTCGTTAACCTCTATGGAAGAAAAGCCTATTTTTTAACCAATAGACATTGATTTATACAGGATAGGCGGATTAGAATCTTAATCAAAACGCAAATACTGAGTTTCGAAAAGTTTCGTACATCTATACTCGAAGATTATTGACTGAACCCATATCGAGATTCAAACGAAAATTGCAATGAATGTATGGATATGAATTTTAGAAGAGTTTTCAGCTATTTCTTAAAATAATCTAGCATTAGATTTAAACTCAGTTAATTTCTTATGCATTTTGACGGCTATTTTATGAATTTTAGAATTCAGCTCCTTTTTATTCTATAAAATGTTTCTACACAATTCTAATTCAGTAGTGTTGTGCAGTACGTACAAATAACAATCCAATATTCTCAAGAAAACGACGGTACCATACATTGCAATCGATCGCTAAAAATCTGATATGATCAAGAAAAAAATTAGTCATGTCACGAAGATTGAAATGGAAACAGTGAATTATTACGAATATTTCTAAAAAGTTCCAATATATTATTGAGCAATTCGACAGTATTCATATGGCCAACATGTAAAGATCAGATGTAAATGAAATTAGGAAACTTTGTGATCAGCATCTTTAGCAAGATCTCACGTTTTGTGTATTTGAAATTGTAAAATGAAAGATGTACTTCTAATGCCCTTTGTGCTCAATAATGCGCCAGTTATATATTTGTTCCTCTTGCAAAAGCCCTATGGTATATACAATATAATTACTTATCGGTCGGAACATCCCATACAAAAGAAGTAATATATTAACTTTAAAGCCGCTTCGTTTTTTCTATACTCTTCGGATTTCTTTCGATTTCCTTTTCTAATCTACTCGTTATAGAAATAATCTTTTTATTTGATTTAATAACAGCGATTCATCGATCATCATTCAATGAACCACTTCCAAGGTCATGAATTATTCTTTCTAAGAAAATTTTATTCTCTTTCTACTTGATTCTGTATAATAATTAGAATGCATTGAATACAATCAACTATCCGTAGGCAATAGTTTTTAAAATGTAAGAAAAATCTCGAAATCATGTATTGATCTGGAAGACCGACTTTTTTTTAATTGAAAACGCTAGAAATCCATTTTTTTTGTTTTTCATTCTAATATATATGCTTTGCATAACCGATGAAGTTATATATATATGAGCTAAAAATTAAAAAAAAGAAAACTGAAATATATTTCCATTTATGGAAAATATTTATTCTATGATCTCTGTTATGTTGATTTCGTTTTTATTTCTACTAATTTATTCTATATCAACATGAACATAAGTCATATTGGCTTGCACTTCTCTGATCTGCGAGATTGCGTTTGATATATTGTATATAAACAGAGATGAGAATGAAAATGAACTCAGTTTTCTATGAATACAGATATTCTAATGTTATGTAATAAAAATTTATACTATCACGAAATAGTTAGAACACGAACAATTTTGCCTCAAGCTTGATTTCTCTAATGGAATTTTCTCCTTACAAATTGTTTTATTTAGACTTAAAACCCCAAGTGTTTATTTAAGAAGAGAGAATAAACAAGCCTCGCTCTCTCTAACGAGGCAACATTCCCAAGTGATTCGCACCGTTTGGTCTCATATTTTGCTCATAGAAAGAATCCAATGAGACTAGGAAAAACCTAAAAGACTTCGCGACCTTAAGCCTTTCCTTCGAAGTTATGACCGTTTTACTGAATTTTTGACCTCGGTCAAGAGATTTATAGAAAAATTGAATAAAGGAATTCTGAGCTGAAGTTTTGTCTAACAATAGGGCTCATTGGTGTTAGAAAATTGTAAAACTTTCAGTTAAAACTGATGCTGTCTTTTGGAGGTATTGCAGATTGAAGAAAAGTCAATTTTTCGGTAATTTTTGGACCATGGCCGTTTTCTTCAATCTGCAATATCTCTAAAAGAAAACATCAGTTTTAACTGAAAGTTTTACAATTTTCTAACACCAATGAGACCTATTGTTAGACAAAACTTCAGCTCAGAATTCCTTTATTCAATTTTTCTATAAATCTCTTGACCGAGGTCAAAAATTCAGTAAAACGGTCATAACTTCGAAGGAAAGGCTTAAGGTCACGAAGTCTTTTAGGTTTTTCCTAGTCTCATTGGATTCTTTCTATGAGCAAAATATGAGACCAAACGGTGCGAATCACTTGGGAATGTTTCCTAGTAAGGAAAAAAGACTTTTCTTCCATGATATCAATTTATTATTTGATTTTGACTTCTTAATTATAGTTATCTGCTATTTTCTCATGATATTGATAGTGAATTGTTGTGCTCTATTGTAGTATAGTAAGACATTTGTTTTATTGAAAAAAAAAGTCCGATTTCTGTAAAATTAAAATTGAAAAGAAGAAGAGAAAAAGAAGAATCTCATTTTATTGTGTGGTGTAAAAATCAAAGGAAAATTAAAGCGCAATCACAGCGTTTATTGTGAATTTTTATAAAAAGACGAGTAAACACACACTGCGTATACAATATGTACTACGACAAAAGAAAAAATAAAACACATTCAATATAAAAACAATGATTATTATCGCTGCGGTTGTGGTGTTGGTGTTGGTATTTGAATTTGCGTTTGAAAAGTTGGTTCACTTTTGGTTGGTAATCGAACAGTAGGCTTATTTCCAAGTATTCGATCAATATCAGCCATGATCGATGGAGTTAATTTTGAAACCACCTATATAATATAAAGAGAAAATAAATATTATTGCGTTAAGTATTAATGAATTAATGTCATTTTTCATCATACTTGTATTGAATTAATATTTTCATAGAGTTGTTCTACTGATGACGCACCGACTAATACACAATGAACATTATCATTTTTTAAACACCATGCTAAAAATAAATATGACAAAAATGACATATATATATTTATTTATTTATTTATTTATTCTATTTTTATTATGATATTTCTGTGATAGAAAAAAGACGTTTCTATATTTAAACTTCTAATGATAAAAATAAGGATCCAGATAGTTTGATTAATTTGACATCTGTATACATAAATTTCTATGACATTTATGTTGGATATGACATGATAGTAAGAAAATTTGTTTGCTTATTTGTGGCATTTAGAAACAGTTAATTGCAATAATCAAAAAGTTTTTTTTTTCTTGAAATAATCATAAATGTCTATCGTGATTTAAAATCGCTAATTATCAGATGGCAAAAACACAATACATAATGATTAGTTTTAAAATTTACCGATAGCTAATTGAGCAAGCGTACAGTCAAATTTCGATGCTAAAACTGCTAATTCTCTTAATTTACTCTGTTGTTTTCGACCTTCATCATTTAAGATTTTATCTTTTAACCACCCATAACCCTATGCAATAATAAAGTTAATATTATTATTTTAATTATTCAAATTAAATACTTTAAGTGCAGCTCTTGAATGTAATGGTACACCATCATCATATTTTCCAGTTAATAAGCCACATGCCAATGGTGACCACGTCATAGTGCCAATGCCTATAAATAATTTATTTATTCATTCATGCAACATTCATATTTCTATTTCTATTAACCTATTTTATGATAGATCTCGGGTAAATGAACTTCAACTTTATCACGTTGAAATAAATGATATTCAGCTTGTTCACATATTGGTGGGATTAAATTAAATTGACGAGCTACTGAATATGCTTCCTTTGAAACAAAGAAATATAATGGGTTGTTTATTTTGAAAATAAAGAAAAGGAGCAACAATTCAAATATCATTTATTACCATTATTTCCATCGGTGACCATCTTGATGTTCCCCAATAAAAACAATGATTGTCATTAATGACTTGTGTAAATGCCCGAACGATTTCTTTTGTAGAAAATAAATAAAACAGATAATTTATTCGTATTATTTTGATAAAATATTTTTTACCCTCCATGGGTACTGATGTATCAGGTTTATTAGCAAATACAATATCAACATAATCCAATTGCAAACGTTCGAGACTAGCTCTTAAGCCTTCAATAATATGTTTTCTTGAAAGTCCTTTTTCTGTTTCAGCTCTACAAAAGTAAAATAGAGAAAAACACAATATTTATAACTAGTAGTTATTTTTCGATTTCTTTTGTTTTTTTAGTTGACATACTTTCCACCCCAATATAATTTTGTTGATATAATGTAACTTGATCGTTTCCATTTTTTCTTTTTTAGCACTTTTCCAAGTGTTATTTCCGCTCTAATATATATTAATATTTAAAAAAGAAAGATTGCGTTTAATCATCGGATTAAAAGAGATCGTACTTTCCAGCTGCATAAACTTCTGCTGTATCAAATAGATTAATTCCACTATCGTATGCAACAGTGAGTAATTCTTCCGCAACATCATCCGATATTTGTCCACCAAATGTAACCCAAGTGCCAAGGCCTAACTGAGATACTCGTAAACCATTACGTCCTAGGTTTCTAAATAGAAGAAAAAAAAATATGATGTTAATTATGTTTTTGTTTCAATCCAATTAGAATTAGAAATTAAGAAATAAAACCTATATTTTAAATCAGGCTTTTGAAATGAAATAGGAATATTAATCAACGGACTCAAATGATCATTTTCTGTAGAACGATGATTAAGATTTGGTGATGATGAAGATGATTGTAAAGGTATAAGTGAACCACATAAATTACGTGTTGACCGTGGCATATTTGTTTCATTGATTTTTTGATTTATCGATGAATGATGAAAATTACTAATTTGATGTGGGAAATTCAAAACATTATTTGAGTTCTTTTCATGCAGTTGCTTATTATTATCATCTTCATATAAAACATCATCTGTTGGTGTCGTCGTCGACATTGTTGTTGTTGTTGTTGTTGTTGTTTTTGGTGATGGAAGTGATCTATATGATCTTTGAGTTACAAACGATGTTGATGAGGAATGGTGATGTGGAGGAGCACCCACACTATGATTTCTACCCAATGGAGAATGTCCACTATCGACCATTACCGATTTACGCTGATGCTGTCGAAGAGATGATGACGACGACATAGCCTTGTATGTTAGTTCCTTTTGTACACCGCCGTCATACAGAATACAACAAGGTAAACGACGATGCCAAGATCCTTATTCCGTTACTGACTGTTCTGTTAATGGGAAAAAAAGCGAGCGCGCTAGGCTAGGACGACGATATGCATACTTCATACGTCAGAGGAGGAAAACTAGTGCCGCGGTATAGCTAGCTACCACCCCATTTCTAATTGTTTTCTGCGCGTAAGTCGAGCCATCGGTTGTAGCAGTAACGAAAGACGATAAGCCAGAATCGACCAACCAACTGATTCTGTTTACATCAGCTGCAACAACAGCCTTTCCCCTCTTTCCCCTTAAAACATACGACTATTATAATAATGATGATGACTGCAAGAAGACTTTTCGTTCGTAAACAAAATACACATGGTCTTTATCTTTTCACGGTATTCTCATTATTGTTTATCCATTATGATAGACAAATATACTTGCTATTTGTTACAAAAAAAAAGAAAAGAAATCATTAAACTCTTTGAATACCTGCATGCAACAACACGCGAACATTTTCGTTGTTGTTTAAGTATTTGTTCTTGACATAATCGATTTATTTCATATTCACATGGATGCAAATGAGTTCCACTAAGAGACGATATGTTCGAATTGGCAGTATTAGTTATTTTTCGCATCGTACCATAATTCATCTCGGAATATTCTGTTAGTTTTTTTTATTCTCGTTCTCTTTACCGAACAGTAATATTATTTGATTCTTGCCTTATCTGGATAAAAAGAAATTCTAGATTAAAATCCGAAGATAGATGATGCGAGTACACCAAAATGACGTTCATTTAATAAAGGAACTTCGGCTATTTTTTCTCGCTCTTTTCTGTTTCTCTCAGTTCAACGTTTATTTCCGGTTCTGTTTACGACATTCTCGTCCTTGTTGCCTGTCTGTTACTCCAGAGTTTATTATCAACTTACTCATGCTTTAGACTGCATACTTCTCTCATTCTTTGTTGCTTTTACATAGATAGGCACACCATCAGATCACGCTCTTCTGATAGAAGTGTGTGTAATTGTTGTTCATCTAGTGAAAAATATGAAAAGCAAGGAAAAAATATCGAAGACAAGAAAAAACCAAAAAAGAGAAAAACAGAAAGAAAATATTTTGTAGCAAGAGTGAACACAATGAATGATAAAGACTAAAAGCATTCAATGGAGTTTTCACGAAAAACACGAAGGAAGACAAAAAACGACAAAGAGAAAGTTGAGTGCTCAATGTTTGTCTCTTTTTTTCTTATAAAACTTACTTGAAAGCCATTGGTACCAATTTTCTTGCGTCTGTCATTGTTACAATCAAAATTTACCAACATGATAATAACAACAACAATGCGTTAGATTGATATTCATTGAACACATTAATATAAATTACATCCAGTCAAAAAATGTATTTTGGAAAACCGCACACATTGGTACAAGGAAACGACTAGATGACTCTATAAATGCTGAAAGAAAATATAAAATGTATGCACCCTACAGAAACTAATAGAAAAATGTGCCAGAGAGAAAGAGTGAGTGAGTGAGTGAGTGAATGTGGAAGAACACCACGCCAATAATAATTTATTCTTTCCCTTGACTACTTATATGTCTCTTGGCTCTCTTTCTTCTCGTTGCGCGCGCGCTTTTGTCAACGGAACAACAACAGCGATAGAAAAAAAGATGATTATCTTCATTCTCGCCTTTGCTGGAGAATAAATGAAATGAATGCGTGTGTGTACAGAACCTTAAATCGATTATTCAGGGTAATCCAAAAAGCACGATATGTTACTAATGAATTCAATTGGAACCTGTGAGAAAAATAAATCAAGCACGAGTTCGAAATTTCTTCTAATATAATTAATTTTTATCCATTTATTATTAAAAACTATCTAATTCTTTTTGGAAGAAAAAAAAAACTAGTTGATCTTGTTTTCTGATCAGATCAGATTGTAACATAATGCCATCTTGACAATAATGGGTATTACTCGCCTCCTTCGTACGATCCTCTCAACTAAACTCCAAAGTATAAAAACCAATCATTTTGTCGTCCATACTTTACCCTGATATAGGTCTTTTTTATTTATTTTTCTTTTCATCATTTTTCATTTGTTTGCGAATTTTCAACTATCTGTTCATGCTATTCATTCTTTTAGATTATTTTTTAGTTTCTTAAAAAGAAGAAAACCATCATGAAAGCAAAAGGTAATCTTCGTGAATATCGTATAATTGGCCGAAAACTACCGTCAGCAGCATTGAAAACACCACCACTTTATGAAATGCATATTTATGCTCCTGATGAAGTTCAAGCTAAATCACGTTTTTGGTTCTTTTTACGTCAACTTAAACGTGTAAAGAAAAGTGCTGGTGAAATTGTTGAATGCAAAGTAGTCAATGAACGTAAACCATTAACTGTTAAAAATTTCGGTATTTGGCTACGTTACGATTCACGTTCAGGTACACATAATATGTATCGTGAATACCGGGATTTAACACGAGCATTAGCTGTTACACAATGCTATCGAGATATGGGTGCTAAACATCGAGCCAGACCATCAACTATTCAAATTATGAAAATAAAACGTTTACCTGCTAAAGAATGCCGACGACCACATGTTACACAATTTCACGATTCGAAAATTAAGTACGTAAAAGCTTTTTCAAAGAAACACGAAAACAATTGTTTCATTTGAAATTTTTATCGTCTCGTTTTTTTCTTTTAGATTTCCAATGGTTAATAAAGCAACAAAACGCTTACATCATCCACGATTTACAACTAGTCGTCCGCATACATACTTTTAAAATAATCAATGCAGACGAAAAGCAGGCATATCATCACATCTAATTATTTTCTGTTTTACATTGTTTTTGACAGAAAAGTATTGGATGATCAACAAGAATAAAAATAAAGATGAACTTTATTCTTAATTTTTTTTTGCTTTTTCCTGAAACCAAAATAATAACATTAATATCATCAGTTTTTCTAAGAGCTTTTGCCAGCCAATGAAATATTCGTCTCTTAGAATACCGCATGACCAATATCAGAATCGTTTTCTACCTGAGCTTAGAGGCTTCAACATTTTTGAAAATCAGAAGTTCAGCAAAAAAAACTATTTTCTGTTCAAAAATATTTGTATTTGAAGCTATAGAACTATTTGATCACTTGTTATTGAAAAAAACTCCAATTTTTCGATGACATACCACTAGATGGATAAGAAAAGAATTTCTTGTAACTGAAAATTTACAAATATCTCATATATGATCTATTAACCGTTATTTCATAGTTATTGATTAGACAATATGCATAAATAAATGTATCAGATTAATTCTTTCATAAATATAAATTAGACAAGAATGTTCGTCACACGAAAATGACGTGTTCTAGAAGATCTACTATGTTTTTTCTAAACAGATGATTATGAAAATCTTTTACAATTAATTATATCAAATATTCAATTTCACTGGTATATTATTAAAATTATAGTCTCAACAATATTTCAGTTGACTGAGATTCGATTTCCAAGAAGTGAATTTAAAATTCGAGTATCAAAAGCTGGTTAAAATAGTTTTTTCCCAAGCTCAGTTCATATTTACTCTAAAATCGACAAATATTTACCTCACACTCATTGAACTTTACGAATCAGTTAACTACACAACCGAACAACTCATCATATGAAAGATTATTTCATTGATGAAGTGAGTTTTTCACTATGATGTTTGAATGAATACTACTTGTGTATAGTCTCGGTTAGTAAACAATCTTCCTGTCCTGCTATGCGTTAAAAAGTATCCACATCAGCAATAAACAAATTCACGAGGTTAAATGAATATAAAATGTTTTTTATGATTAGAAGCGACGAATACTTTGAAAAATTTCTTTCAAGATTCAGAATCTAACTTGTAATTAATCCATGAATGACTTACAAGAAAGTCATTTTTAGAATTTGAATTTTTTCAGTAAATTCTATATTTAGAATCGATTCCTTTCAAACAACTCAAAACATTATCTTCAGTTCTTCTTCAGTAAAACTAAAATATTTACTTTGTTCTTCAGGCGATCTGAATGAGTTACAAAAATGACAATATGTAGATCTCAAACAGGACTATTTCCGTACCAATAGAAACAAATATGCATGAAGAAGATTGAGTACAAATATTCAAAAGCAAAAACAAATACAACGTTTTAATTGTGCACATCTCTACTTTTGTCATTAAATCTAAGTGAAACGAGTTAGTTCAACTTGTATGCGAAGCATCATATTCGCTTGAAAAAAAGAGCAATATGTTTTTTTTGTTTAAATCAATTCTATTTATTTATAAAGTGCGAGTACACGTAGCATTTCATGATTCAAGAGACTAAATTGATAATATTGTGTGCACAATTCGGTGTATATGATATTAAATTTCAATTGTGCCTATCACAAGTCGTGCTTATTGTTGAGTAGCAATAGATAAAATAGTAAATGCTTATGTTCATTGTACAGACTTGTGAAATAGAGTTATGAAAATAGTTTGAAGGTAAATTATTGTAAAAAGACATTTTCCGCCGATGAAATCTTAAGAGATCAATTTTAAATCGATTGAATCCAGTAAGTTCTTTTTTTTGCACTCTTACGATTGTTTTGTCTGAGTAGAATGCGTAATATCATCAATTGCACTGTTTAGAATAGATAAATGAAAATTAAAAATTTCATACAATACCAATGAGAGATCATCTTTATAATTATTTTGAGTAATAAATTGAAACACTTACTAAAGAATAAGGAATATCTAGAAAATTTATCTGATTAAAAAGACCAGACACTTTTAATAATATCACAGTAGACCATACTTAAAGAAACATCAACAAGTTAATGTTTCAATATTTATAAATTCTCAAGCAATGCAATCATGAGTCAAACTTTGTTCTCGAAAATTTTCTTTTCTATCAATTTGTATCGACAATCCTTATTTGCTTTACTGAAATTCTTGATGCAAGCAAACACGACGGACTTTCTCTTGAAAATGATCGCTTTTTTTCGCTCTTACAATAGCTATCATTTTCTAAAGATTGAAAGAATTCTTTTCAAAAATCAATCTTAGTTACTTATAGTAAATCATTAAATGCTAATTAGGACCAAGAAAACATGATCTTCTGAACAACTTTAATGTGAACTGTTTTAAGCAATGCTCCAATCTTTACTTCCGAAATCTGATGTGATTTTTCTCGGGAGAATAATCTAAATATTTTATTACTTTAGGGCTTCGCTTGATTAAAGATTTCGTTATTTTTCATTTCGTCTGATAGATATTTTATGAAAAAATGTTTTGGTAAAGTCAGTTGATCGAGCACCACACTCTATCTAAGACATACTACTTTGTGAAAAACTATTTTTTCGCCAATAATATTCTTCATTTCAGTCAAGTTTTTGAAATTTACCATAATCTAGCTTGATGTTTTCAATAGTATGAGATTCTGTTAAAACTTGTATGCACAATTGCCCTGGAGATTTAGAGCAAAAAGGCACGACATGCTGTGCTTTTTATCGATTTCGCATGTTTCGACGGTTGTAATTTCGTCAAAATAAATCACGGAAACCAAATCAATGTCTGATTGATGGTATTTGAAGTAAGGAATTGGTCGAAGTAAAAAAAAGAAACTAAGGCTTCATGGAAACTTTGTATTCATATAATATTTTTGGCATTGATAGAAAAATTTCTAAATGGCTATTTTAATTGTAAATTTTTATTTTTAAACACGTAGGTACCGAACATGATATATTATGTCATAAAGATGGCTATGGTAGACAAGACTCGGCAAACGTTTTGAGTTTTCTGCTTTCCTCTAAAGTAGTAGAAATTCCAAAGGGACTAATTAGACAACTCCCATTCTAGTTCTGTCATTCAATGTTACGTTTCCAAGTATACTACAATAATGCAAACTCTATTCGGACATAGACTAACTGCATGGCTTATCATGAAATGCAGATGTCACTATTGAAAAAGCACACAGCGCTAACTGTAGTATTGGCAGATAAACTTGCCAAATCAAGAACAGAAAATATTTAACAGAAAAAGACCATAGGAGATGAATTATAAATAAATAAGCAACACGCATTTATTGTCAGGTACTCATTCAGACGACTAGACATGACCTGTGTTGTATTCTTAATTTTCTATTCAATCATTTAGATTCCTGATATTTTTGAGACACGGTGGTACATGGATTCGATTGGTATTAGAAATGATTTCGGGAGAGCACGCGGTAATCGTGCAATCTTAGACGATAGAAGATCACGTGACAAATCAAACATACCTGCGCTAATTCCTCATGCGCCATATACATCAACAGGCTCTTCAAGTATTTATCATCGAAGAGCTCGTCCACTACCGTCAATACCTACAACAAATGTTGCAACACTAAGAAACGCTATTGAAACAGGCCACATGAATGTATCAGTAGGAAATAATAATCGAATGCGGTCACCAAGTCGTCATAGTCAAACATTACTTGAACGAACAACAAGAAACAATGTAGCAAATATGCAACGAACCAGATTACCCAGTCAAGATCGAACAGAAAGTTTTTATTCAATAATATTTATTTTTGATTGAAATTTTTTTGTTTAGAATTCAATAAAAAATAATGTTGTAAATAATTCAACAGTACAAGATGTACCAACTAAAACAGTGACTGTTTATACTATAGCATCTGTACCTCAATCGAAGAATAATGATGTGGAGGAATCTGACGTGTTAGAAGGTTCAATAAATGTAAAAAGTACGAACCCTACTATACCATCAGTAAATGAACCAAGTTTAAAAAATGGTGGATTATGTGGTCTTCAAAATTTGGGAAATACTGTAATACTTTTAACAAGCATCTTTCAAAACAAAAACAGATTGATGATTTGTTTTAGTGTTTTATGAATTCGGTGCTTCAGTGTTTGTCAAATACAAAGCCACTTTTATTATTTTGTTTAAAAGATAATCTTAATGATCATTTAAACAAATCATCAACAAGTGTTATGAAAGGAGCTTTAATGACAGGTTTGAGTCAATACAGTATTTTTTGTTTTTCTTTATATTAATGCTTCTAGAATATGCAAATTTGATTCGTAAAATGTGGCTTTTACCGGTGGAGGGTCGGTCAGTTGTTAGTCCATCAAGATTTAAAAGTACCATTGGAAATTTTGCTTCACGCTTTACTGGTTACTCGTACGTAAAATTGTTTTCAGTTTGTAATCAACAGAAATTAACATTTTCATATTATTTTAGAGAACAAGATTCACAAGAATTTCTGAGATATCTTTTACAAGGTCTTAGCGAAGATGTTAATCGAGTACAGAAAAAGCCGGTTCCATTAATTATTGATGAAAAACAAGACGAACTGAAGAAGTGAGTATAACAATTACGTATGCATAGGAATCGATTAAGGAAATCAAACTTTAATGTAAACATTTGGTTAAAATTCATTTCAAATGGTATTTTAGTATTAGCTATCATCAATTCAGTTTACATTTGTTTGAAACATCGCTTTAAATATCTGATCACTTAATAGTAAGCATATTTTATGTAAATGATTCACAGTATTATTTCCAACTGTTGAATTCCCTGATAATTAAAATTTAATTAAATGACTATGATTATTTAAAATCATATCCAAAGAAAATATATGACTATTGAATTCATTTCAACTAATTATTCTATCTTTGTTCATCAGTGAAACATTTCTATAAAATCTAGATACATTCAAACTCACAAAAATTTTTTCCTAGGTTTAAAATAGAGATCATTTTTCGGAACTACACTAAATATTGTGTGCCTCATGTAAAAATTTCAATTTTGTAATATCGAAGAGAAATATGATGAAAAATTTGACAGTTAAGCAAAATTGTGGATGATGTTTTCATCATTATTCATTGCCAATTGTTGACCTTAAAAACTACCCATATTAAACAGTGATAATATTTACTATCTCTATTTTTCCTGATTGTCAGATGTTATTTATATTTGATTGCTTTTTCTTTCAGAGAAAAAGATCGCGCTACAACAAGCTGGGATCGTTGTTTACGTTATGAGAATAGTCCTCTTGTTGGTAAGTGCAAACAAAATTGATTCAGTTTATTGATATATTGAATTTTCTTTTTGCATGAAGATATCTTTGCTGGACAATTAAAAAGTACTCTTGAATGTTGTCACTGTGGATATCAATCGATAACATTTGATATGTTTTGGGATTTATCATTACCTCTACCACGTGTAACTATTTAAAAACAACATCGAATAACATGAACATGTGATTTTTGTTTTAGGATAGATCATCGACGAATCTACAAGACTGTATTCAACTATTCATGAGTAAAGAAGAACTTGATGGTGACGAAGAACCAGTAAGAAAATGCTTTTTATTTAATTTTAATTTTTTCAATTCATCCAATTTAGATGTGTAATAGATGCAAGAAAAAACGACCGTGTACAAAAAAATTATCAATTCAAAAGTGTCCGGAAATACTGGTTCTTCATTTAAAGCGTTTTTCACAGATGCGTGGCAGAACTAAATTGAATACACATGTAGATTTTCCAATAACGAATCTTAGACTTGATCACTTAAAAGATGTTATGTCTAGCAGTTATGAGGGTAAAATTCGCTTGAAAAGAAAAAGAACTACCTTTGTAAATCGATTTTTAACTTGTCTAGAATGTGTGCCGACATATAATTTATTTGGTATATCAAATCATAGTGGCACAGTTTATAGTGGTCATTATGTAGCTCAATGTAAACATCCATTTACACATGATTGGCATGAATTCAATGATTCATCTGTTCATTTTATCAGCGATACTTCAAGTATAATATCTGCGAATGCTTATGTGTTGTTTTATGAACGAAAGAAGTCTTAATAATATGAGTTTTTAAAAATTTTCTTTGTTATTTTTAATTTGCACAAAACATTTTTTTATTGTATTTTCTATATATTTATATTGTGTTTGAGATCTGAGATCTTCCGAATGATGAATTTAATGAAACTCGTTCAGTTTTTTATCCTGTTTTGTTTTTGCTAACTTCACAAACGAACCGATTTGATGTGTGTATGTTTGGATGCGTGCTTGCATTTATCATCGATTTAGTAATTTTCATTGAAACGAATGTACCTTGACTTTTTTTCCGTGCTTTTTTTCCCTGATTACCTGTAGCGGTTTGTTACAATTGTTCTGAGAAATTTTTCGGGATCTTAATGATACCAAGTAAACAGAGAGAAAACAAATTACCTTGAAAAGAACATGCGATTATAGAATTCGATACGATAACAATTCTGCATTTTATATTTTTATCCAAATGAGTAAAACAGTAATACATTTTGTTTGTAGATTTTAATTTAAAAAAAATGAAGATTCCTAGTTTTATTTCCGACAGTGTTAATATCACTTATCAATATTTAATAACTCGAGATGGATTTCTAGTGAGTTTCATTTGTTTATAATTGCTGTTCAAATTTTAATCTTGATGGTAGAGTCAAATATTTGGAGAACATTTGGAAAATACAATTGTTGGATTTTGTTTATTAATTGTTGTTTTTCTCCTTTATTATCTCATTCGACGATCTCAAGCGAAAGTTCGATGTAAATTTTAATTCTTATTTTTTAATAAGTTCAGAAATTATTTTTTTGCAATCTTTATTCTAGCAAATGAAAATACAAACCGATTTCGTAAACGTGATAAAGTATTACATTATGGAAAACGATTCCTTCGAACGGTAAACCAATTCATTCTTGCTGAGATTCCTCAGTGATACATTAGTTTTTCTTGTTTAACAGGTGCGATCATACTCATCAACAGCTCGAAATCGAATTCGACGTAAAAACAAAAGACAGTTGAGTAAAACAATTTCCAATAGAGACGTGATTTTTATTCGTTTAATATAGATCTCATCAACAAAAACCAGGTTCAGAATCAAACTATAGATTACCACGTAAACCTCCTGAATTTTTACTTGATACTGATGGAGATACAACAAATACATCAAATCAATATCATATTCCGTCTGAAATACTCTATTTATTAAAAAGTGTTAAGTATGTTGATATGCTCCTCTTTCAAACATGAACTAAACGAAATCACATTTTTTTCTTCAAGAGTTTTTGGTCATTTTGAACGGCCCATTTTTCTTGAACTATGTAAATCTTTGGAAAGTAAATTAGTGCTAGCTGGTGCTTATCTTTTTCGTATTGGCGATGCTGATGATAGTCTATATGTTGTACAAAAGGGACTTTTACATGTATTTATAACTGACGAAGTAAGATTACTAACTTTTCTCTCGTTTTATATTTTTTTCTTCAATAAAATTTTTCAGAGACATCATCGACATTTAATAAAAGAATGTGTTGAAGGTGATACAGTATTTTCTCTATTAAGCATGGTCGATGTAATGACTGTAAGTCTAAAATTGAAGTTTATTGCATTTGAAATTCGTTTTTTATTTTATTCATATGATAGCGTCAAAGCAAACCATTTAAAACTGTTAGTTGTAAAGCAATTGAAGACAGTGTTGTACTCAAATTACCAGCCGAAGCTTTTCTTAATGTATTTAAAGAATATCCTGAATGTATGGTTCGAATTATTCAAGTAAGTTTTCGTAACGATGTCTAAATAGATGAAATGGATGCAGATCGGCAAAACAAAATTGCATTCGAAATCGGTTTTTAGAAACAAACTGAAAAGTAATCGACTAAAAAATAGTATCTTTATTTCGAGTTAGAGTATAGTTTGGAATCAGATACTATCTCATCATTCGGGATAGGAGCCAATTATAATCAAGAAATAGCTCTTACCCGTATTCCAATAGCTAGAGTGTAAATACGTAAAAATAAATTTTGATACAAACAAGATAGGAAGTTGCGACTTTCAATGTTGAGAATACTATAGACTCGCTTGAAATATATGTATTTTAACGATTTTTCGTTTAATTCCTGCCAAAAAATTTATGTATTGGAGATGAATCTGCCATAAAAATATAAAGGAAGTCGCGTTTTATCTAATATTTGAAAAACAAAATTACAGCAAAGTGTGTTTAATCATCGCAAGAATATAGTTCAATCGACATGTTTAGTGACGCTTGTGATAATTTTTCAAAAATAGAAAATACACTGTGATCATCGTTCTTAATGCATGGACTGTGAAAATAAATCAGAACGTAATTCATAGAAACAAAATTGACAAAGAAATAAATAATATTCGATTGAATATGTGTTGATATTCCCGTACTAAAAATTCAATCCGACACTTCCCTTTCATGTTTTTGTTTAAAACTATGAGATAAATATCTAATCTTCTTCTACGTTTACTTAAGTCATACTGTTTTATTTCTTGATTCGAAAAGTTTTTCAATTGTAAAAATAACTAATAAAATCTCATTTAACAATAATAGATATCGATGATTCGACTTCAACGTGTAACATTCCTGGCCCTTCATAATTATTTGGGTCTAACCACTGAATTAACTCATTCAATTTATATTAATCCACAATTTCAACCTACACAGGATAATCATAGCCATAAATTAAATAATCAACGACGCCATAGCCATTCCAATGTTAGTGTTCATGGCGCAGATATTTCAAAGGATGCATTAAATAATATTGAAGAGGATTTAATTGATAATGAAAATATACAATCGTCAACATCTGTTACAATTGCATCATGCAATTCGCCATCATCCTATGAAACTCAAACAACACCAATATCTGCAATGAATGATAATAAAAATGAATTTGAAACTATGGAAGTACCATCGAGTACTGAACCAACAGTATCCATGGCAGTACCAACACAAACGCGTGCAGCTAATTTTTGTAATCAACGATCCATGAGTGTTATTGAAAGTCGTCATATGAAACCAGATTTCGAAGAAGCAGCAGCCCGGGCGCGTGTGAAAAACTCGTTAGATACAACATTTTTTGAAAAACATAAAATAAGCTATCCAAATGTGTCAAATAATCGAGCAACGAATTCATCGACTGCGCGGCGACGTGGAAGTTTTTCTGATGTAAAATTTTCTTTCGTCGAATTTTTCATTCATGTTTCAAAGTATTTATTTTTGTTCTCATTTAGCCTGACAATGCAAATATTTATTCACGATCATTAGGATCAGGTAGTGATAGCGGCGGAAGTGAATATAATGAAGGAATCGATGATTCAGATCTTCAAGTTGACTGGCCACAAATTCGAAACGCTTTAGCAAAAGCACTCGGTCAGTTGTTTTGTTCTACAGATTAGGCAATCAATATCAATACGATAAACAAAATTGAAATATCTTCATTTCGACTTCAAAAGATTACTGCTATTGTTGGTCTGAATTCAGAAGTTTTAAGCGAATCAAAAGAAGCTTTATATAGAATACCATATTTTGTTTTATATTGAAACTAAATTTTCGAAATTATTTGTTTTGCAGCATAATCATAGGAATATTTCGAATTTAAAGTATCGAACAATTCGTTTTTATGAGAACATTATCAATAAAATGCCTTGAGAATTTTGCGATGATTTGTTTCTAGTTGATAGAATAGAAATTTGAATTTCAAAACTTAACTAGTTCTGAACTATTGACCTCAGTACAACAATATCATAGTATCAATGAAGCTTTCTATAATTTTCTTAGATGGCAATTGTAAAGTTTCTTAAAATATATTGCATGGTTTTCTTACGAGACTACAGGTTACATTTCTTTAGTAAAAGCAACAATAGAAGTATTTGTATAGAACAAAAATACGGATATCGTCATTTGACTAACTAAAATTTTCAATCTTTTCTTATCGACTAAAGCCGAAGTGATATTTCAATTCTATATCGTAGTGTTATTTATAGATGTACTAATAGATTATTAGTATATGGGTGAAATATGTATTACTTTTTTCTTTTCCTCTAGGTTTCGAAGGAGACTTAGCGTTCCTTGATGATAAAGTTCATTTACATCGTCTACCTGATAGATATACATTAGTCAAAGAAGGTGAACAGTTGAATAAATTATTTTTTGTCATCCATGGCTCCATATCAGCTTATATGAAAGAAATCAGTGATCCAAAAAAAGAACGTAATAAATTTTGAAGTGAATAAAATAGAAATATTTATATAAATTCTTCACTATTGAAGGTGTGATGTTCACAAATCAAGCTAATGAAATAAGTGGTCTTGTCAGTGTTCTTACTGGAGGTTCGTATTGTTTTACAACTGTTTTTTGTTTTAGTTTTATATTCAACAGTTTATTTATTTATTAATAGAACCAACATTGTTTTCATATCGTACTCATGGTTTAACAGATATCTGTACTATAACAAAAGAAAATTTTTATGAACTGATGCGTGTTCAACCAAATCTTGTTTTACCAATAGCAGCTAGTTCGTTTAGATCTTTTTCGTTTTTATTTTTTATAAATATTATATATCATTTTTTTTTTATTAGTGATGGTTCAAAGAATGTCTCCATTAGTACGTCAGATTGATTTTGCTCTTGAATGGATGTTAGTTGAAGCTGGAAAAGCTCTATATCGGTATGAAAAAAAAAGAAATCAATTTATTTCAATTTTCAATTTTTTTTTTAAACATAATAGACAAGATTATAAACCACAAAATGTTTATATTGTTCTTAATGGTCGTGTTCGAAGTGTTTTATTAGCGCAAGATAAAAAACGGCGAGAACTGATCGGTGAACATGGTCGTGGAGAAATGGTTGGTCTTATTGAAGTCTTAATGGAAATGCCAAGACAATCGACAACAATTGCTGTTCGGTATACGATGAAAACTTCTTTTTCTTTTTTCTTCAATACTAACAATAGAAATGAATGATTTTTCAGTGATACTGAATTAGCTGTTATTCCATCTGGATTATTGAATTATATAAAATGGCGTCATCCACGTGTTGTTTCTCACTTGATTCATGTACTATCACAAAAAATCTACGGCACGATGCAAAATACATTGACAAACAGCGTTGGTTTAGCGATGCCATTGACTGATGGTAAATATGTGTAGGAGAGTTGATGATATGTTTAATAAAAACTTTTCTTTTGTTTAGATGAATTTCAAGATCAAGCAACAGTAATAAATAAAAATTTATCAACTGTTGCAATTGTTGCTGCATCGGATGATGTTCCACTTGATGCTTTTACTTGTGAACTTGTTCATAGTCTTATAGCTATTGGTACGCACAAAATCTATTCTTTTATATGATGAATTGTTTATTTTTTAATAAAAAAAATGAATTTTATTTTTCAAGGTCCAACACTGCATTTAACACAACAGTTGATTATTGATCGTTTTGGTGTTAGTGCATTTGAAAGTATTAATGACTATCGTTTAAGTGCATGGCTTGGTCAACAAGAAGAATTACATAGAATTGTTGTCTACCAATGTGATAAACAATTAACACCATGGACTAAACGATCACTTCGACAAGCTGACTGTATACTTATTGTTGGTATTGGATGGAAAGAAGCAGTTAAAGGATCAGTTAGTATTATTCAATCGAATTATTTTATATAATTTTTATTTATGATACATCCAGAGTGATTCATCACCTAGCTATGATTGAAGAAGAGATTTTTTTATGCCGAAAATAACTGTGATCCTAAGACCGTAACAGTACATATGAGTGAATATGAGTAAATGAGAGAAAACAAAGACAACAGAAAAAGAAAACAACAGGTTGTACAAGTAGATAATAAGACCTACAAGAACTTAAAGAAGAAATTTTCTTTTATAGTTGAAGCATTAAGATATTTCGAAAACATCAGATAAACAAAACGAATGAATTTATCGATTGTCTTACCATACATACAGGATTTCAGACAATAGATTTTGAATGAAATCCTTTCTTCATCATAGAGAAACATTTCTCCATGATCACTATTAGATTAGATATTAATTTCATCTGTTCAAAACTGTATAGCAGTGATTTACTTTGAATTATTCTTGTTTCACATAGTTCCAGAAAAAAATGAATATTTCTTTTGAATAGGTGGAAAAAGAAATTGAACGGATAGCTGTACGAGCTCAAAAAGAACTGATACTTCTACATCGTATGGGTAGTTTGAAGCCAAAGGGTACTGCTGAATGGTTAAAAGAACGAAATTGGTGTACATTTCATCATCATGTTCGATGTCCACAACGTGTTTTTCAAAATATTAATTTAGGATGTTTGGTATGAAATTTATAAGCTTTTTGTTCTTTGTTTTTTTTTTTGTAATGTATTTCAATATTATACCCATCTCATTTTCAGAATGATTATACAGATTTACTTGAACCAGATCCAGATCCAACAACTGACTTTGCTCGTATGGCTCGGTTTCTAACTGGTACAGCTATTGGTCTTGTTTTGGGTGGTGGTGGCGCGCGTGGTATTGCACATGTTGGCATGATTCAAGCCATGCACGAAGCTGGTATACCTATTGACTTAATTGGAGGAACAAGTATAGGAGCATTTATGGGCGCTTTATGGGCTGATGAATTAAATGTCAACGGTTATGTCGATAGAGCAACACATTGGTGCAAAGTAATCAGCTGTTTTTATTCCATTGACGTTTTATTGAAACTTGATTGATCATAGAAAATGACATCTTTTTGGAGAAAGCTTCTTGATTTAACGTATCCAATAACAAGCATGTTTACAGGTATAGATTTAAAAAAAATGCTTCGATTCAGAAGACGAGAAACTAACAGACTAAGAAATATTGTTTTTTGTAGGAGCTGCTTTTAATGAAATAATTGAAGAAGCTTTGCTTGATGTTCAAATAGAAGATTTATGGATTCCATATTTTTGTATAACAACTGATATTTCAGCGTCTAAAATGCGTGTACATACAACAGGTAAAATAATGTTCTTTTTTTATTCATTATTTTTTTTGTGAACGATAAACGAAAAAAGACGTATGTTGTTACGGAATAACTTCAAATTAGATTCGAGAATTCCCATATTTTTCTACAGGGAGTGCTTGGCGGTATGTACGTGCATCGATGACTTACGCTTTTTATCTTCCACCTTTGTGTGATCCGTTTGATGGACATCTTCTTGTAGGTGAGAATCTTACATTGAACAACGTGTAAAAGTGTAAACTAAAACACAACGATTTTTCTTTTGTTTCGATGTGTATAGATGGTTGCTATACGAACAATCTTCCTGGTAAGATTTTAATGGCTGGAAAGGAAAATCAATCGATTGAATTGATCATTTCTTTTTGTATCACGGATTCCTGGACAGTTTCTTAACGAGCATCATACGTCTTTTTTCGAGTGATGATTTTATCCGATATTTTTTGTATTATTTGAGTGTGTTTTTGTTCTGTAAATGTAGGATCATTATGGCGTTATGTTAGAGCATCAATGAGTCTTTCAGGTTATTTTCCTCCGTAAGTTTATTTTAATAGATTGTTGATCATAAAACATAGCGTCTTCTCTTGATCTGATAGATTATGTGATCCAAATGATGGACATCTATTACTTGATGGCGGATATGTAAATAATTTACCGGGTAAGGTTTAATCGTAGTTACACATTGTTGTCATCTGTGTTGTATAGAAATTTTAATCTAATCAGTCAAAAAACTACAAAATACTGTTGAGAGAATTGATTATCTATCAGGAAAAACAAGCATTTTAATGATATCAACAATTCACAATAAAATATTGTGATCGATGACATCCATTTACTCCTAAATGTGTACTAGCACACATATAGATATACAGTTATCGTATATTATAATGATTAAATCTATTTCTATTTGCTTGTTGAGACAAAAATCAATTCAATTTTGAGGAAAAATGTCCTGCTGTTAATGATGAATCATTGATTCCAAGTTAACTGACGTTCGATTAGTTCTTTATCATGATAGTCATATTGCTCTTGTACAAGTCGATCGGATATGTAATCATAGTTCCCATTTAATGTGTCAAATCAGTAGCTACAAAATGGTACACTTTATATTATAGCTGATCTCTCGTTTCAAGAAAAGAAAATACTTGAAAACCGATTACGTCTCTCTTTGAAGTTGATATCAAAATACTAAGTAATAATTCTTTTCTATCATCAACAAATGTTTATCGATAACTGAAATTTCTTGTAAATAATTGTCGAAGTGTAAACTGTCCAGGAATCAGTGTGATCATAATGCGGAAATGAAAGCAAAGCGGATTTTGATTTTGAAATAAACTAAATCTTTTAGCTGATGTCATGTATAAACTTGGTGCACATACTGTTCTTGCTGTTGATGTTGGAGCACAAGATGAACAGAATTTTTATAACTTTGGTGATCAACTTTCTGGTATAAATAAATAAAAGAAATTCTTGTAATTTTAATTCATAAAAAAAAAAAAACGTCTTGAATTCAGGTTGGTGGCTTTTGTATAAACGCTGGAATATTTGGTCAACACCTGTCAAGGTTCCTGAATTAAGTGAAATTCAAACTCGCCTTGCTTATGTATCATGTCAACGTCAATTAGAAATAGTAAAAAATTCAAATTATTGTGAATATTTACGTCCACCGATTGATCGTTATCGAACATTACAATTTGGTTCTTTTGATGAAATTCGAGTTTGTAGATTTTAACTAACTATTTAAAGAATAAACTAATGTTAGCATATTTTTTAGGAGGTCGGTTATCATCATGGAAAAGCTGTCTTTCATGGTTGGTCAAAATTAGAATCATATGATGCTGTTTTTCTTAAACATAAACTTCATTCATCTCGAGAAAAACAATTACGATTAGTAACTATGAATAATTTTTGTATTAAGCAGAAACCCATAATGAACGATCTCTGGAATTTTTTTAGCGTAAACAAGAATCCGCAGGGACAAAATTCATTGATCTAGCTGAATTAATTACACGTGTACGTGACGCACCGAAAGATGATTATGACGATGATGACGATATGGATGGTGATGATGCAGATGAAATCGGTAAAATGAATAGTTTGTTTTTCTTCTTTTTTTGTATGTCTTAACTCAAAATCTATTTTGAAGAAACAACTAACACTGAAGATTCACATACGTCCATTTCAAGTTATACAAGACTTCGTCCAAGAAGAATACCACGGTCCACTAGAGGATGGCTTACTACTGTTGGCGGTGGTTTAAAACGTTATAGAAGACGAGTATGTTCAATTTTTAAATTCATTTAAATAACACTATTTTTTGTATGTCTAGGTACGATTACGTTCTCGTCCTGAAACACCGCCTATACTCATTCAAGGAGAAAGTCGAAATCTACTAAACGTGACAAACCCTAATGATGACAACTAAAACGATTATATATTTAATTAAAATTACATATCTATCTGTCTCACGTTTCTGAACCGGTCTTTTAATTTAACGCTTTGAATGCTTTTTTTAAGCTTGATTATTTCCTCGTCTGATTTATACCTTTGTTGGCTGTCTTGATTGTAAATAAAATAATTGTCCAGCCTACATCTATTCCAAGGAGAACAAAGAAATCTATTATCGAACTGTTTGTGCTATGAATTATTTGATTGAGCAAATAGCTTTATTGAAAAAGATAAACTTCTGCTTCTCCTCGAATTTACGAGAATTCAACTCAAATCAATCGAGGTAAGTTCTTAATTTATTCAAGAGAAAAAAAAAGAGGCACGCATGATAATTTCATTGAATGCAAAAAGATGAGTTGATAAGATCAATAGGGTATTTTTCAGCCATAAAATGTTTCACATCGTCTGAAAAGAAATGAATTGTATAGTTTGTATTTCTCATGTCAAGTTTTCATTCTTACGTGCACATATGATTTGGTCGTTGGTTAGGATTTGAACAAAAATTGCTCGGCTGTCCTTGTATACGACGACGACATGTACATCGTGGTGTACTACTACCAGGCACAATTGAACATGTTGAGGATATAAGACATTCTGGTGAACAACGTGGTTGAATACATTGACATAAGATTGAATCAAGTATCTAATTGGGGTGAAAAATAAAAACGAAATATTTTCTATCCGATATACAGACAATTAAAATTTTACTTTGCCTTCTTGTTGACATTCATCCTCTTTCTTGCTGCATTTACATTCACATTTTGTATGATTCATTAATGTTAATGGACGATTAACTTCATATTGATTTGTATCATCCAAAGAAATCAGTAATAACTAAATATAAGAACATTATTCTGTAGGATAAAGAATATTTTATTTTATTTTTCTATTAACTGGACTGAATGTCACTGGATCTTGTTGAATCGGTATACAAGAAAATTGAGCGTCTTGGCAACAACCGCCACACCGATGTATTTCAAGACATTGCGGATACGATATTACATTATTACCTATTGTACGATCAACAGGCACTTCTTCGCATAAAACACGAGGTTCACATCCACCATTGCGAGGTTCAATGCTCGAATGCATGTCTAAAAGGAAAATATTAATAAAACAGAAATTAATAAAACAGAAATTCATTTGGTGATACCTGTCTTTAGCATTTGAGCAGTTGCTCTAATTGTTTCTTGTTCTTTTTTCAACGAATCAGGAGAAATGAGTGCTGATAAGATAATGCAAGAAGAATTCAATTTTAATAAGCTAACTATTCAATAATGTTATACGTACATAGACTACCTCTGCTGTCTGAACTTTTAAGAATAACCAAAACTTCTTGAATAGATTTAGCTTGAGATAAACGAGCACGAAGCTCAGCTTGTTTATGTTTATTCTGAATAAAATTAGAAATTAATTTTTCTCAAATATAATATGCTCCCTTTTATTCATACCTCATCAGCATTTATAGAATTAGACAATAAAATCAAAACAACAACTTGAAACAAATACATCTTCATCATACTGAAGTATTTGCAGAAGAAATATATTTATTCTATCTTATAGAAATATATCTACTATGAGAAAAATCCCGCATATATATGTACGCATCGATCTGTATAGATTATCTGCTGATCTACTGATAACAAATAGCACAAGTGTCATTTTCTGATTCATGATAGTTCGTATTTTTTTTTCTAAGATATATAGTTATTTATTTTTCTGTATTATACATAATATCATATAACAAGTAATAATAAAACGAGAATATGTTTTTCTTTTTTTCTTCCAGCTTTTATCTTCAGGGATATTTCGTACATTTCCTAAAAAGGAAATAAATAAATTAATGAAATATTTATTGTGATTAATAGGATAGAGATAAACTGACTTGCAACGAGCATCCGGCTGATAACCTGTTTGGCATGAATATGCGCCATTTTGACCTGGAATAGGTCGTTTACATACACATGATGGTTTATCTTGTGTACCAAGCAATTGGCAACGTTGCATTGCTTGACATTGAGGAAAACAAGCTTGTTCTCTACATCGACATAACTCATGATCCAATATCTTAAGAAATTTATAGGATGAGAATAGTAATCTAAGTGATCAATATAAATACTTGTGCACTACTTGGACATGCATCATCTTTCAGTTTACATTTACATGTACATTCTGTATGATTCTCTGTTTTAAATGGTTTCAATGTAGATATTGGTGAAGCAGATCCGTCTCCATGTTCAAATTTAACAATCTAAATAATAATTTTCATTCAACTGAAAGAATTCTAAGAAATGAAATTATTTACAGGACTAAATGAAACATAGTCAATTTTTGTTGGTTCACATGAAAATTGTGTTTCTTGACAACAACCAGAGCATCGATGAACCTCAACGCAATTAGGAAAGACAATACCACCTGCTGTTGCTTGTTGAACGTATACTGGCACACAAGTAATTCGAGGTAAACATCCTCCATTGACATATGGAACTAACTTATCATCTATAAATAGAAATTCAAAAATAAAAATCATATACGTAGAATTCTCATTCATATTAATACCTTTTGATATATCCAAGTCAGTCAATTGTGAATTGATATCTTTTTCAATTTTACGAAGATCCGCTATTTAAAAATAAAAATTAGATAAAATCTCGACGATAGGTACAGTAAAAAAAAGAGACAAAAGAATTCTAGCTTTTGAAACTATACTTTGCATTGCTACTTGATGCTTGTTATTCACACTTGAATCAGCATATATAGCAAGAGCTTGTTTCAATGTACGAGCTTTCGATAATTGTGCTTTGAAATTTGCAACAATAATCTATTGAAATGAAATATATTCAATATCTTGTAATGAACCGATTAATATTTTATCAACTTTTACCTGATCACGTGTAGCACCAATCGCTCCATAGGAACAAAAGATATTTAATATTATTAGTATGAATATACGTAAAATGAGATTGTAGGCCATTTCTATGAGCAAGAAATAAGTATGATATATGGAACTGTTGAGAGGAAGAATAAGATATCTATGTTTATACGTCGTTAATACTGAATTAGCTTGGCAAGTTTTGCTTTTATTTCTGTATCATATTAATCATCAAAGGCATCCGCTTCGCAGATATCAAACATAGCTCATCGGACAAAATACAAATATGCAATAGTAAATTCACCAGAAATATCGTTTAGCAGACGTTAGCATAACCATATGAAAATGTAATCAAATGTCAAATATCACACATAAGGGGAAAAGGGAAATGCGATAAAAAAAATATATCCAGTAGCAACGCAAGTCGTATTTGCAGCTATCCAAATAGTGCCTATTGGGCAAGCACATGTGTCTGCATTACAATAAAGTGATATAAGACATGTATAATTAGATGATGTTAAACATAAACCACTTAATGATGCTCGATTCACTATTATAAAAAAAGAAAATGTGACAACGAATGAAGACAACAATGCAATTATATATATATCACATTGTAGTAACGTTGAATCATAATATTTTGTGCTTGCGCAGTTACAAACCATATCAGACAGAGATAGAGGACAATTACATGCACTTGATACTGTTGGGCAAATCAATGTTGACATACAATCACTATCAAGTACATACATTTGGCTATAATTCAAACGTTGCTCTAAATATTTAGAGAAGAAGATAATAAATACATAGGTTTTTTCAAGTATTCTGCAGCTTTCCGAACAGAAATATACACGGCATTGTTCAAAATTGATGTTCCAATATTTTGTTGAATAATCACATTGACATCGGCTACTATTACAGAAAAGACCTTTAGCTGAATCGCATTCATTTGAACCTATGGTGCATGACTGATTGATATTATATGCAGTTTCCTAATTAAATAAAATGAACTAAGATAAATTTTTTGAGAAAGAGAGATAAGCCATACGACAAAGATTCGATGAATTTAAAAATGTTCCAGCTGAACAAACACAACTCGATACATTCCATACTTTAACGTAGCTGCATATACCAGTACCATTACAAATGAGGCCAACCATTGACTTACATTGACTGGATAATGTACATGATTCATTATGCGTTAAAATGGTGCCTAAAAAACACATGAAATAAATCCGTAAAGATTCTTCATCTTTGAGCGATTATGGAATTGTTGGATTCTATCGGACACTAGTAAAAAATTAGAATTAAATTCAATAGGCGACTGTAGACAGTAATGATCGATCTGGTCAAGTATAAATATTTCATGATGAATTCATCGATAAAATATCAATTTTTATTATTCTTGTCAGTTAATCATCAACGAGTAATAGCTAAGCATTTGTTAAATTATATTTATTCGTAGAATAACTATAACTATTAAATAGAACAAAGCATTTTGTATCGAATAATCTTTAGTAACCACATAGAATACTGATTAGAAGAGTATTCTATCAAACAGTTTTTAATAGTAACTGTGAATTTGATAGTTAATTGAAATTTTAAGGAATCAAGTTCTGTAGAACAATATATAAAGCATCAGAAATTTTACAATAAAAATAATTCACGTTCAATTAACATATATTTTGGTTGCTTGAACTGTTGTGATGTTTTTTTTCCTAAAAACATAAAATCGTTTGTTCACTTGTATCTAGAAGAAATAAACGTATGCTTTTGTTTCTATAACTCAACTATTTGATTTATTTAGATAATGCAATGGTCATATGTGATTTAGCTAACTAATAATGTTTATTTCATTTGCTCATTCGTAATTTTCTAAATTTCTTATCTAAAACTTTTGACGGCATCTTACTTGAATTCACTAGCGCACTCCAACCATATGGTGACGTACAAGAGCAAAATCCCGTAGAACAAGAAAGACCTAAAGATGAAATGCATTGATTTGAGCCGATTGTGCACACTTCATTATGGGCAAGAGAATTATCACTCGTATTGTTTGTTGAAATAGAAAAATAAAATTTGATTCTTTCAAATAGGAGAACAGTACTTTTCTGATGAAGAAACATTTTCACAACAACTCTAATTATAGTACAAATAAAACAAATGCCAGTAACTGTAATAATGATAACAGTATATGTATCTGGTGTCGTTCCGGTATTGGAGACATCTTCATTCTAAAAGACGAATGAGCTAGTATGTCAAATTAATGAATATATGTATGATATAGATTGCATAGACTGAATTTGGATACCATAATGCTTTTCATCATCGTTATAAAAATTAGATTTGGTTCAGGCGGTTTTCTTGGAATTATTCTCATTTGAACATGTTCATCAAATTGAATATTCTTTTGCGAAATTCGCGGTCGCGACATTTCATGATGGATGAACAGTTCGAATGAAAAAAAATGCGGAAACATCGGATTTGCATCCGATTGTTATGTGTACTTCAAAAAGCGAAAATGTACATCCATTTTTTTCTATAAGGCATAGATCTCATCAAGATACATCCCTTGTCACTAAATTACAAGGAGNAACCATTTCTTGACGGATCCTTCTCATCTTCGAACTCGACTGAGACATTGATGAGACTGAACTGTGTAGAAAATTTCATCATGATCTAACTCTCCTTTCGAAAGTTATTGTGTAAACGGACGGCCGGACGGACACACTGACCGATTCTAGAGTGTACTCACTTTTTGAGTGCACAAAAAAGCAAAGCAATATTTTAAATAAAACACATGTTTATTTTATTTTATTTCCCAAATGGTATAATATGAAGTACGATTGAAAAACAAGGTTGCTTAGTCGCGTCAAACGGAAACGAGTACAATATGTGCAACATAAAAACAAAGAAGGATGAAGTGATATAATTGTTTTTTCTATCAAGAGAAAAGAGGTAAGTTTGAAACAGACGACGATGAACAGGAACTGATTGAAAAGTAAGTAACTTCACATTTTTTTAAAACTATTTAAATAAATTTTTATCATTCCATTAAATAAAAAATTATTCGAATACATGTATAAACAATATTTTTGAGAGAATAGATACATTGACTTTCTTAGATTGATTCAATCAAACGTTTGATGTATCTGCATTTGTATTGATTGAAATGGCCTTATGATTATGTTTAGGAATATTAGTTTCATAATTAAGTATTTCAGTTTTTTTGATTAATGATTGCCACCATAATTGAATTTGATGACGAATTGTTCTATTCCAATATATGATAGCATTGCTATCAATTAAAATGCAGATTAATGGTAAAAGAAGTGTAAAGAAATAAAATATATCGGGAATGTTTCCTTTTTTATCAAATGCTTCAACTATTATAAATGGTGTCCAACCGATTAGAAAAATAATTGTGAAGAATGAAAATTGCCTTAGTAAACGTACATTTCGCAGTTTATGCCTATTCAGACGGGACTGTTTTGTACGAGATAGAAGATGCATTTGCCGTGATCGTGTTACATTTAAGTAGGTAACTAAATTCATTAATGATATAAGTATGAATGGAATAATATAAGCAGTAGAAAAATATATAAATAATAATGGTGATTGTTGACTAATAGTACACATTTGAGCTTTTGACTGAAATATTATTTGTTGTTTAGGTAAAATTAAACTAATAGTCGGTAAAAGAAAAGCTAATATCCATTTTATTATTAGATACATTTTAATATAATGAGTTGAACTAATTTTCTTGTTAAACGGATAAATAATTGTTAAAAATCTAACAAATGCTACCAATGTATATGAAAACATAAGACCATGAGAGCTTGATAAAATAAGAGATCCAGTAAATTGACACAGATATGGATTTACAAGTTTTGTATAAAGAATAGATATTGTTAAACTTACTGACAAAATACAAGCTATAGAAAAAAATATACAAGCGAAGCAAACATTGATCAAAAGAAGACTTTGTGCAGTACGAAGACGTTTTACAAGAAGTAAACTTGTAATGAGGAGTATATTAATGATAATTATACATAAACAAGTGGCATATTTAATACTACTTTTCAAAATAATACTTATTAGAACAGACAGAGATATTGAATCGATAACTTCATGTGGTGCCATTGTATTTTATTCGTTTCATACAGAAATCAAAAGCCTGTAGTCAAGTCAGCATATAAAACAAAGTCTTCGATCAATTGTTCGATAAACAAGATCTTTTATTAATATATACACATAATTGTCTTTCTCCAATAAAAAGAAAGAATAAAGTATACAAATAAAACAGAAAAAAAACCGAGAAGAGCTATATATTACTCTCATCGATTTCCTCTATTATAAATACAGCAAATAAATGCTCAATAAGAAAAATGAGTCAACACGACACTTATGATTTATATAGCAATGAAATATGGAATGACTTTACATAAATCATTTTACTACATTTTATGATTTACATCAATAATAATTGTCATGAGATACGAATGAACATTAAGTTTAAGAGATTTATTTCCGAATAAATTAAATTTAGATATTAAGTAACTTATACATCCGATTTCAAAGTAACAATAAATGATTGTCATTATTTTAAGAATTACTTGAAAAGAAAATATTTGAACACAAAATAGATTGTTTACAAGTCATTCGCGAGAGATGACCTTGTTTATTATCGAACACCAAAATTGAAAATACTTTCGTGGTTACCTAAATATACAAAAATTGTAAGAGATAATGATGCGGCAGCATAGCTTCCTGACTATGTCAGTAGAATGTTGGAAACATGCAGACAACGCCTTTTCAAAATGACTCAGTCGGTAGGCGAGGCAGCTCAAAACTTCCCAGGGGAAGAATGAGCGCGTAGGAGGCACAAGGCTGAAAGTATACTTATGTTTACGTCACTATGACACAATTATCGTTGGAGTAGTTGGACTAAATGTCAATGTCAGTTCTCATTTTACTATTCTCAGCGGAAAACTTTTCGTCTACGCATTTTTCACGCAATTTCAATATTCTCATTATAACTTAGTATTGTAATAAATGTTGCTGTCACGTAAAGTTATTTTCTTTTACTATGAAAATAATGTGATTTTATAGCAAATATCGGCATTCGATTAAAAAAGGAAAACTTTCAAATGAATACTTCTAGGTAAACGATGCAACCTACGTATATAGAGTGCAAACGTCTCTTTACGGTAGCTTTACACTCGTTTACAGTGACTCTTACTGTTCGACATAGAGTCTTGAGGAGTGTAATGACAATAGCATCTTATAATTTTCAAGAACCATAGAAAACGATAATATGATATGTTTTGTTTTTCATATGATAATTCGGTCATTGCAGTCATCAAGAGATCTAATATTTACATAAAATTATTTTTATAGTATATTATATCAATATTGTCTTGATTCCGATGAATACATATAATGCGGGGTGTGGGTAGATGAAGAAAACCCTTACAAACGCACCCTCAGTTTGGTTCGTATTAAGTAAATCATTAAATCAAAGGCTGTAATTTGAAAAATTATTTCTTCTAAAACATTTTTTGTACGCAGTCTATCCCATTCAATTTATTCTTCGACATGAAAAGTTTAGTTATTTGTGATTTTGAACAATGCATTCAAATTATTTTAGTTGATAGCACGAATGCAGGTCGTGGCGGTACGGCCGGAAGACATGAGAAATCGCTGGAAGATGGAAGAAGTATTCTGACCACAGATTGTCATATTTTTTCCAGTGGATTCCGGTGCGTTCCGGTAGGAATCGATAGTAAATTATTGGAGGAAAATCTGAATATTGCGCCAGTTCTTACAATATTCGGCGGCCGGAACGATCGACTTGGGTACAATATGCTACTGAGAAAAACGACCGCGTTACAATGTATAGTTGCCACAAAACATATTTCGATTTATAACCATCATCAGCAAAAAATAGCAAGTAACGCTCGTTTGCTAGATTCGCTGAGTCCTCGACTGTATGTCGTGCTCTTCTGATATAATTTATTTCGTTGCAAGCTTCAACAACACTAGTCTCCAGTATTTGAAAAAAATAGATATGATTTTAGACCCTGATACGAAAGTCGATGGCACATTACTAGATCTTGTACACATTTCTATACTTCTTTCTGTCCCGAGCTCATCTGATGCCACTGTTAATTAAGCACCAACAACACACTAAAATTGGCACAATGTATATCATATCATGTAAATACTAAACGTACAGCATACACAAGCAGGGCTATACATAGCCTAGGTAGAGAAATAGTCAATTTGTGCTACTTAACCTCCCTCCTCCACCTTGCAAGAATGATACTACTTCGGATGATTCAATCAGCCTGAAATTTCCAGAAAAGCGTGACCGCATAAGGAAATATCCACAGTGTAACATCCATCGTGATATATCAAAGTAGACATGATTTATTGCTAATACATAGTTAAATTTTGGTATTTCAGAGAATCATTATAACTTCGTTATTAGAGGAGCCTATGAATCCATGGTTGCTTTCAATGGAGTTAGAATACCATCTAAGTCTTTATGAAATAGGAATTTCGAAAAGCATTCCTGTTTAATATTTATAACCACTTTACTGTGGATCCTGTGGGAAAAAACCAAAAACATTTTCGTTTCACAACATTACATCTAGCTGATTTCAACTTAGGAATGAATCGTAGAAAACCTGTTTTGTGAAATTTATGTAACTGCACGTGATAGGCAGCAATAAAAGCTTTTAAAAAATACACAAGCACTTACAAAGACTATTTTACTTTGTTTGAATATCTTTTACTGAAAATAGTCAGTTATTTTCATTTAGTCCATTTGATAATGTGAAAACGAATTGTATTTAAAATAGAGTCCCTGTAAAAAATTCGAAGAATACAGAAGAATCAATAATTATCGAATAGATTTGTTTAAAAAACACGCAAAATTATACTAAAACAAAAGCTTTTTTAGCAATTTTCTAGTTTTTTTCATTTTTATAGGAAATACAGGAAAATTCATCGAAATATAGGAGAAAAAATAGGAATTTTTAAAAATATAGGAAATATAGGACGAATCCGAGGCCAGAAATTTAATTTATACTGATAGTAGAGAAAAGTTCGAAGTTTTCATTCCATAGTATGAAGTTCATAAATAATCCTACAAGTAGTACTTTCAGATTTAATACTCAACAAAAAGATCTTTTCTGTTACTTCATAAACATTAAAATATATTGAACATTTTAAACAAATTCTAGGCACATTAACCTTACGTCTCGTGTTCATGACAGTCCTTAAATAGAGTTATTTTACTCACGAGGGAACCTCTCCAAGTGATACCAACCATTCGGGCTCATATTGTGCTCATAAGTAGGACCCAGTGATAGGGGTGGGCCATTAACATTAATTTAATATTAATGTTAATGTTTTTCATTAACCATTAATATTAATGGTTAATGTTTTCATGCAAGCATTAACTTTCCATATTAAGTAATTAATACGTTCGGAGAAAACATTAGCTATTAAGATCAGTTAATTGATTGATAATAGTAGATAATGTTTCCTTAGAAAAACCTAATTCACTAATATGCAAAAATTAATGTTTTCATGAAAGCATTAACATTAATATTAATGATTAATGAAAACATTAATTTTAAAATTGATGTTAATGTTTTTCATTAATCATTAATGTTAATGAATTAATTTTTTCTCAAAAAACATTAACCATTAATATTAATGGTTAATGGAAGTCATTAATTAAGTTCCGTTAAAAACCTGGCCCACCCCTACCCAGTGAGACTAGAAAAATCTAAAAGATTTCATGCCATTAGGCCTTTCTTTCAAAGCGATGACCCTTTTTACTGAATTGTCGACCTTGGACAAGGAATTTATAGAAAAACTGAATGAAGGAATTTCGAACTGAAATTTTCCTAACAATAGGTCGCATCGATGTTAGAGGGTTCCGGAAGTTTCAGTGAAAACGGATGCATCATTCTTTAGATATTGCATATTGATGAAAATGGCCATTTTCCAAAAAATGTCGTAAAATTGACTTCTATTCAATATCTTGAGAATGATGCATCCGTTTTTACTGAAACTTTCGGAACCTTCTAACATCGATGAGATCTATTGTTAGGAAAAATTTCAATTCGAAATTTCTTCATTCAGTTTTTCTATAAATTCCTTGTCCAAGGTCGACAATTCAGTAAAAAGGGTCATCACTTTGAAAGAAAGGCCTAATGGCACGAAATCTCTTAGACTCTTTCTAGTCTCACTGGGTCCTACTTATGAGCACAATATGAGCCCGAATGGTTGGTATCACTTGGAGATGTTCCCTCGTCAGTCTACTTTTCATAGAAGTTTTTGTTAAGGGAAAAATAATCTCTGCTGAGGAAATGTGCTACTTACTGTGAATTTCGTAGATGCATTTAAAAATGTTTTTATGGAGCAGTGTAGAACTAGATGAAAGGAAGGGTGAAGGCGTGTCTTCTCTTCGTAAACAATTGGTTTCTTAGTCACAACCACAGTCATACTTTACAAATGAATTAATCTGCTTTTTCTGGATTAAATGCAACTTTTAGTAGCGAAGACTTCCAGCTTTCCACAGGAGTCAGTGCGATAGAAGTCGGAAACTACATCTGATTACGTCACTATACTGTCAAAACGCGTAATTATCTTGGAAATAATGTATTCAAAATGAATTTTATTAACTCCTTATAGAATTCGCAATGAGAAAAGTTTTCGTCGTTTTATTCTTGACACAATTTAAAGACATTCATTATAAATTACGATCATAATATATTTTTTGTCATGCATAATTAGTTTTTCTACTAAAAGAACAATATGATTTTAGAGCAGTTAATATCGACATTATGAATTCAAAAAGACAAAAATGTCTACTGACTAGTCCTAATTGAAAGATACAAACTATAAACGGTGAACTACTAAAATGTCCTCGTCGTTCTATTTCCTGATCAGGAGACCATCAGAAATACGAAGAAAAGTGAAGTAGACTATAATTATATCGTGATATTCTTATTGTGATTTGCAGTCGAACAACAGTGCAACAAATGATGGTAGAGGAGTGGTAGAACGATATAAATATGATCATTTATAGTCAAACGTAAAAGGCAAAATTTTCGTTACAGATAACTATACACTAGTTTACGGCGATTCGGTATATTTGATGTATACTCTTAAAAAAGTGTGATGACAATAATATTTTACAATTTTTAGGGATCTCATAAAAATAATTATATCTATGATATATTTTTGCATATCTTTATTCCTGAAGTCATGTCATCGAAAGAACAACTATTTATATTGGGCGATGATAAAATCTACTTTTCGAGTAATTAAATTGTTTCGAGAGTTCCTTTACTGCGACGTGCATATAAGATAGAATAATCGTAGTTCACATCATAAGTCCAGCTTACATAGTTATCTTCTTATTTCACTGAAATGATAAAGCACTATCTAATGTGTATGCAAGCTAGAAGTAAATAAGAGTACTTTGATTTGAAAGGACATTATATTACTATCAATGAACAGTTTATCGGAATATTATTAAATATCAGCTCTTTTATGATTATATACTTTATAAATTATTTTCAAGCAAACAGTTTTTGGATAGTGTGTCTTCTGTTCATGTTCTGGTTACGATAATTCATATTTCGCATTTTAAATTTTAAATTTTAAATTTTAAAGTTTTAATATCTTTCATCACTTTAAAAAGCATTTTTTGTATCGAATCACCGATAACTTTAATTGTATTTTTATTTTCATGTAACCAACATTAAACTACATTTATGTTGTCCAATATAACTTAGCGCCATCTCTTGTTGACACTTTCTGATTAATGAAAACAAAATCTCACGATGACTCATAAAATAATCATGCATACATTCAATGTTTTTTATTTGTCATAGTCAGAGCAAAGTGCTGTTTCTTCCTTATATTTTTCAAGTCTATACTGATAACGTCATGATGCAGCCACTTTTCTTTTTTCTGTCGTGTTTTTTTTATCGATGAATAATTTTACTGACTTATAAACTTACAAAAACGTTTTTTTTTCTAGATCTGTTTCATATTATTTTTATTTTCATTGAGCTCTTTTCCGTTAATTATTAAAAATGAATCGTCTATTCGGTCAATCAAAGGGCAGCGCTGTACCAAAACCTACATTAACTGATACTGCAGCAACACTTGATTCACGAGTTGAAACATTGAATAAACAAATTGCAACAATCGATCAAGGTAAGTTTACTTTTTGAGAATTTTTAACGATCATCATTTTGTTGCTGTTGTTGGTATTTAGAATTACAAGCTTATAGTAAATTGCCTCCAGCTAGAAAAGTGAATTTTTTATTATCAAAAAAAGAAGATATATCTGCTTTGTTTATTTAGGCTGGTCAAAAAGCTAGAGCTATGGGTCTTTTAAGTAAAAAGAAAATGTAAGTATTAAATAGATATTGATTTTCTATTCAATTTCAATATTGAACTCTTACAGGTACGAAAGACAGCGAATGACAATAGAAGGACAAGCGAGTAATATAGGTGCAACTGCATTTGCTGTTAGTAATATTGAAACACAAAAGCAAATCGTATGAAAACATCTCTTATCATTTTGAAAATTAGCAAATTATCTAAATTTATTGTTCATTTTAGTTTACTGGATTAAAAGATGCTAAGAAACAATTAGTTAAAGGCTATAAAGATTTAAAACCTGAAAAAGTTGAAGTAAGTTATATGATTTATTAGAAAATTGTTATTGTTTATTAAAAAGCCGTTTTTATCCGACCGTATTGTTTGCGAGATTAATTATTGAAATAAGAACAGTGTATAATCCTTCTTATAACTTCATATTTCGATTGGAAATAAAATAATGTGTATAATTAAAATCTTGTTTAGGTTTTTTTGTCTCTCTCTCTATGTAATACGCAGAATTCATGTCTAATACATCTGTTGATCTGAAATAGAATTATAACTACTAAAAGAGCAGGTCTTAATATTGAAGTTCTGATGTTTTCATAATGAATCATTTTCGATGAGGTGTGTCATATGTATTTCATAACTTACAGACAAATAAATTTTGTCACGAATGATACAAAAAAATGTTTAGTTTAGATCAGTACATCATAGGAGATTTTTTTAGAAGAGCTTCAAATTTTAAGTCAAAAACTTAAAATTAACAAGATCTCACTAGATATCTTAGAAAAAAATTTTCAAGCTCAAACATTGAGTAGTAGTCAATCATGCTATAAAACATGCAAAACTCCTGAAAATATAACCAAAGAAATCAATACATATTAACTATTGAAGATTTTTTTCGGAGCAATATCAATGAATTCTGAAATAGCTTGTCTTGAGCAAAACTTGTCATCACTGAAAAGTACTTTAGGCAAGTCAAAAAAAGATTGATTCTTCACATTTATTATCCATCTTCATCTAGCAGTGCCAGTATTTCGAATTAAAAAACATGAAATGAGATGATACCATTTACAAAATGATTTTATTTAGTCACTTATGGATGATCTTGATGATCAACTACTTGATCAAGAAGAAATGAACGATATGTTCAGTCGACCGATCGGCCAAGATACGTACATGACTGATGCTGATCTCGAAAGTGGTATGCAGAAAAATATTAGTGTTTAATATATATAGTATTTGTATTTCTCTAAAAGAATTGGCTGGTCTTGCTGAAGAAGAATTTGGTATGGATTCTAATGCAATGCTTAATGATCTACATGCACCGACCGTTCCTGCTCATACACTTGATAGTGGCCGAGCAGGAGTTTCGACAACTAAAGTTTGTATTGATCTGTTGTTTGTTACTTATTTTTATATTCTTACTTCTTGCTTTGTAATTAGGACGGTGTTATGGTTGATGAATTTGGTTTACCAAAACTACCTGCATCAGGCATGAAGAATTAATGCGTTTGATTTTGTATTAAATGACTGATGAATTTATCTTTTTCTTGTATAAACATTGAATTTGTCCTATTACTTTTCTTTTTCTTTCTTTCGCTTTCGAATCTATGAAATAAACAAAAAGCTTCAACTGATGAATATTGTGCTGATTGAATAGATATTTATTTGAAAAACAATCCAAATCATACAGACAAATAACTATTTCAATTTCAGAAGCATTTCTTCCAGCAAGACATTTTCCCCATTACCGACCAGCGAACACAGCGACATTTACCTGAACAACATTGATAATCGTGTGAACAAAGATTGTTTTTTAGACGGCATCCTTCTTGATTTGATTCAATTGAATATGTACCTGCTCCACCATATGTATAATAAGATGGTGAATTTTTAGATCGATATGCTGCTGGACGGGCAAGGTCGCGATTATCACGCGAAAATTGATCGATATGAAAATAACGTGATTGAATAAATGAAGAAGAAATTCCACGTGGACGTGATATTGCGTCTAGTTTTTTAGAATATTCTTTAGCCATATCATTTTGTGTTTTGGAAGGATTGATGTCCATAGATGGAGATTGTATACGGCTTGATGATTCAAGATTAAGTTCACGAACTAAACATTTATACCGACATGAATCATATAAATAGATACATAAAAGAAAGATTTTCTTTATTTATATAGAAGTTTATTATTTGTATTTAGAGCTGTTTTAATATATTAAATTATTTTGGGCTTCGAAATTTTTCTCAGCGCTATTTTTTTAAATCAGAGTGTTTTTTCTTCCGTTCTTTTTCTCATATAATAACTCGCAATCGGCTGAGAGCATTATTTCAGTGTACCGCTTTTTACTTTTAGATGGCGGCAACAAAATCGGAAAAGACTTTAGACGAGGCTGAAAAAGTAGTTCAAGCCAAACATGATTTAACCGAGTCTATTAATCAACAACAAATATTTCCTGATCGATGTAAATATGATTTTAATGTAATATTAATTTTAATTTCAGATACTTTTACCTGCATATATTTCTTGTTCATTGAGAGATATAATTAAAAAAATTCCAAAGAAAATCCATTGTAACATATTCATGTTTTAATGTTCAAAAATTGACAAAAATGCAAGGTGAAAATAATATGGGCTAGAAGTAGTCTAATTGAAATCGTGTTCTTTTTTTTTATGTGTGTCAACCGAATGTACGAGTTGATCAGATGAACTGTAGTATTGGTTGATTCACATAGCGGAGAGGTCATAAAATGTTATGAGTTTCGTTCAATCGATTTTTTTCTTCCTGTGAATGTTGGTAATGACAACCGCATATGAGGTCATTACAAACAGAGAAAAATAATATACCCTACGTGTTCTTATGTTCATTTAAGAATAAATAATTACTATAAGAGTCATTGATTGCAAAGGCACTTTAAAAAAATATTTGAAAACTTAAATTATTGAAAAATTCTAAAAATCCTTGTGAATATTTTTGAAAATCAAATTAATTATTATTTTCCAAAAGTACAATATACGAAATAATAGTCATACTTTACAAAAAGTAATCAGACAAAAGAATCTGTACAAAATAGAATAAATAATAGTAGAAACAAAGAAGTTATGAAAAAAAAAGATCAAATCTACTTTGTTCTCAAAACAATGGTGACAATGATTTTACGTCTGTTTTAGTTTCATCTCCAACTAAGCGTCTGGTACTTCTTTTAACTGGCTCATTTAATCCAATAACTATAGCACATTTACGCATGCTTGAATTAGCTCGAGATTATTATCATCGTCAATCAATTCAAGTTATTGAAGGTTTCATATGATTTTAATTGTCAAACATATAATTCTATCATGAATTTTATACTTAGGAATTGTATCTCCAGTAAGCGATAACTATGATAAACCCGGTCTAGCGAAAGCAAATTATCGGATTGAAATGATTCAAGCAGCCATACGTGATAATCATTGGCTTCGTATGGATAGTTGGGAAGCTGAACAGACATCTTGGACGCGAACAAAATTAGTGCTCGATCATCATTACGAAGAAATTAAAAAACGATTTGGTGAAAATACGGAACTTCGTTTACTATCAGGTAGAATAGATTTTATTTGTAAATTGTTTATTGTATAAAAAAAAGAATATTCTTTTGCTTAGGTGCTGACGTTGCACGTTCTATGCTAAGCCCAACTATTTGGCTGCCACAAGATATCGATTCTATAATGACAAAGTATGGCCTTGCTTGCATAAGCCGTTTGAGTGCTCCACAACCTGGTCAAAATACTGCAGCTGTGTCAGATGTTAAAGAAGGAATGCCTGATCTATGGAAACAACATATTGATATTATTCAGGATTGGGTTATTAATGATATATCAGCTACAAACATACGCGCTAGATTAGAAGAGGGATGTAGCGTTAAATATATCGTACCGGATGCTACAATCGAAATAATTCGTCGACATGGTTTATACAATTCAAATAAATCTATATGCTTAGCTGATTGGCCAATTGAAAACCAAAAACAATAATAATAATCTATACTAGAACATTTTACATGGCAACTGATTTATTTCCTGCTATTTTTATATTCTTCATTACGTCGTAGTAGATGTTTAACCAATGATATTTGGTTGATTTCTATATTTTACTGAAATATAGCATATGAAAATAATCTTTATTTTATCTTTGAATATCCTTGATCACATTAAATCAATAAAATAAAATACATTTGGTCATTTTGTTTGATTTCATACATGTGCGAAAGAACTATTTCATTCTTTGAATTAGAGCCAATCAGTTGCAACGATTTGAAAGTAATACGACCATTTCGATAGTAGCAATCTTAAATTTTCACGCAAAAAGAAAATAAATAAAGTTTTGTAATTGAAATCAATAAAAGTTTCATTGCTAGTCGTGACACAGCCAACTTTGACACTATAGATTTCCACACATTTGAGAAATTCCTGTGAATCTCACAATGTGTGAGATCCATATTAACAAAACATGAATCTTAGCAGTGGCAAATAACATAGCTACTATTTTAATGCTCTTTGTCATGAGACCAGAATTCTATTGCATTGATAGCTGATAAAATAATTGAGCTTAGTTGTTTTGTCTCTCATGTCATTCCAAAGGTTTTTCAGTAGAAAATTTTGTTTAAAATTGATGTACAACACACATCACACATGACCTTGAGGTTAGAGTACGGATCCTCTATTCAGCAGCGTCTACACTCATAAGCATACCCAACCACTCCCTATAGTCATGTATACACTCGAAAAATTTAATGTTTCTACATTTTCATGTAATATTCTTGGAATGAAACCCCGATTCCGACTTCGAACCCGAGTAATTTTTGAAACTGCAGACTTCTATTGGTGAGAAATGTCAAACAAGTCATTTGCTAATGATCAACAATTTTAACTAACCAATTCAAATGTTTTTTTTTGAAAAACATCTGGTTGGTTTCAGTGATTTTACTGCATTTCAAATGAATTCGACTATCAAAATCAGTCATTTCGTCTGGGATTTATTCCCTGGAGGCATCTCAAATGACTCTGTTTCCGTTTGATTGGTAAAGACCATAATGCTACTTATTAATAGCTGCTATAATAAAAAACATCAACGAGTTAATGATCTTCGAAATAAAGTAGTCGTGCCTATAGAGCTACAGAACGTACACAGAAGCTCGATCTGTACGACATTAGCTAAGATAATCGAGGTCATAAATAAAATGATAAATCTGCCAAATAGAAAGATCACAAAGTTGACGTTTTATCACTGGCCATGTAGGAATAAAAGACTTCGCAGAAATTTGATAATCTCAAAGTGACTATTAGCGAAAGTTAGATTTATTTTCGAATCACTAAAGCAAAACATAACATTTAAAACTTGATAAAATATACATGAAATGTTCTATGTTTAAATTTTTTCTGATGTACAAAACAGAGTTTTAGACAAAAGTCTTTTTGTTTGTTTTGATGAATCTAATTCAACTAGTAGATACGTGTCCAAGTCAGAGTTTCAGTTTGAAACTAATGTAACAATGCATGTTTAAGATCATTGTAAAAGATTGAATTCGGATTTGGGAAAGTTTTATTAATTGAGTTGGACTTAGACTATGCAACAAGTTTAATATATTCGAGCAGAGGTCAACATTGTCGGATCCTGCAGGTTCTATCAGAGTGGATGTTAAAAGTACTTGATTTCTATTCATGTAAACTCCACTGATTAACTACTTGAATGAATTATTTGCTGAACTCGATTGATCGCTTGATTATTATTTAATATGGACAATAGTATTTTATGTGAAATCGTATAGTGGCCTACATCAGCAAATCAAGTATTCGTTGATCTCGGAAGATAAACAAAACTTTTACTTCGTGACTTTTCCACCGAATTCTCAGAAGAATGCAATGAAAAAGTCAAAAGAGTTACTAAAAGACATGTAATATGATTTATAAATCATATTATATTAATAAGTCACTACAGAATTTATCAAACTCACTCATATCGATCGCGTTACGAAGAATGTTGCTTAATTGCTTTCATTGTGTTTTCTTAAACCAATGAATTGTGCTATTCAATCATTGTAAGACAAAAAAAAATAACTATTCCCAAGTATGTCGAATACTCATTTTTTATTCAATTTAGAAAAAAGCAAACTTATTCCAAGAGAAAATAATTCGTTTAAGATTCTTGTTGTTGAAACGTCGAATTTTCAATAGAAATTGGTTGAAGTAAATTATTTGTAGAAGTTCTTTGAATAGTATTATGATTTCGTCGTGTACGTGTTCTTTCTCGACGTCCTGCTGTTGGTGGTGGTGGTGGTGGCGATGATAATGGTCGTAACATATCAATAAAAACTGGTGTTCGACAATAAGCACATGTCGCATGACTACGTAACCATTCGTTGATACATTCACTAGAAATAATAATAATAATAATGAAAAAAGCAAAAATAGCAATCGTCTACCTATGAAAAATATGTTGACAATCAAGTATTTTAATTGAATCAGTCGATTTAAAATCTTCTAAACAAACATAACATTGTGTATTAATCATTACTGTTTGTTGATATTCATCATTTATTTGTTCTTTAAGTGAATTATATAGTTTTTGTGGAATACTTAATATATCTGATAAACGTAAACCTCGATTATTTCGAATATTTGATGAAATGATTGACCGTCTTCGTCGTTGTCTTATTGATGAAGTATTAGTTTGTGGATTTTCTAGTATAATTTCAATATTTAAATCTTCATCATTATTTGAATTATTATTTATTGATGGCGAATATTCATCATAATATCGATGTTGTGTTATATCCAGGGGATGATCATGAATAATTAACGGCTCCGCTGTTGTTCCTGTTGATGATGTTGAAGTGGATGGCGAATAATCAATAATCGGTATTGATGCTGACGTATAATAAAAACGATGATCATCATCATCATCACCACCAACATAATAATCATCGCCATAATCATCTGGATCCAAATCAACAGTTGATAATGAATGATAAGATGGATTTTGTTCATTGCTTGAAGTATAATTTTCTTTAAAAATGAAAGAGATGAAACTAGTATAAAGATTTTACGAAAACTATCAATTAAATATTGATCTGGCAAGGAAATTAATATTCAACATAAACTCACCATTGGTGATAGTTAAATCAATCGGCGATGGATTCGAAAAATCAACTAAGACTTCAAAATTTTCATTATCAGTTTCATCATTAGATGTTACCGGAAGATTATCTTGAATTGTTTCCGCTTCCGGTAGAAAAACTTCAATGTTATCTTGATCAATAGGTAAAGTGTTAGCATTAGTTTGACTGCTATTATTATCAACATTAGATATTAAATTACTTATTGTTTGAGAAGCTATAATAGACGTTTGTCTTCGTCTTAAATTAGAGAATATTGAATTATAAGGAGATGCACGTAGCGATGCAGTTTGCCGTAAAATACTTCGACGAATCTGTAAATGGCGAGCATGTGATAATGATGTTATTTGAGCAATTTCATTTGAATTATTATTATTATTCATTATAGAATGTTCTTCTTCTTCCATTTTTATGTAGCTATATTTGTTTATTTGGAATAGATGAAAAAAAAAGTTAATTGAAGATAATCAGATCGATGATTAATTTCGATCAACGAATATTTTGATAAGACATTTGTATGAAGTTAAAGAAACTCAAATATAATATATTTATATACGTATTTTTTATTATTATTTGTTAATCAATGGTTGTTGTTAAGCATTTTTTTTCGCTCAAAAAAACAATTTTTTTTCGCATGGCTTAGACATTACCAATAAATGCCGTTTCCTATTGATGAATGTCTATCATTTTAACACATGGCTCTATTCTCTGTAGACTCTTGTTCGATGATGAGCTTTGAGCGAACATCTTTTTCTTTTTACTTTGTTATCGTATGTTATAAGTTTGCCTATTTTGTATTCGATCATAAATAAAAAGAAACTTGTTTATGCATACTTCTTTTTTTTTATATAGATATGTTAATATATATTTGAAATATCAAAACATACTAGAAAAATGGTCTATATATTAACTCAAATAAATTGCGAATTTTTTCTCCTTCATTGTTCATTGATGACACCAATATATTTATCATGAAATAGGGAAAACACATTTATGGGTTGTTGCATGTTCTTGCATATAGAATGATTATATAGAAGAGTTTGACTAATAGAAAAACTAAACGATCATAATAGTTGCTCTTCGTATCTATTGTTTTTCTTCTTCTCCAGAATCGATCATTCAAAAAGAGAGAAAAAGAAAGCAGAGGGCGAAGAAGAAATAGTCGATAATCAGTATGTCTCTCTTTTCTTCTTTTCACAAGACATTCTAACAGAAAACTAAAACAAAAGAGACTTCTCTAATCTGCGCTAACCTTATCGTGACAATTTGTCTGCGTTTCACTATATTCTTTCTTTTTGTGCAGTTGTGCATCAAGTTAGAAGGAGAGGTAAGCTTTAACAGAAATTCTATGTAGTTAAATTAACATTGAATCTTCTCATGTACGAATAAATAGATATATTAATCTTGCCAACAAATGTCGCTAGTAGCATACATCCGGAACTGTGTGAAATGTATCATAATAAAAAGAAAATATAAAGAGCAGAGAACATCATCTGAGAATGTTTATGAAGGCTGTGAAAAAAGGGTACCATTAACTATCGATCGATGCCATTCACAGTTCACTCGATAAGTGTCAAATAATAGATTATCTATTCGATAGTATGTTCAGCTATTTTTTTCTGATTAAAGGAACGTGCGAAGTTTTCCTCCTTAAATAGGCACGAGAAATTCTATTTATTATTTTTGTTTGACAAGTATTTATTCGTTGTTTTGCCATTAATGAAGTATAGAACAATATGACTCTTTCCATTTTTTTTTCATATAGTGTGACCTGCTCAATGACATCGATTAACATAAATGAAACTTATCATAAAAGAGTCTATTGTTCACCAAATTGTTAGTCTTTTTTTATATGTTTCTCTGTCTAATGATTTTCTCATGTCATTAAAAAGCCAAACAATATCGATATATATATATATATATATATATAATCCAATTATATTATGCTGTTGTTGGTTTCTTGATTATTGAAAGAGAGAAAAATGATCCAAGTTTTGCTCTCTTGCTTTTTTTTCTAATCGCCTACTCCATATAGATCTATTCATACACAAACGATTGTTTCTCTAAGGAAAACAGCAGAGGAAATCTGATGTGACATTTTTATACTATATTTAAATACTTGCTTCTTTCGAAATATTCCTTTTTACATTACAATTGGCTTTCTTTCTCTTTCTTTTTCTCAACATTCAGAAGAAAACAACAAACAAATAATTAATTCATATTCATTGATATTTTTTGCTGTTTAGTTGCGAATTCGCATTGTTATTACTTTGCTAATTAATTGAAATATCATAAAATTCAATGGCAAATACTAGTGATCAAAGCAATTCAGCTTGTAGTCTTTCCGATGAAAGACACGTACTCCTTGTTCAATATATTTTGGGTGGATGGACATCATGTATTATTGTTCTTTTCGGCGTATTCAGTAATGGCCTTTCAATATTAGTATTATGTAACAGTCGTATGCGTCGTCTGTCAACAAATATCTATTTGCTTGCACTTTCAATCGTCAATCTTGCTTGGCTCATTCTTTATTTTGGTGTTAATTCATTTCGATTTACCCTTATTGTACCAAAATTTCTAGAAAATCTAGATGAACATAATCATCATGAATATGATGATTTTGTACAACGGTAAACGGAAAAATGTTTTTTAGAAAAAAAAATCCTTTTTTTTTTTGCTATTCTTGTAAGATTTTCTCCATATGTAGTCCCATTGATGAATACTTTACAGCTATGCTCAATTTATTATACTGTCGCTGTATCATTTGATCGGTTTCTTTATTTATCATATGGTATTCAAGCAGAAGCAATTTGTACTGTAAGAAATTCTCTTCGTGTAATAACGTGTATCACGATGTGTTCAATTTTATTTATTTTACCACATTGGTTTAAATATCGAGTTGAATTAAATGAAAATAATCGTTCGCAATTAAGACGTAAAAGAATCTCTTCCAAAAAAAAACAATAAGAAATTTTTCTATTTTTCTATTGAATTTTTTCATTTAGTTACTTCAATTGGTGAAAATGAATTATTTCGTAAAATAATTCATATATGGCTTTACATTCCTGTTGTATATGCACTTCCATTTCTATTGCTTATATTTATAAATTTTTTTACAGTAAGATTATTACGTAAGTTTTATTTACATCGTCGTCAAAATTTTAATTTAACATCGGCATTATCAACACAAAATAATGAACAACGTGAACGTGATATAACATTAATGTTAATCGCAGTTGTTTTATTATTTTTTATTTGCCGTTTTCCAATGTTAATTAATCATATATTTGAAACAAAATTTTCTTTAACATCCTATGATGATCAAGAAAATAAAAATTCAAATTCTACTAGAAATATTTCTTATGATAATTGTCGTTCTCGACGTTTATTTAATACAACAGTTAATTTTTTACAAACAATCAATGCATCAGCGAATTTGTTTTTTTATTATCTATTCGGTGAAAAATTTCGTGAAACAAGTTTTCAATTAGCAAAACTAGTTCGTAAACGTGTTGTAAGACGACGAAATACATTAGTAGAAAATATTACTTATTATGTTCAACGCCGAAGCACAAATGTAAGTATAACACTACAAAATCAAACTGTTGATCAACAACAACAGCGACAACAATCATTAAGGTTATTGAATATGGAGCAATATGACTTATCTAGAAATATTTAGACTGAAATAAAAGAATATTTTTTTGTGCATTCCATAAAAGAATATTTTCTTTATGTTCTTCTCTTTTGTGATATATTTTTTGAAAGAATAATGAGGTGTGCATTTCATCTGTAAAGCTTATTTAGAATAATATATATTTAAGTTTTCTTTGGGCTCGTTTTTTCTTCTCACTTACAGGAAATAGGTCTTAATGGTTTATGACACTTGCTGATAAATTTTTTAATGAAACGTTTTTTTAAAGAAAAGAAAAACGCAAAAGAAGAATGTTTTGACTGATAGACTCGGCAAAGATTTCTGTTTATGAGGTATCAATACCTAAGACAAAAAATAGACCACAACGAATTACGTGAGTTAATCACTATGAAAGAGCATTCTCTTTTATCTCAGTGTATTAGCCATGTTCGATTTCATTGTCTTACATATTTGAAAACTATTCGATAAATAATGCCTAGTTTATAGGAATACACATGTAATTAGTAATTAGTATAGATGAGAAGCACTCGCTGATCTACTTATTCACCTGTCTAGTCGACAAAACTCAGTGTTATCGTTCTGTTACTAATATAAGCAGCTCGAATTAGTCAAATGTAGAACATCAATTTGTTATAGAATGACATTATGTCTACGTACGTGGCCATTAAATGTAAGTAGAGAATGAGAAAAAAAGAATTTTTCTATAGAAGAATTAACTCACGTCTAGATGTATGCATTTCTTAAATAATTTTGATTCTACGATATTTATTTATGCTCAAAGAATTTTTCGCATGTAGACAAGAAAGAGATAACAAAGTTTAATTCAAGTAAAATATCCATTGAATGATGCAATCTATTTTTATTGATCATCTGTATGATTTCATTGAATTTAAATAATAATTGAAAAGAAAAAACGACACTTATCTTACGTTTTTATTATTTATAAGTGTTCATTGTAATATTAAAATGAACGTACATTTTCATTCTTTCATATTTATTTACGTACGCCATGCGTTAATAAAAGACACAAGGATGCTCATTGTTGAAACTAAGAAGCAGTTGTTATTTTTATCTGTTTTATTAACAAAATCCATTCAAACTAATAATCTTTCATATTTCATGAATTATTTCTTTTTTTCTCGTCAAATAAATGCTTAAATGTCAATAGCAATCTCTTGCTTTAAAGCCAATATAATTTTTAATTATGTAAATTAAATGTATTCCTTCAAGGATTATTACAGCGTTTGACAAAAAACATATTCTCAATAATACGTTCCCTTATATGATTAGTTCAAAAAACTGTCACGAGCAAACAAAAATTCTTCATTTTAAGTACTACGAGAACGGCCAACATACTATCAAAACAAAATACAAATGAATCTTTCATCTCTTAATTATTTTCTAAAAAACAATGCGAATAAACAATGAAGACAATTACATCCTTAGTGCAAAGTGCACAAACACTTCAGGGTTGCTTTTTCGTGTGCAGCAAAAAAGAAAGAACAGAGAATATTTCTCGATTAATGAACTTTGACAGGTGAAAAGTGCGAAATTAGTTATTATCTATTCAAAAGTCATAGTTATTTTTGACTCAAAGAACTATTTTTTTATGAAATTACAGAAAAACTATAGACCAATATTTATTTGTTTTGATGCTATCATGTATTGGATAATTAGTGCACAATATTAATAAAATAGATGTATTTGAAAAGTATTGTTCGGCTTACTAGCACGTTGGAAGATATCGGCTAATGACCAAGGACAGACGTCATAAATGTTAACAGTTAATAAACAAAATAATTTTTTTCTTTTCTTTCTCTCGTGAAAAAAAAAGAAAGAAATATATTTATGTCAACGGACGAGTCTCAATCATTCAAAAGACCTTATTCTTCTCGAAACATTCGAATGCTTCTACAAATTCTTGCTATGAGTATCTTCCTTATCTGTGTTTTTATACTTATCGTATACTGGAAATTAGTTTGTCCAGGAAAGCATATCTATAATGTACTACGAGAACAAGGTATACCATGTGAGCCTTTTGTACCATTTCTTGGTCAATTACCTCAATTATATCAATATCAAAAACAACATAAAATCATGGAATTTTATGAAGAATTAAATAAAAAACATGGTTCAATTTTTATGTTTAGTCTTGGCTTATATCCACGTCTTGTTATACAAGACGCTGATTTAATCAGTCATATACTTGGCCGTACTTATGCACAGAATTATTACAAACCAGCTGATCTTATTTCTCGTCTTAAACCACTTATTGGCTTACATAATCTTTTAATTAGTAATGGAAATGAACATGAACGCGCACGAAAAATGTTAAATCCTGGTTTTCATTTTGAAAATCTTCGTTCAATGGTATCGATTATGACGGATCAAACAGCTAAAACAATTGATAGACTACTTGAATCATGGGGAAAACCAGTCAATTTACAAAAAGAACTTAGTCTTCTTACATTAACAATAATTGCATCAAGTGCATTTGGTGAAAATTTCGAAACTATTGCCAATGCAAGAGAAATTGTTTCTGAAGCATTTATTGCAGCATTAGATGCTATTGTTAATCGAACATTATTATTAATTGATCAAATTCCTTTGTTTTCAAGATTACCATTTTGGGGTAAAGATATTGTTGATCGCGGTTGTGGAAGGGCATTGAATTTTATTGAACGTATTATTGCTGATAGAAAACAAGGTCGTACAAAGAATCGATGTGAACGTGCCGATATTCTTGATTTACTTCTACAAGCTGTTGATAATCATGGAAAACATTTTACTGATGAAGAAATTAAACAAGAAGCAATGGTCTTTGTTCTTGCTGGCCATCAATCTACAGGTGATCTTATGACATGGATTATGTATGTATTAATGACTAATTCATCCGTATTTAATGATTGTCTGGAAGAAGTTGATCGAATATTACCAAATGGCACGATTCCCACCTATGAAATATTAGATGATTTGAATGTTTGTGAATCTGTTATATATGAAACATTACGTTTATATCCACCAATACCATTTTTTGTTCGTCAATGTATACGTGAACATGTTATCAATGGTTCCAATCGAAACTTATATATACCACTTAGTGCAACTGTTCTAATCAATACATATTTAGTTCATCGTCAAGCTAAATATTGGCCTCGACCCCTTCAATTTGATTATACTCGATGGATGCGTGATCCAAATACAGGTGTGAGACCTAAATTGGCTCATCCCTATTGCTATTTACCTTTTGCTTCGGGACCACGCAATTGCATCGGTCAAAATTTTGCTTTACTTGAAGCAAAAGTTATACTAGCAATGTTTATTCAACGTTGTAATTTTGAACTAGAACCTAAAAATCAAAACATAGCATTAGACATTCGTATTACAATGCGATCTAAATTTGGTTTATTCAGTAAAATTACTAGAAGACAACAATAATAAAAAAGGTATTATATATTTTGCATGAAATTAATTGTCAAGTCTTTGCTTTTATATTGTTGTTATATTCAAACGTCTGTTTCATTGTAGAAGTGTATAGAGAATTTCCAGCAATGGGATTTAATTATTTTTTTACCCAATAAATGTATTTCTCTGGTAAAAATGCTTAAATTTAAATAAATTCTTGTACTCGAGACAATGCGTATGTGTGCTGGAATTCACATTAGAAAGAAAACAAGCATATCTTATAGAATAACACGTTATAATTATGGTTTACACAAGTATTTTAGTCATATTTTTAAAACAGTTACATTTGCATGTAATATTGAATGGCATACTTTATTTTGTCGAGTACTTCATATAATTGTAACTACTGTTTTCACATCGATGCTTTTTCCATAAGATAAATGAGTATGAGTATGTGGGTAGATTTTTCTTCGCTGTTGGTTTTTTTTCATCAACAGATAAAAACTATAAAAGGTTGAAAATGTACAACCCAAATAAAACAACGATATTGTTAATGAATATTTCACCAAAAACTATTCCGTATTAGTATATCACAAAAAAAAACAACTATTTACACAACAGGGTCATGTGCACTAGAGGGACATGACTCTTTGGAATCTGGGAACTTTCTTTTCTGTTAGCATATCACCTAAAACATATAGGATACATTATTGATTCAATCATCACCTCATTGATCATGGCTTTGTCAGAACTCGATGATTGGCGAGAGAGCACGATTGCGTATTTCAAAAAGAAAATACTTAAGTAGATAGTATTGAACTTCAGAGAATATCAGTTTATTTCTCATGACAGTAAAATAAAACGTTTTCTATCATTACAGACTCAACAGCATGCTTTTGCTGTCACCTTCATGGTATCTGATCATTTGATAGGAAATGGAGATGATTGCTATTATGCATGAGCGACTAGGTAAGCCTTTATATTTATATGTCAATCAATGTAGTAGTGATTGACACAATTTAATGGTCTAATATTATCGATCATCTAGTAAATAGCATTTATATAGAAGTTGTGAAATATTTCAATGTAATGAAAAGATATTGTTAAAGAATGCATGATTACATTCATTGTTCTCTTAATAGAATTAGTTCATTTTTGTCGATGAAGAAATAGAATCAGCTAATATGAATATAGTCAAATCTTTATTGAAATATTCATCAAGATAAAAATCGATCTTATCTATCGACCTTTGTAAGTTGCACTTGAAACTATAATGGTTTTAAAAAAAAACTATTTCATTTACACTACGAAAGAGTAAATGTTTTTTGTTGCATTGTAAACTTTATTCAAAAATAAACTATGTATAACATAGATTAACACCAGATGGATACGTTTCTTGAGACAGTTATTTCTATTAATAAGGTATCAGTCTATCAGCAGATTAAATTTAACATTGATCTATCCAATTTTATTATACTTGTTTCATGAGTACTTCATCAACTATTTGTATCATTCAAAATACAGCTACGTCATTGTATCTGCATTCATACATTTTGACTAGTAAACTGTACGAGTATGAAAGAAAAAACCTATGATTCATGTAGCACTTTTCTGAGTTAACTTGAAATAAAATCACGCACACTGTTTCCCCGCGTGTTTAAAAATCTTATTCGTATATATATTTCTTTTTTAAATTTCGTACTGATGAATTCGTTACGAATACTTACTATTTAGAATCGTTACTAAATTTTTTTCTACGAATCAATACGTGGATATGAACCAAAGCTTTCAGCATTGCTTTTTAATTGATGGTAAAACAAATCTTCCCATTGATGATAATCATCAATTATTTGTACCTTTAAAACTACGAAATAATACTGAAAAAATATATTGTCCATGTTATCAAAGAAATCATGAAACATTTTTATTCGACTATCATAGTACCCAGTCACTTGATGAAAATAGAGGAATTATCCATATGAATTCGAAACGACAAGGTACTCATCTTATTATTGAATAAATTCAGTAAATACAAGTAGTTAACTAATTTGTGGCTTCTAACGATTGAAAGAAAATATATACGAAATTTCTTTCATTTATAATAGTATAACGGGCAGAAATATTTTAACATCAATATTTGCTAGAAAGAAAACTACGTAAATATATATGCCAATGCTCGACTATCTCCGATAATATATTAGAAGGAAGTAAATCTAATTTGTTGAGCTATTAATCAAAGTCTGCATTTACTAAATCGAACATGAACACTATTTGATTGACTCAGTACTTGAATATGAGAAGATAATTATTTAAATTGCTTCCTGAACTATAGATTACAACTAACTCAATGTAAGTGGCATGTCAAAATAAAAATATCGAAAAAAAAATGATGACAGTGCATATTCATCTGGTTTTTCGGAAATTATTAGTTCCACCATCACTTGCTTCCGTCCATTATCCCACGAAGAAAATTTTCCCTGAGACTTCTCCTTCAATTGCAGAAAACCCCCCATGGCGAATCATTTGCGTCAGTTTTAAACAAAAAAATTCTCATCCACATTAGTATAGTACTAGAAATAATAAATATTATAAAATAGATCAAGAAACCTTTTGTTCTCAATCGTTACAATCAATAAGGAAATTATACGAAAAAAGAAATATTAGTAAGAAAATCTTTCCATTAAAAATTGTAATCATAAAATCAAATTATTGTAAACATTTTCGATCGGATCAACAAATAAATCATAATAAAAAATAATATGGAAAAATGTATGCTAATCCAAATTAATGAATAATATTGAGGTTCTGAAATTATTCTTAACATATCTTCTAGATTTAATCGCTCGTATGAAATCATCTGTAGATGTGTCAACAGATTCCAGTCAGATCAATAACAATCAATCTCATAAATCACTTCCAACAATCAATATTGTCATAAAAACATTTATGCCCTTGGAATTTAATAGTGATTATCATGAAAGAAAAACGTCTCTTGATAGAAAATTATCTTCAAATAAACGAAAATCTTCGCCATCATTATTAAACAGAACAACTAAAAGAATATTTACTTCACTCGATGATGACAATTTCCATAGAGAATCTCGTAAACATCGACTATCTACATTCAAAGATTTAAAACAATCAAGTCTTCCAAAGTCTACTGAAATAATTTATCATAATAATAATAATAATAATAATCAAAATAAACCTTCAATTATTCTTAATTCTCGAACACTTCTGAATACTTATCGGAGTAAAAGAAGGTAGAGCAAATAAAAATGAAATATTTATTTTAATCAAATAAAAAAATTAAAAAAAATATATATATGTATCAATATAAACTCTATCTAGAATATCTTAAATTAATTTTCTTCCTTGTTACCAATTTTCGACTGAAATAGATTTTCTTAAACCTTCATGGCATTCAAATTCATCAACAAATATTGCATTGGCTTTGGTTTCATCATCTTTTTCTAAAATTAAATTTATCTCGGTCTAAATTTCCCAAACGAGCGGGAGACTTATCCAACCTAAAAGAAAAAAGAAAGAAAAGTGTAAATAATAATCATGGAAATTAACGCATGTCAAAATAGTCAACAAAGACTAATGATGATATGTTAGAAAAAATTGAAGCGCTGTGTCAACCAGATTGAGATCATCAAAATTATTTATCTATAAATATATAGCCTCGTTTCTTATGTTGACATTTTGTTTGCAAATGATAGATGATTCGTACCTGCTCCTCCTCTTTCTTCTTTTTCTCTTTTTGACTATCTATCTATCTATTTTCCTTCTTCTTTTTTTTTGTTGTCATTCAGAAAACCCGACAAAGATGAGAACAAGAACATAGTAAGTCTTTTTTCCTGTTTACTCCATACCGTTCTTATAGTTTTTGTATTTCACATTCAGTTTCTCGAATTTCTTCTATAAGACGCTTTTTGCGATGTATCATAAACAAGTTCAACATTAGATCGTTTATGACGAATGTCAAGACGTGTGTGAGCCAATTTGAAGTATTGTTCTTTATCTCTTATGGCTTTTCAGCATTTTTTTATGCTTCCTTCAAGTTGAATAATTAATAGATTAATCTAAGTAATAAACAAATAAAAAATAGCAAGGATACCTTTTTATATCGTAATAATTATTTATTTACATCATGTAATTGATCTTCAAGTTTTTGTTTAGCTTATTTAGATTCATAAATGCGTTGATCAAATGAACGTCTGGTACATTCAATAACTTGTTTAATATCGACAGCAAGTTTTTTTTAATATACGTTCAATTACGCAATGTAATTGATCTGCATTAAGTCGTTGAGTTTCAGCTTTCTTTATATTTTCATCAGAATATTTTTCCCAAAATAGTTCGGAAACTGATCTAATCAAGATAAAAAAAAGAAAGAATGTTAATCTTTTTAAAGAAACTTGATCTTGATTTTTTTCTATTAAAGACTAAAGAATTCAGCTGGAAAGAATATCTTTTGATAGAAGAACTCTAGTAGTTCTAATCTATCTATAGCTATATAGTTGGGGTATGTTTTACTTGCTTTAATACAAACATAATACACCCATGGGCGTTTTTTTCCATCTCCATCGATCTTTAGACTATCGACTAGATAGTTCATTTTGTTCTAGTCTCAAGAGAACTTTTTAGTAGTTTTTCTTGCTTGTTTTGTTTTCCTCTACTAGCTACTACTTTTCTCATATGATTAGTATAGACGAATTTGAAATAACATATCGAGGATTCATGTGTGTTATACCTTCTTGAAGATAAAGGGATGGATTTATTAAATTTAGATCCAATGAATGTTCATCAATTGATTGTGCAATAAATTTATCTTTAAGATTTCGATCAAGCAGATAGCGGGCTTTACGCATCAGCCTATAGAAATAGAGTAGAACATAATTATATGTCTATTGAATTTCTCCGAAAAAAAAAGGAAAGAAAGATGAAGAAAGGCATAGCGCCGGATTCGATCAGTGCACGCCGAACATATATATATACAAAGAATGATGAAAGAATGAATAAGAGACAGGAAGTCACATAGGCGACTTTCAACACATACGGACATAATTCTAATCGACACTTAGATAGAAAAGATTGTAAAAAAAAGAAATAAGAGAAGGAGTAAAGAAGAAGATGAAAGATGAAGAGGAGTAGTAAATTGGAAGAAAAGATGGAAGAAAATCACGTGTCACCTGTCGACTGCCAGTTTTATATGCATTTCTTGTTTGATTCTCTCTTTTCTAATAGATTTTGTTGTTGTTATGAATATCAATGATGGTAAATATATCAACAAATAATTGATTTTTAACTTTAGCCTAACAAATACTAGAGCAGATGATTATTTCTTATTCCTTTTTTTTTTGTTTGTTGGTACTTTGCTATTCGTCTTGTCATTCTTTCAGATACGATCAAACAAACGACTAGATGCTACCAATGCAATGTTTGCGCAAGTATACCCTTTCACAATATGGTATCTGTTAGAAAATATTAGAACATTGCCAATCTACTGTATGTATACATGTGTGATACAATGACAGATAGAACCGTAGCTAAAATTGCTACTTAGACTATCGTATTCTATGTACTAAACGAAGATGCGATGCGTCTAAGCAACCAAATATTATAGTATAAAATAATAATAGTAATTATAATAATAACAACAAAAGTAAGATATAAATAGAAAGAGAAATAAAGTATGCAAACATATATAGATACAGAAAAAAAAGAATAGTATCAGTGAACAATAAATAAAGCAGACAACAAATAATAGAGATTAATTATTCATCACAGTTGAATGATACCAATGCTAATACATAATATTCATGATGTAATGTTAAGCTTTAATTGCCAAGACTTAGTTTAATTTTAATTTTAATTATTTTCTTTAATCATTGTACAAGAGAAAAAGTACAAGTATCTATAATAGTTGTGTATTTCAATTAAATAAATTGAGAAACAACGAAATCTCATTCGTACAAACCCATGAGAAATGTCATTATCATCATATCAGTTTGCACTTGCAACAGATAGACGTGCTTTTATGTATATACATGTCAGTCGACGAATGTTTGTGTGAGTACAATCTTCCTAATCGACACGTTGCACCACACAAACTCATCCACCTACAGTTACTAACGATCTGATATTAAAGGAATGCTTTACTATCTGCATGCACATATGTATATATATATATTTGTGTGATGAAAGACCAGAAGCAAAATGGATTGGATTGCATTGATTTTGAAGGGAGGTGATATCATCATCAACATCATCATCAGCATCATCGTCATTTTTCTTCTTCATCTCGTGAAAGTTTTTTCTTCTAAATCTAACTGTTATTATTGCTGCTTATTACAGTCTTAGTTTTTTTTTCTTTTTTTTTATGTACCTGTTTCCTAAATGTACAGACGAAAAGAAAACTGATTCTTTTTTTCCTTCTTCTATTGTGATTGTCATCAAACAATTGCTGGCAATTATATAGACGCACTCATGCATTTGCCTGTGTTAAATGAAAAAAGGATCCATCAACCAGTATTGCTGTATCAGATCTTGATGATGCGAATAACAGCGTCAACCTTGTGATGATTATCGTTCGTTCTAACATACAGATATAAACTTTCTTTCTCCCCCCCCCCTCTCTCTTTCGCACTTTCTCTCTTTTCATTGGCATCGAGAAATTACTGTCACCTTCACATTATTATTTGTCATTTATAGATCTACTGACTGTTAGATAATTTAGTGGAAATGGTATACGACCAGAAAGAGCGAGAACGTGTTTTAATGTGCTGAAGAAACCATGAAGTTCAATCGATCAACAACGTTGACGTATGGCGTTTCTCTTACTGAAAGGCATTCCGAGTCTTGCCGGTCACAATCAAGCGCCTCAAGCTGATCCAGATGATTTTGTTGATAGACTTAACTACCGTTACACCGTTATTTTACTTAATGTTTTCTCAGCTATTGTTACAAATCGACAATTTAGTTCCAAGCAAATTCAATGTAAGCATTGATTTATTTCTTATTAATTAGCCATTGAAAAATGATATTCAAATTTATTTATCATTTTCTTTTTCTTTTTCTAACAGGTTGGGTACCCGCAATGTTTACATCTGGCTACGAAGATTATACAAATCATATATGTTATATTACAAACACTTATTATGTCAATCAAACACAAAAAATCCCAGGTACACGTGCCGAACGACAAAGTCTACAATTACTTTATTATCAATGGATACCTTTTATTCTCTGCTTTCTAAGGTAATATATAATGTTTTTGAAATTAAAACAAAACAAAAAGACGAATTTATTTTTAAGCATCCTTTTCTACATTCCAAATCTTTTCTGGCAATCCCTTATGAGCCGTAGTGGTCTGGATTTAAAAGATATCATTGAAGCTGGCAAAAGTTACAAATCAATTGATAGAATGGATAAAAGACGTAAAATCATGAATTATATAATTGCCTCTATTGATGAATTTATTGATGATCCAAGACGTGGAAGAGAAAATCGACATATCAGTTTATTGAAACGTATTCAAGCAATATTTTGTTGTATGTATGGAAAATTTCAAGGCAATTACTTTATGATGGTTTATTTATTAACAAAATTTCTTTATGTTGTTAATTCTATTGGTCAATTAGCAATATTAAATGAAATGCTTGGAATAAAATATTATCGTTATGGTTTAGAATTGCTACAAAAATTAATTTTACTCATTCAAAATCAACCGCTTCAGCATTCATATAGACAACAAGGTGGACTTTCAAAATATTTTCCTAAAGTAACACTATGTGATTTTGAGTAAGCTTAATTCATATTTTTTATATTGAAAATATTCAATACATTATAATATTGATTTAGAGTACGTGAACCCAATCATTTGTATAATTCACATCGATATACAGTTGAATGTGTATTACCGAATAATCTTCTATTTGAACAATTATTTACATTTTTATTTTTTTGGTACACTATGATAGTTATTTTAAATATAATTTCATTGTTAACATGGTCTTATTCATTTATTCGACCAGTTCGAATAAAGTACGTGACGACAAGATTAAAATTAATATTAATAAGACATTTACGAAAATGCATAACAAGTACTGACCAAAACAATCCCGAACAACAACAACAACAACAACAGACTATATCTAATGATTCCCTATTATATCGTGATGATTCTCATTTGGATTTTGCTCATGATTATTTAAAATGCGATGGTATATTTGTACTTCGTTTACTAGAAACAAATACATCAGATTTTGTTGTAACACACGTTATTGAAGAATTATTTTATTCATATGAACGAAAAGCGTCACAACCAGTTGTTCTTGATGGACTTGCTAAAATGATGTCAACACTTGGTCCCGATCAAGGTTTATTAAGTTTAGGGAAATTACTTTTTTTACCCGTTATGTCTGATTCGAAAATGGCTGCTGCATTTGGTATGGGATCAACGACAACAGGAACTAGGACTACGAATAAGACTATGGCTACTGCTAATAGTAATATGCTTCTTCCTAGTTTAGTAACAACAACAACAGTTGATGAAAATTTACGAAATGTACCAAAATTACTTGCACCGCCAACTCCAACTCGTCGACGAGTAATAACACATGAAAAACAATCTCCCACCGGTTCGATTATAGAACCTGTCGAAGCTGTTCAACGAACTTCATTAGTAACAACGAACGAACTAAAACCAAGTGTTGATGCAGTAACTGAAATTTTACGTGAACGCCGACAAAAACTTAAACAAAAAAAATGATCATTCATTTACATAGATCCTTTTATCTTTTCTGTATGCATGTGTGTTCGTGTGAATAATCGAAACAAGAAAAAAAAACTGAAAGAAAATAAAAAAAACTTATTTTCTATACGGTAAATGTCAAAAAGAAACGATTCTGATAGTAATTATCACATAACACCATGTGACATATTTATCGTCACTTGCTTCAAGATATTCTATAAACAACCCTCAAGGTAGAAAGCAGCATGTTACCTAAGTTGTTCTTGTATCGGCTCGACTGTACGTGTTAGTAAAGTAATAGAACCTTGAATAGTTGTTATTTCTATAATTAAGTCTTTTTTGAACATCATCATCATGAATTAAATCAATATCATAACGCTTTTCGCTAGAGTAGTGTGAAAAAGAGTATGTGTATAAAATTTTGATTCATTTGTTATTTTTCTTTTTCTTTTTGTAGAAGATTTCAATTCTCCTATTTGCTAATGTTGTTTGAGCAATATGTAAACTATCTTGAAGTGATTGAAGAAATTAATCAATACGAATAAGATAAACTTCTGTAGCATCGATTTCTTTTTCTAATTCAGTTCGTTTCACTTCGAATTCTCCTTCTTAGTTTTTAACATGATCCAAACGTTGATCTATTATGAATAAAAATATTATACTTTCAACTTTATTTTCTTCCAGCTTCTTATATATTGTTTTATGTCAAAAAAATATATCTAATACCGTATATTAATGAAGTAATAAAAATACATCAAATTCAGCATATGTAATATTAGTGGAAATCCTAACATTGATTCATCAACACAGGATCTGTTGATTAGATTGGTACCGATGCTCACTACTACACCACTAGCTATACTCATATACGTGCTCATTACAGTATTTAGATGTCAACTTTGTCAAAATATTCTTTTCTATAATAGTATGTTTTAGAGAATTTCAAGAAAGAATAATATCAATATACGCTAACGATAAGTACTTAGCAATCAATAGGCGGCTATAAGTACTCATCGCTAGTTCACATTTTTGTGTCTGCGACAAAGGAAAACGATCTGAAAATCTTGATAAACATTGAATTTATTATGAAAAAAAGATCAAGAACATGAAAATGGATACACCTGTGCTATGTTTTAGATAGATGCCAATTTACAATTAGCTAGCCTAAAAGATTAAGTTAAGAATAACGTAATAGTATCATTGTACTTCTTTTTTCAGTAACAATTCTTTTTTTTTTAGTTAATGCAAAGTGAAATTAATAGTTTTTAATCGTTTCTTCTTCGACTATTCTCTTTTGCATGTCAATTAATAATTTCCGCTTCCGTTTCTATAGAGAATGAAAATTGAAGTTTTCCGATTAGTGAATCAAAATTATCGTAATTCTTTCGCAGTTTTAATTGTCATGCATTATATTTTGCTGTTTGGAATGAGAAAATAATTTCGGAAAGAAATATTTAGGCGATAAAAATAAAATTATCTGCTTATTATGTAGTTTGTTCTTTATCAGTATATAAGTATAAATAAAAACTTGAAAACATCGAAGAATATTTTTCTTTCAACAATATTCGAGTAATACTATTGTCGAAGCATGCAATTGATGATATATTTTAATATAGAAGTCTTTCTTTCGAGAGAAATGTATAAGACAAAAATGATGACGCACTCATTCTTGAATAGAACACTGTCAAGATGAACCCTTCAAATCATCTTCGAGATTTATGAGTGCTTCTTTTTATCAAGTTTACTATCGATATTTACCAAGTTTTTTTTATTGATATCAGCTAAAGTTCGTTCAATAGTGCCTCGTCCTTCTTGATCAAGCCGATCAGATTCATGAATAAGTCGTTCAGCAACAGCTCGATCTCGTTCAGTATTGTTATGTTTAACTTTTGATGCAAGTTTACATTCCTCAAGTATCAATCGCTATGGACGTATCACGACTTTAGTCACATTTATTAATTTCCGGTGCAGTATCAAATCTTTTTACAATTGATTGAAGCCAGTTGCCATTAACAACTGATGTAACCATAGAAGAATCTTTGTGAAAACATGTTCTAGATGTCGCAATAGATTTTTATTATAATTTTCAATGTTATTTGCATTGTTTTTAAGGGAGCAGAAACAGAAAAAAATGAAAAATTTAACAATGGCTCAAGATTCAAATGACAAACTAGCTATACTCATTTTCTCAAATACTAATATTACGAATGTAAGAGATCATTAATATTCATTATTAGCATATTCTCATGTTTCATTCAATCAAAATTCAATAGAAGAACAGAAACAATATTTTAAAAGTTAAAATATAATTTTTAGTGAGAATTATTTTTACCCTCTATCACATCTTTTTCGATAGATATTAACGATGAAGCTCATCGACAATGTTACTCATATGAATTTTCTTCAATTAATTTACGTCTTTGTTTTTCTCTTATTGTTTTCAAGATAAAATATTAATGTCGGGATCACCATCAAACCTTGAAGTGCAAGGAAATTTTATGCGTGTACCACCACCAAAAGAACTAACGAAATCTATTGAACGACGTCAATCAACGGAAGAAATACTAAAAACTACAGGACGACGCTCAATAGTTATAACAAATCGATCGTCATTGACTACGCCGGCACTAAAGAAAACAGTTCCAGCAAATCCAACAAAAAGTGAAACAAAACAACCAGCTAAAAAACCTGATGAAGCAGAAGCAATGAAATTGAAAATAGGCAATCTCGAAGATGAAGTTCGTCGTCTGAAACGACGTATTGAAGAATTAGAAAAAGAAGTAGCTGAACTACATAAACAAATGAAAACAAAAGATAAACGTATTACTGAACTAACTAAAGAAACGGAAGAACTTAAAAAAAGAGTAAACATTCTTTCATATTTTGATTATTATTATTTTATTTTATTTTATTTTTCTATTTGGTTTTTCCATAGGAATTCAATTATCAAAGACAACTCGAAGAATTTCGTTTGGAAAACGCTCGTTTAATAGAAGAAAATCGACATTTGCAAGCAGAAGTCAATCGCCTTCAAGCTATGCACAATTCAGCTGAAGATTCATCAGCTGAATTGGATGCGTTAAGAGAACATGTTCGATATGAAAATATTCGTTTTGTTTCTAATTAATTTTTTAATATTGATCTCTTATAGTATGAACGACAAATCGAACAAATACGACAGGAACATGCACGAGAATTAAAAGTTCGTGATGATAAAATAGCGTTTCTTAAAAAACAAATCAGTGATTCATTAAAAGGCAATTCTTGGTATAGAATTTTAAATGATTCGTTTTCCATTTTTATTTTCAATATATCTTCGAATTGAATAGGGAACGACAACAACAAATTGAGGAATTAACAAAACAACTTAAACGAACACATGAAGAATATGAATTACTTCGTCAAAAACTACTTCAATATCAAAATAAGAAAGGGGTAAAGATATTGTTTGTTGTTTGTTTTCAACAATACAAGTTCTGTTAACAAATATTTTCAATAATAGGCATCAAATTGTGGTAATTGTTCTGAGATGACTATTAAAATCGAAGAAAAAACGAAAGCTTTGCAAGAAAAAGACACAATTATACAAGAATTATTAACACTTATGACTAAATTTAAAAGTCAAATTTCAAATCAAGATGATCTTATGAAATTACTATCAACATATAATAATACTTTAATGCGCCATTAAATTATGAATTTTGATAATGCACATATTTTTTAATCTGCTTAATAATTGAACTTATACTAACAAAAAAAAAACGTATTTTTATGCGTTTTTTTTCTACAATTTCAGTTTCATTTTATTGACTTAGCCACAAATGAATCCTATTCGTTTTCTTTTTGTTTTTCTTTACATTTGGTTTTGTTTTTTGATAGCACTGAATAATAAATTACAAAGTGAAGCTCGATATTTGAGCGGTTGTTTGTATGAATAAGACTAAATAAAAATTGCATTGGAGTTTTCATATTCAAATCGAAAGATAATATTTACCTTACTATTGAATCATAATATAAAAACGAAACAATGGTGTGTAATTAAGTTTCAAAACAAAATCTATGTTCACCATTCATTTGTACGACATTATTCTAGGCAGATGAAAACTATGAAGTAAAATTTGGCTGCGTAACTCATTTTGAAAATAACCTCACAGTTTTTCTGTCTAGTTTTGGTCGACAGTAGTGAAAATACTTTTAGAAGTGCTGAAATATGGACTAAAATTGCGAATAAAATATAGACCTTTTGAGCTCTGTAATTTTCTAGAGCAGACATTCATTTGAAAATGTGATATCGAACTAGTAGACTTTTAATTTTATACAACTAAATATGTAAGCATGATTTCGAGAGCTGCCTTCAACTTACAGCATGTTCTCAACTCGAGCATCGATATTCCATGCTAAGAGTTGAAAAGAAAACAATAGCAATGATATTTCATCGAACGACATAAAGAAAATCAAATAATACATTTCAGAGAGCATACTTTACTCTGCACGTTAATATAAGAAACAGTTTTCAATCTCAAATAATTTTGCAGTTCCATCAAACATACTGATTTCGATTACTGTCGAGTAAAAAACAATACTACTTCTCTGAGCACGCATATTCAGAAGAGGCGCAGGGTTTTGCTGTTGAATTATAGTATCACATTCATTAATCTTCATTTCCAATGTTAAAATAGAAATCGTATTAAATAAATAGCGTCTTTTTTAAGAAAAGAACTTCTACCCTATGAGAGAACTCTCAAATCCTCATGTTTATCATTCATGAATACATAATATTAAGATTGTCTAATCATTATTATTAATAATATTTCTTATGACAGATGTAACGATCAAAATTACAATGTTAAGAATATTTACAGGCTTCACTCGATGCCATTTTTCACACTTTGTTGAATAAAATAACAGTTAATTTGCAACACGGTTAAATGAATTTTTAAGTAGAAAAATAATAATTTAATCTAACTATTATAATTATTTTACAGATATTTTTGCATTTTTGCTTGTACGATCCAATCTATCGGTTTTTGAGTATACGAATAGATATGTGTGTTTGGCTTCCAATGTATTGCATTATCATTCTAAATTACTTTTTTTTAGTACGTCCTTCTTATGATAATAAAAAGCATGTACAAAAACACTTTAATACATTTGTGTCATAGTCTTTGCGATCATGATTAATAAAAATAGGCACGATGGCGGAAATACATCAATTCTAATCCAGTAAAAAAACCGAATGCTATCGTTTTTCGCCTGAAGACCAGAAATAATAAATTACGGCTTATATACGTAGATATAAATTATTAGTAATACGCAGTCTTTTACAAGAGAACCAAAAGAAAATGAATGTTATATTAGATTATCATTTAAAATTTCTTTAAGTTGTTTTTCGATCAAACAAGAGATTAACATTACTTATTTATAATACGATGCATAATTTATGACGATATTCGTATAAAAATTGTTAACTTATTTCATTGAAAACCAAATGTTTTCTTTAATTTCTTTGGCGTTTCTTTGCTGAATTTTGTTTTATGACTGACCAAGCTTTTTTTTTCTTGTGAAGTTTATAGCAAGACTATCGCTTAACTCATCTTTGATCAAAGATAAACAATCAATGAAAAGGTACTCTATCTATGCGATTCGTACATTTAAAATTTTTACATTCTTCTAAATATAACTTTTAGCAAATCTTTTCTTGAAAGAAAAGCGAAATGATAAGGATTTACTTTTCTTTGAGCTTAAATATATTTTACATTCTTTTATCTTATTATTAGAACGAATCTCTTGATCGATAACTCTTTTTCCCTTTGATAGCGAAGGCGGTATCTTCTGTCACATATCATTGAATAATCAATGAAATTTATTTATTTTAATTTTTTGATAGTAGAATCAAAAGTTCTCACGGCAACGATTATTCTATGTTGCACAGTAGCTAATAGATCTTATGGCTATTCTTCACTTATGTAAACTATGTGAGTTTCAAGATAAATTGCGATTTATGTCAATTATCTATCTTTCATTACAATAAAAATGTCTTTTTCTGCAAATCCGTTTTTTTGTCCCGAAAATGATGACTAAAATTATAAAATCTAGAATTCTTTCATAGCACATAAAAGCTGCCAACCAAGAGAATTGTTGTCTTAAACCGATAGTTTTTTTTTCTCACAAGCGGTAAAATGGGTAAAAATGACGTACATTGTCTTTGTGACAATACCTAACGGCTAGAAGAGAAGAATAAAATAACATACTCTCGCAACAAAATATAAATACCTGCTGGGTAAATTTGCTTATTATGTTCGTATTCATTCTTGACTCGTCGTTAATGAGTAACGACTGAATAAAAAATTCGTATCGAATCATATAATTTACTCTAGTCTGTAAAAGAATAATTTCGTTTGTATAGGAAGTAATTATTTCTAACTGATCGAAAATCATTTATTTCTCCAACGAAAATTCTATACAATACGCCTTCAATAATGTTATACGTATAGTGAACGTTTTACTATTGGAAATTTTCTTTTTATGTTGACTTTAACGTAAACTAAAGAATTTCTCTTGTTTGCAAAAAGTCTTCTTCGAATATTTTCAGAGTAATAAGACAAACTCAGCAAATAAATATAAAATTGTCTTTCATGTTTATCAGACCCGAAAGATAGACCATCATTGTTTGTCTTCGCTTTTACCAAGATTCGATCCTTTTTACTTTAACTTCCGAGCACATTAATCATTTGAACTAAATATTTTCTCATTCTATTCATCAATGGGCACAACAATATGTATATACATACATATATATATATATATATATATATGTGTCATACGCAGAAACGAGCAGCGGTAAATATATTCGGTGTAAGAATAAATGAAAAAAAACAAAAAAAACCACATTCAGTAGGTAGAAAAAGAAACGAGAAAACAAAACAAAAAAAGAACGAAAGAAAGTAAGTAAGAAAAATTATTCATTATTTATTCCTTCTGCATCTAAACAGATCATATTCTTATTATTTATCATTCTCGAACATGTCAATAGTGGCCTGAGGATAATAATCAGTTAAACTAAAAACAAAAAGCAATGAATACCGCAGTAGACACACACAGAGGCATATACATGAATTTTTTATCATTTGGATTCTTCGAATAGGATAAGAACAAAGACGAATCGTGTGCACACACCGGAAGATGAAAAAAGAAAACAGACGACTGTCTACATGTTGAATAAATCTATTGATGGCAAATCACAGCAAAATATTCGAGAATAGAAATGGAATGTGATTAGATAAGAAACAAGACAACTTATGTTGAAGATGATGTTGCTTGTTGTTGACCAGTTTCATCAGTATCTCCAATTGATAGTGAATTCGTTTCTAAGTCATCATCTTCTTCACCATCGACATCTTCTTCGATTTCTTCATCTTCATCATCTTCATCTGATAATTCACTTGAATCTTCATCGTCTGTTGAATGCTGTGGTAAATTTCCATTTAAATTAAACGATGATAATGGTATTGATGATGGATACGGAATTTGTGACAAGGGATTTGCTGTATTTCTTTCGAATTGTGCCGCTATCAATGAGGATGATGTTGATTGTGACAAATGTTTTTTCATATGTCGATCAAGATTTGTTTGTTGTCCAAAGCATTTATCACAGTGTGTACAACGAAATGGTCGTTCGCGTTTATGAATATTTCTTATGTGCCGTTGTAGATTTGATGAGATAGAAAAGCTTCGATTGCAAAATTTGCATACATATGGTTGTTCTCGTAAAAAAAGAAAGAAACAAAAATAAACAATAAGAATCTCTATAAATTAATTAAAAAATAGCTTCATTTCGATGAGAATGATATTGATTTAAGTTTTCACCTCGAACATGTATTCTCATAGGTTCATCGATGATGTGCATTCAATTAACTAAATGATTGCTTAACTCACATTTTTCTTGTCATAAGTTTGTCTATATAAGCTGGCGTTACCTAAATTTCATTTCGATCAATTTCATTGAAATGAATATTTCAATATTGACAGCTTTTCAACTGATTCACACTCAATCTCATGAAAAATTATTGAACGATGTCTATGAAATCAAACATTCAATAGCTAGTCCACTGAAAAATTATAGATTCAACGATCGAATTCAAAATCCGTAACAGAACAAATGAGTTATACTGAGCTATTATCTAACGGTTTGATGATAGTCGATTGGTGGGAATATTTGTTCTTTTATTATTTGTCTTCCAATCATATCAAAAATACAAAATTATAAAATTAAACTATACATTAATGTGTATGCTCAAATTCCTACAAAAGACATTGATTTATCAGGTATACTTATGACAAAAACGATGTCAAGTCTAAAAGATGAAGGCTTCAATCTGAAATCTTATTCTCCTATAGATCATAAAACAAGAATGGTAACTCTAAATCGTGATCTATCACTATTTTGGATGACGAAAATAACCTTATTTTTTTGTTAACTATTAAATACCCCGAAAAAACATCCATTTATTTTATTTGCTATTATGATCGTAAGTTTTTATCGGAGTAAAATTTCAGATTACAATTCTGTTATTTGATCCTTTCGTAGTCCTTGTAAATTCGTCATATAATTTGCGTAGATAAATCTACAGAAACGCTTTACTTTTTTTCTCTCGTTATCTTAGTGGTGAGGAAAAAAAACTACTTGCATTGATATTTTACATGTGAACTCACGAAAAAGTCTCAGTTCAACTAGACAAAGATTAAAAGAGCACCATTCTATCTCTCTCTCTCTCTCTCTAGAGCCAATTTCGAATTATTTTACTGAATTTTTAATTTACTATCGATATATATGGAAAAACAAAAAGAATCAGATTTTTTGCTTTGAAATAAATAAAATGATCCATCGAAAATTTTGTAAAAGTTTCATTCGTCACAAATATTCCTACAATGACATATCAAATTTTAACAAAATAATTATTCGCAATATTTGTGATACAAAAGTCAAGTTGACTTGAGAATTCGATATGCCGAGAGAAACATTCTCGTTAGTTGAATCTTTCCAAAATATTCAAAGCATCATTAAACCTTAAACATGGACAAAGTTTTATATTGGAATGCTACTTTTTCAATTTTCTTAATGTCTTTGCAAAACTAGGTCAACAGTTTAAGAAAACGATCATAACTAAACGTGACATATTGATGCAGATGAGTGTTTTGGGAATTTCAAAAGTCTCTGAAAGGCTTCTTAGTAAGCTCAATAAGAGGTCAAATAGAACAGACGAACCAGAGGAAGAACAGTCATAATTCGAGTGATTTTCTCATCAGTTATTTTACATAAATTCAATGTTAGCACAACTTTTGAAAGTCGTTTCCTTATGAACCAAAAGTAACTTATTTTTAAAAATACTTATCTGTATGTGTTCTCAAATGACGAGTAAGATTGGCACTACGTGGAAATGTTTTTGAACAGTAAGTACAGCAATATCGATCTCTGCCTCTAATCATTGGTTTATCATTTGTTGATAAAATAGGTTTTTTTTCAAGCGACGAAATTGTCTGAGGACTTGATGAAGACGATACTGGTGTTAACGGTCTATGATCATTATATTCTTTCGTTTGTTTTCTTCCCACTGACAAAAATTGATGATGATTTTCATCCTCATCATCGTCTTCTTCATTATCATCATCATTATTATTATTATCATCATCATGGACGTGTTTTTCAATGAAATTATCTTCATTTTTTCTAAACTTTTTCTCTTGTTTATCACCAAATACATGTGAAGTATGTTGATTGTTATAATTGTATCGTTTATTAATGATTGAATAATCAATTGGTTGATCAGTTGATGATGTTCTTGGACGTTGATATGTTTTTGTTAAATCTATTGGTTCGTTGGGTGGTGATATTGATAAATCAGTTTTATTTATTTGATTTAATAATGATGATGTATCAATAAATGGAATGAAAGCAGCTAAATTTGGTGTAACAGTTGATGGCGTTGTTATTGAAAAATGTCGTTCTTTACATGAGCTTCTATAAAAAACAAGAAAAAGAAACAATAATTAATTAAAAACAACGAAAATAATACAAAAAGAAGTAGCGATTGTTACCGATGTTTATTCAATGCAACATGACTTTGAAATGATTGACCACAATCTTTACAATCAATTTGTGTGCGTGCATTTGCATGTGATCTTTTATGACGACATAAATTTGAAAATTGTGTATAAGATTTTGTACAAAACTAGATAAAAAGAGAGAACCAATAATTTTGCTTACAATTTACTTTAAAGTAAAAATAAAATATTTTCCTACTTCACATTTCCACGGTTTGATACTTGAATGAATATTTCTATGTTGTTTTAAACCTGATGATGTTTGAAAACTTTTGCCACAATCTGAACATGAATAAAGACGATTTTCACATTCGCTTGTTTCACTTGAATTTGATGCGTTCCCATTAATATTTGTTGCTAGTGTACCATTGATAATCATGTCGGTATGATCATACATGCTAAAATAGACATACACATATATAATTCTCGTCGTCTTCTCCTTATTTTTTTGCTCCGGTCCGGAAGTTGCCGAACGACGTACATTCTTAAAATTGAAGTTTGACTGATTAAATATGAATCGCTGGAGAAAGAAAAGAGTAAAAAAGACGCACACAATTCCTCTTTTTTTTCTTGTTGAATATATTAAAATTACAGCATTTATTTGTTTTTATCTGCTTATACAATATATTTCACTAATTAACAGTTTTGTTTCTCGCTCTCGGTTTGGAAAAATAAAGAAAACAATTTCTATCCAGCGGCGAAAATGATTTTTTTTCTCTTCTACTTTTTGTTTATTTACCTATGATGATGATCATCTTGTTCATTTTTGATCATAATCATTTCATTTGCTAAAATTAGAGAAAAAAATTCAAACACGTGTTTTCTCATTTTTGTTATTTTTCTTCTTACTGTCTTGATTATCGTCATCAGAATTTTTATCGTCTTGTTGAATAAGATTTGTACATTTTATAATCATTTGTTCATTTGATTGTTCTTGAGATTCTAAATGAAAATAAAAATCAAATTTCACACATACACTAAAATGAACTCATTATCCCTCAATGAGTGCAATGTCGATATATATATATATATATATATGTGTGTGTATGCATGATACAATAAAATAAAATGAAAAAAATCTATATATCCTTTTTAACAACAAGAAAAATATGAATGATAATGAGCCGACAGAGTGTTTCATACATTTGGTGCCCCGGCTGCTACCTATAAAATGTGCATCTATTTCACAAGAGACAGATCGAGACAAGAAAAGACAGTTTGTCTGTCAAAAAATGAAAATCACCAACTTACTCTCGTTCTCTATATTCAAATGAAAGATGGTGAAAGACATGAAATTATCATCGAATGAATTTTTATCTTCTTTTTCTCGTTCTATGATTCTCTCGTTCTCTCTCACCTGAATAAAGAATACATCATGAGATGCCAATAGATTTCGTTTGTTCGTTCTTTCTTTCTTTCTCATAATGATTCCACCTGAGCGAATGTAATGCTTCTGAGGATTTCTCTTTTTTTTTCTTTTTCGTTCCTGACTCTTATTCTCTCAATCAATATGAAAGCATTGGACATTGCTGCAGGCCATCATGTCTCATTTCTATACTCTGTTTCCAGACGATGATTATCCATGCTGTGAGCTTGTCACCTTACTCACAAGAGGTCGAAAAATTTAGATAGATATCGTAAATATGACACTGTTGTCTCTCGATATTTTTTTTCTCTTTCTTTTTATGATCGTGTGTAATCCTCAACTAAATCAACATACACAGGATAAAGATAATATAATATTCAGACATATATACGCGGTAAAGCCAAAGGAAAGAGATAAGTTTTCGATGTGTACATCTCGAATTTTATTTTTTTCAAGCATACACACCTACACAGGTCAATATTTGTCATTTTTTTCCCTTCATCATCATCATCATCATTCCAGACAGATAATAGGCTCTGTTGAGTGAAGTGTGTATGTGAGATAAAACATTGATGAAAGAATCATATTACTCTCAAACGATACGTATATCTATAAATCTGTATTGTTTCATGTTCGAGACAATTTCATATCTTTCGACCCTTTTGTGACAAAGAAGAAGAAGAAGAAAAAAAGAAATACAAAATTTCGATGTTTATTCAATAGATAGAAGTTCCATTAAAATTCAAGTTTAATGTGTGTCAATTTAAAAATGAATAAGAAAAAAAGAAATTCGTCGGTAACACTTTGATATTTCATACCAGAATTATTTCAAGGAAAAAGAAAAAATGAAAACAAGTTTGTTGTTAACACATTTGAAAATGAAATCTATTTAGAAAATTGAACGATGAAATGTATCACACATGCTAATGGAGGATATGTCGATGTTTGTTAATCGTGATTTTTTATCTTTAGCAAATGAGAGGATTAACAATATGTGTACTTAGTTTATTATCAAACAAGATTTGTTCCTGTCGATTAACACTTTTACTCATTTTTTACTTACCATGATATGTTGCAGAAGGAGGAGACGGAGCCGAAAGACGTTTGGCTGCTTTCGTCTTGAGTCGCATCGATGTCAATGTCTTTTACTTCTGATTCTGCTTCTACTGCTCTGTTCTCCCTCTCTCCCTCTCTCTTTCTGTATGTGTTTCGTTTAAGTTGTCATCATATAAGGTAGTGATGGTGGTGGCATTTTCTCTCCTCTTCTTCTGTTTACAGGTTGCTGCTGATCAATTTTGTTTTATGCTGCCACTGCCACTGCCATCTCCATTTTTCTCTCTTTCTCTTGTGTTCTGTTCTTCTTCGCTGGTGATGCGAAAACGAAAATCCGCATCGCGTCGTCGTGACCGAGGATGATTGTATGTCTTTATACATTCTCTCTTGCTTTATTTCGTTCCCAAATATACCTGTTCGATGTGTATGTATGTATGTATGCGCTCGAATAAGAATGAATAGAGACGAAGAAGAAAAAGAAGAAGAAGAAGGTAGTTCGTTCGCTCACACACACACGCACACACTACATACTGGTGATGGAAGCACTTGACAAACTTCTTTACTCAATTTTCTTCTTCTTATGCTTCTTCTTCGTCATCGTCTTCGTTCGCCTGCTATTCTCGCTCGAATGCATCACATTATTTTCTTTTTCTCTCATTTTTTTTCTCACATATATATGCGCTTGAAACATAAAGTTTCATTAAAATTCTGTGTTTGTACAATGAGTCTTGAAGAATCTTCTAAGAAAAAAAAAAGGATAAGAAAAAGGAAAACGCTGAAAGAACTTCGTGATTTGACATTATCAATTATTAAAAAAGAGAAGACATTGAAATCATGGCATGAAAAGATAGTAAATCAATATTGAATGGCAATACAAGAGATAAAGGAACAACACCGACATGCCGACTTCTATTATATGTATTATGATTATTTCTCATAGACTGATATCGGCATCACATCGTAGGAAAAAAGAAAAAGACAACAATAGAAAAGAGAGTCGCGCCAAGTGTTGTGACAATAAGAAGCTCATATGAATGGAAATGGAATATGAATTTGCTTGATTGCTTTTTCGCTCTCTTTCTTTTCTATTTGTTTCAAGAATGTATAACAGCTCAATATGCAGGTGAATAACGCATGAGAGATGCTTTCGGGCACATACACGACGAAATCGAAACAATAAGAAGAAAGAAGTTAAAATTGGCCGCTGCACAGCATCAACAATCATGTTTTTTTTTGTTCTTAAAAAGATAGAGATAATACAATGGATGGATAAAGTTGAGTATGCTGATTGGCCTACTCAAAAGAAAAAGAAAAATGAAGATAGAAACGAAACAAACTCTAGTCTTTATCATTCAATAGGAAGAGAGCTTTTACTCAATCACATACTTATATATAGATATATGCTGTTGAATTTTGATTGAAAATATATGCGAGCAAGCACATACACATGATTACACTCATTGACATCAAGAAAAAATACGTTTTCTTTAATTAGATTGATAGAAGACAATCATTGAAATAGAATATGAAGTCATATCTGTCGATTGTTGAATAAATAAATAGGAGTTATTTGAGTTGTTTTTTCTTACTCTTCTGTAGCACTTCTTTTTATGAAATTTCTTTTTTCTTTTTGTTAGAATATTTTCTACTGAAACTCATAATGAAGATGAATGATTTTTGAATTAAACAAACACTTGAGTAAACATTAAATTTCAGCCTTATTAAGTAACGGATGATATTGTTTGCTAGATGAAGTGAAACAGAAAAGATATGTCAACAATACACAAATTTTGTAAATAAATCCTATTCAATTCTAGTAAGATGATCTTTCAAATCAAATGTTTTTCCTCTATATTTAGATTCCGAATATTCGTTTCTAATAAACAATCAACATCTTGTAATGATCGGCATAGATTGAAATTATTATTATTAATAAAAGTTTTTTTTCTTTTTCTTTAAATCTTTTGTCTTCGTTTAAATACAAAATCGAATTGTGGCATGAATTTCATCAAAGAAAATTTATCATCAATGCGATTCTATCACATTTGATTGTGATAGTAGATTGATATTGACACATAAATTGTCTATTGAAAATCATATGATAACGTTTTTTTTCTTTCTATTTTATCTTAATTATATACATAAATATACCTAAAGCTATATTTGAGTATTTTGTTTTGAGATTATGAAAATGTATGAGAATCAAATTTTGTCTGTTTTCGTCTATGATTATTCAGATTTATATTTGATGATTATGTCAACTTTTGTTTTGCTTTTAAATACTTCTATATAATGTCTGACAACAGTAAAATCATTTTGAATCGTACTTTCTTTTTATAGTTTATGATCAGAACAAATCGCTGCAGATAAATTTATCATACAAATAAAACTTGAAGACGAAGATAGATAATAGATTGTTTCATGCTTTATCAACTGCATTTCCTAGTTCGTGTTATAGCTCTTGAATTCTATTTTTTAAACTTTTTATCTTTCATCATATGTCGTACAAAATCTCTAATATTAAAATGAAGACTCAAACCTGATCATTGATATAATGCAATGCAAAATTGCTTAACTATACCCAACACAACAACCAGTAACGTAGGAAATAGCCTATTAATATGTTTTATACAAAAAAAAAATTGTCAAATTTTCTGCTCTAATAATTAATTATTATTCATGCTATTTTAATCTCAAATTTAGATAAATACTGATCATATGCGTCTATACAAAATTTTTATTCTACCGAAGTAGTCTATCAAATAAAATGAACTAAACGATATAGTGAAAAAAAACATTTTACTGCTAGTAATAATATCTAGTGTTTATTCATAAAAGAAAATCTTTGAATACATTCTTCAGAAGAAAAAAAAATCCCTATCACTTCAGATATTGCTGGATATATTCCTCAGCAATATCGATTCTCTATTCAATATGCACTACGAAAAGAATAATTTATACATGAAGTGATACAAGTGCAGATATTATGTAATGGAGGGAGAAAAAGTGATTATAGATTATTACATGCTCACCAAATAATCGAAAATGACAAGAGTATAATGAACAAAATGAGTGCGCAATCATGAAATCCGTATGTATATATATATATATGTTGTTTTTTCTTCAAGAATAAATTCAATTTTTAGTAATAAACAGTAGTTATCACGGTCTACTCATATGCTACTGTAATATGCTTATTGATTGGTGATATGCAGTGAATAGTATTTGCATTACTATTTTCTTCTTCTACTAGGCATATTGACATGAATTATAAATATAAATATACATATAATAAATCCAATCTCATACATAAAAAGCATAGAAACTTCATGTTTCATCAGAAAAATTTGATATTACAAAAAATATTTAATACGATTCCAGTTATTTGTAATTTAATGAGAATATTTTATATTCATAATGAGTAATCAATGAATGTGTTGAAAAATTTAAATATTTGATTATGAGTTTTCTTTTTAAAGCTACTAACTTTCGAACAAGGTATAGATCATTAAAATTATTTAGTATAAAATCGCCTTTGGTTCTAAAAACTCCTAATACATCGTCTTCTTTTATATAGTCATATTTGTTTTTTTTTGTTATTATCAGTCTATAGTGAATGCCAATTGGTAATCACCTTTCTGAAATATATATTATCATCAAATATTACTTTTGATTGTACCATGAGGTTATTCTTCTGTTTCGCAAAAACAAGTAGTGTTGATATCCGAAATTCATTTTTTAGTAAACATGAAACGAAAAAAACTAGAAGCGACGTTTGTCTCCATAAAAATGATGCATAAATTTTATTCATGTTGTATATTTATTCATGCGAACATCGAAATAGAGGCCCGATAATTGTATCGTAGAAAGTGTTTGACGTTAGAAATTCATTGAACCATGTCGCTCTAAATTGTCAAGTCTCTTATATCACGACATAAATGTATGAATGATGCATTTTTCTTTCATATGAACTATTTTATAGAGATAATATTATCGTACATACTAATATGATAACCTTATAATCCATAAAATTTCAGAAGGAACATTCGAACATACAACTTCATGAAAATATTTAGTAATGAGGTAAGATTTTTATTAAAATAATAGCCAAGATGAATTGTATTCAGATGTTGACTGAGGGTTGGTTTTTAATAAGACTATTCAATATATTATATCAACTAGAAATAAAAGTTATGTAGTTTTATCGATTACTTTTTTTTGAATTACAGATATGAAATTAGAAATAAATGTGGAAACTTCGGATTTCATCCGAGAGTTATGTGTACTGCAAAAAGTGCATGGGACATACGAGTCATTCTAGAATGTCTGAACACGAAAATTATCATGAGAAACTAGGCAATTTGATTTCTGGATGCAGTTTTTGTGCATTTTGAGACGTTTTTCAGGCAATGTTTCGTTAGAAAGCTACGATATCGTTCAAAACTAATATCAGATTTAGAATCAGCGTTAAAAACTGAGTCGATTTATATATGTTGTGGGTAATTCTGAGAAAAAAAAGTTTTTTTTGAAAAATCCCTGTAGTCCCCCTCAGGGATGGTCTGATCAAAAATGACAATTTTTTCGATATCTCAGCCATTTCTTGACGGATCCTTCTCATCTTCGAACTCGACCTAGATATTGATGAGAAAATTCTGTGCACAATATTTCAGCTCAATCGAATGTAATTGTGAAGAGCTATCGAATAAAAGAACGGACGGCCGGCCGGACACACTGACCGATTCTATAGTATACTCTTTTTTTTGAGTACACAAAAAAGAAAGGCTTTTATTCATCAGATTTCAAGACTGTGATTTTTCATCTTGTAAATAATCATAAATTCACAGTTATAAATCAGAATCGAACTGAACAAGCTAATTGAGCTAGTATCGATTATATAAAAACATAATGTAATCAGTGAAGATAAAACATCCGTTGATTGTTTATTTCGAATGTCAAATTGAATGTTCTCTTGATAACTGTAGAGATCATTCGCTTTTATACAGCAGATGAGATTTTTTTTTAAAGCGAGTGAGAGTTTCTGATAAATATTCAAAGTTTTATTGAAATACACAAGTATATTAGAACATAATAATCCACATTAATATCAAATCATATTTGAAATAGTGAAGATAGTTTTGTTTTGTAGAGATTTATGGGGGAAAAAAGAATATAATTAAACTTCCAATTTAATATTTTTATAAATCTCACTATTAAGTAAATAGTCATTGAGAGTCGATATTGCCATTACACTTTCTAATGAATGTCGTCGATGCCATAATTTATTAATTGATTGAAATTCTATAGTTTGCAGTTTTTTATATCCAAGGCAATAACATAATACTTGATATATCCATGTTTTTTTGAATTCTTGTAGATAAGACTTATTAGGTAGTACATAAAGTGCAAATATAAATATTTGTGGTATATAAAGAATTAATAAACATGCAATATGCAGTCGAATATATAATAGTTTCGAATTTATAATGCAAGAATCTAATAAATATCGAATTGTACCATACGTACACAAACATAAAATAACAACAAATGATGGTAAAAGAATATCCATGCGTGTAAATATTTTTCGATAAGATTTTTGTTTTTGTTTTATTATTTCAAAGATAATAAATAGAATAAATATGGTATGAATTACACATGGAATAATCATATAAAAATACGTTATAGAATTATTAATATAAAACCAAAATTTAGTTTTACGATAGTCATAAGTACAATAGAACTGACCTAATTGATCCGATATTAAATTTCGAGTAAGTACCTTATCAAGATTTGATGCAAAGCCAAGAACGAAAAGATAGAGAACAATAAAAACAGAACATTTACGAGAACGAAATCTGTCAAATGTAAAATATCGAACCAATACATTCTCAATAGCAATGCCAACAGTCATGAGAATACTCATATTGATCATAACAAGAAATAGATACGGATGACCGTGACAAGCCCATAAACGAAGTAAATAATTATCATATCGAATAGTAATAATGATGTTTGTTATAAATAATATCATCAATATTATAGCACATATTGAAAACGTGATTAAATAAACTCCACATACAGTATATCGAACACGACCACGAATGAATGTTATGAAAGATAAAATACTACTGATTAAACCGATAAAAGTTAAGATAATACAGATAAAAATATAGACATGATAGGATGATGGAATATCATGAACAATAGCTCCAACCATAGGTAATGTAAGTGAATTATATCGATGTTCATCGTGTTTACCAGTGAAATGTTGGCTGGTACAAACGCAAATGCCTGAAACGCATTGTCCATTGTTGATACAATTACTGTCGTTCAAACAGAGTTTCATGTGTTCGTCGTATTGAGAATAAAATGGAAGTGCTATGAAGAGTATTTTAAATAATATTCATTTTCCTATTCAATTAGCATATGCTTTGCATTAGTTCTGAGTTACCACTTATTTGAAAGAAGAAGAAAAACAAATTTCGTACAATTTTTCAGCTTCATTGACTGCAATATTTTTCAGACTTATTCAGAATATTTTATTTGGATGATTACCAGTATAAGTTTAATTCAATGGTACAATGAAGCAATAGCTGAAAGAAACTTCTCTTTTTGAAGATCGGAGAAAATTATTATTCAATTTATTAACGTGTGAAGGCAAACGAAATTGAATAGATGTTTTGAAGAAGATGTTTTACAGCTAGAAATGCTTGTAGAATTTGTTACATAGTAGCCATTATTCTAACGTAGGATTTTATGTTGAGTAATGTGAGGCTCTCTTTTAGGGATGCTTTTAATTAATCTTTGTTTTATTGTTACGCTCAGTCAATGATGCGTTTTCTTTAGATTAATCGATCTTCTGTCGAGAGCTCACGTAAACAGTTATTTTACCTTGTTTCAGTAAATGAGTAATCAATGATTTTTAACAAGATCAATTGATGAAATCAGTAGATTGAAGAGAATAGTAGATTTATGTAAATAATGATAACAGTGAAGAAAAAACAATAAATCTGACAAACAAATATAAGGATAAATCCTTATATATTCAAACGAGAAAACAAAACAACGCAATAACGAAAAAGCATAGCTAAACCAAAAAGGTCACATCACATGATCTCAATCAGTGTTTCTAATAGAAATCTGAAGTAAAATATTTTTGTACATTATGTTTATGTGAAAAATGTGTATTTTCACCCTTTGATTTTATAAACAAAGTGTAAATAAACGAAAAGAGGTCAGATAATCTAGAAAGATAATAAGAAAAATTCTTTTTTATCTGTTTCATAGAGAAAGAAAGTCACATAAATTATAAACAACCNCGTAGCTTTCTAACGAAACATTGCCTGAAAAACGTCTCAAAATGCACAAAAACTGCATCCAGAAATCAAATTGCCTAGTTTCTCATGATAATTTTCGTGTTCAGACATTCTAGAATGACTCATATGTCCCATGCACTTTTTGCAGTACACATAACTCTCGGATGAAATCCGAAGTTTCCACATTTATTTTTATTATAAATCTCAATTGATAATGACTTGTCTAAACTAAACGATGAGCCATAATAAACAAGCAACGATCACACTGAAGCAGATCTTATATTTTTACTACGAAACTGTAGAGAAACAAGAAATGTTCGATAGTACTACAGAGACATTCACTAAATGTTGATCAGTAATGATGAGGATGGCCTATGTGTTTTTCTTGCTGTTCAAAGCGTGTTGAACTGATTAAGAGATTTAACTGTTTGTTTTATTCTAGCTTTTAATTTATACTATAGTACAAATCAAGTCATAGGAACTTTTTCTCATCAATCGCAAAGTGTCATTGATTCAAAACATAAAATAAGATCGCATTAGATTACTATGATAGTTGGCGCCTTTATTGCAATAGAATACATAATATTTGTTCAAGAAAGAGGCAATATACTGTGGTATCTTATTTTATTAAATGATTTGTTGACAATATCATTGTTGATTACTCTACATAAACTTCTATTAGACCAATTTTTATAAAGAGTATGTTTTTGAACTAATGAACGATCAAAACTGCTTTATCATCTCTTTAGACGGTTAAGGCCCATCTGTGTGAACAGAATGAGAAAATGAGAGCCTATGAAACATAAGAAAACGAATGGGCTCATCTATACCGCATTTCTAAGAAGAAAAGTGACGAGCGAAGCATGCGCAGTAAGGTGTATTATTTCTCTGTAATCTAATAATCAGTCCCATCTTGATTATCACGTAGTATGTCGTATTTTTGAGTAAATCCTCATCGATTAGTTTAAAAAATATGAATTTTTATTTCACTCTGAGCAAACTATCGCCAAAAGAGACATGCCAATATAGCTAATTTAAAAATGAAAATATTTTAAACATTATTTCTTATGTATTATAATACCGATTAAAATAATTGTATTTTTCGTTAAATTTAAAACAACTTTTATGGCATGTTTAAGATCAATGCATAGTTCTGTTAAGATACAACTGAAGATTTTTTTTCTGATTAGAAGAAAAGGACAATACTATGGTATCGATGATCTGTTAATTGAATGATCCATGACTAATATCCATGATTGGTAAGACATGAAAAGTTTACTGAAAAAAGAACGTACTTATAAGTATGTCACTCCGCAACAATCTAGGGATTCAACTGAATATTGAAAGTATTGTGTGAAAAAAATCTTCGAGGATCTAAAATCATGTTTTGAAAATTTATCGTTACTTATGAATATTGGAAAATATTTAAAAATTTAGCAGAATATAACTGATAGTCAAGCAATACAACACAAAATCAAAACATGGTATTTTCTGTATCAAATACATGAATCTATGAATTTCCGAAAGTCTGATGGACAATCCTACAATAAATGAAGTTTTTCTTATTAATTCTACTGATTTATCATAATGGTCTTATGTTTAAATAATTCCAATATCAAGAACACCAAATATTCCTATATTGAGAAAGGACGTTTGCATCCTTGCTCATAGCTACGAGGCTACATCTGAAAAAATAATCAATATATCGATCGAACAGAATCTAAGATAAGCGGAATTGATAAGAAATTATTGATTACGAGCAGTGATGGTATTTGATTCAGACAAAGTTGTGTTCCGCTATTTATCGATATTTTTATACAGATCAAATAGCGATCATCTATTTCTACTCTCGGGGTATTTTTGTAGTCTTATTCCTTGTTTAATTGAATTGCGTAGAAATATCTGATCGAAAATATCTTGTCTTTCGATGCAACGATTTTGACGTGTCAAACAATTGTAGACAAGATAGAAGGAGAATATAACAATATTTTTGAACAAAAAAAGAACCAATCAAATACATGGAACAAGTATAAAGAAAAAGATGATCTTTCTTTTTCTTGTGATTGATTATCATGTTAGATCTCGATAAAGGAAATCCTATGTATAAAAAAACAGCATTGATTTATTTCAACCGTTCATTTGGATACTACAAGCAAATCTATCTAACTTGTTTTAGCGTAGATCATAAGTGTTTGAATGAAAACACATATTTTATCAATAGTACTATAAACTGTTCCGAAGCTACTTTCAATTCAATATTTCCATTGATAAGATGAATTACATACAGATATCAAGCAATGATTATCAAAGAGAATTTTTCAAACGTAACATCTGTTGAGTATAACTTCTATACTTGTAAGTGATTATAATCCTGACAAATTTTTCTTCAATATTTTAATTAACTCTTGAATCTGTATTATACGATGAGTTAAATTGTTTGAATGCAAGTTTTATTAATTTTGATATAATTTCAGAAAGTGGTTTTTCTTATGTCGAATTCATTTGTATCGTTGCTAAGAGTGAAACATGTCATTTTTTTTTAAGTATTTATTTATTTCGAATAATCCTTTTTTAATGATACACAATTTAGTTCTTCCACAGTCAAATATCTTTGTATATATATATATATATATATGGGAGCAATGTCGAATCAATTCAATATTTTGTTAAGAATCTATAAACAAAATAAGCTCAGCATGATATTTATTATTTTTTGAAAGTATTTAACATCGGGTCTTTGCAAATAACAACGTAGTTATTCTACAAGAAAAATTTTAATTATCATACGTCATTAAAAAAGGAAACGCATTGTGCTCTGTATGATAATTACTCTTTGCTTTAAAATAGTCCATATAAATGAGTGCAAAAAATTACTTGTCACAGTTGTACTGTAAAATTTCGATCGAAAAAACCACAAAAATTCTTTTTCTCTCTAAAGATATCAAATTGAACACATTGTTGCATGCGAAACTAGAAGAAAAAATATATAACAACATTATGAATCAGATTTTAGTAAATATTTGATGATGAAAATGCTTTCGATTGATTTCAATGTAGATATTAATAATTCATAGAATGCTTTGTTTGATCCCTTAAGTATACAGAAGACGATGAAAAAGAATTTCTTTCACTACAATACTCGTCTACTTGAGATCTAATTCGACTGTGTCTAATCTGATTTCATAGCTTGGTTCCCTCTCTAATATTGAGTGCATATAATCTCACATGTTTCCGGTAGCAACTCGTTATTATAATTTACGAAAGTAAAGATGTCTGCAATAGAAATAATTGTATTAGGAATCCAGATTTATGTCGTGCCGACTGACATGTACCCTCTAAATACTTTTTACGCATTTAGCCAAATAAGATTTAGGTATGCTATTAAGTCTGGCATAGTTCTTTTTACGTTTGACATAAAAGAAAAACTTGAGTTGCGAAATTCGATTGAGTACTGTCGAATGAAATTTTAATTACAATAATGTATTAGTGAACGAGATTATATATATATATATATATATACTGTTAAAAGAAATTCTTTTCTGATCGCTTTTGACATTCTGAAGAACCATACCAAGAATCCTATGCGTGCTAGCTGATGAAATAAGTATCTGCTATAATGCAGCTTTTCTTTCTTTCTATGATGTTATATCAAGCAGAAAATTTGACTATTCATTCTACCAAAAAGACCTTCGTTTATGGCTTCGCTAGATAAACTTTTCACTAAAGCCGAAAATAATACTTCTTCTTTTGCGCTTATACGCAGAAGTAGCTTAGAAGTAAAGTAACCATCATGCAGAACACAATCGGCTCCTTTTAATGGTGTATGATGATGAAAACTTTCATGTATATTCAACACGTAGTAGTCGACAATCATTAATACTCGGGTACTTCGAATGAATGAAGAAAAATTCATGCTGAGAGCATTTGATTGGTAGAACCTTAACATAATAATCGTCAATCGGCCTTGAATTTTCTGCACACATGTAGATTATAAGTTATTATTCACAATATATTACATAGACTAAATGTGTGAAAAATAACTAGATGTTGAAACAAGAGAATAGCAATTTGCTGGTTATATGATTTTGAAAGGCTTAGATTTTAATCGAACAGCAACACAGTGAAATTAAGTCGGTGACTATCAAAACATGAAGTCTCAAGTTTTATTAAGAGTCACAAAAAACGGATGACTATGAAAAAAGTATTGTCACCATGTATGTAAACACAAATAATCTTGTGGGTTTTAATCCTCTCTTCATTTTTTTAATTTACTTTTTCGATTTACTTAGATATATTAATTCTAAATGAGCATTTGTTTTGTCTATTATAACAAATATAAAAACAAACAAACAAAAAAAGAGATGTTCATAAATCAACCCAAATCTTCCGAAGAAGGTCTACGTTCGTGTTTGCTTAACGATTGAATACGTTTGCGCATCACGCGTTCGTTTGATGCGACTCTTTTTCTAGAATATTCAAGCAATAAAATAGATTAAAACTTTATGAACACTCTCATTTTACCTATCTTCGATCACTTTTTTTTCTTCGTCACTCAATCCTTTTGGAACAATACTTGCTTCACGAATTAATGCTCGAATTCGGTCTAAACATTGACCTTGATTTAACAAACGATGTCGAGTTTCATCAGAAAATATAACAAAATAGCCATCACGATTAATACGATTATGATTCTAAAAAAACAAGAAAGATCTATAGTTTTGTATTCAACTAAACATGAATACAGACCATATCATGAAAACGTGGTTTAATCGAATCTGGTATCCATGTTGCTGAATCAACATGAAATCGAATTTCTACACCACTTAATGCTAATGCAAAGAAAATTCATGTTGGCATTAAATTTCATAATGTAGTTTCTCACTTTTATTCACATGTTGACCACCTGGACCTCGTGCGTGCCGATGTGCAATCTCGAGTTTATCTAAGTAATAAAACTGCTACGTCACATAATAGAAAGAAGAATCATCTAAATCTACCTGTAGGAATAAATCCATTGAATTTTTCATTTCCAGTTGATTCCCTTGTAGGCTAAGTTCGTCGAATAAGTACAAATAAGCGTTTTTTTAAATTTCTAATAGAAGAAATTTACCGATTTTATAGGTCCTGAGACAACTTCGAGTGATTTACAATTAGGAAATAATTTTTCAAAGGATAAATTTGATTTATATGTTCGACTCGTTATTAAAAACTGTCGAGTTGATAAGCAAAGAACTTGGCGAACGACAAAATTATACATTGAATTCATCTACAAAAACAAAGAAAGAATAAACACTATTTTCGAATGAATAATTTGCTTTTCAATCGATGGCGATCGTTTTAATCATGCTTCGATACGATTGATGAAACAATCGAAGAAAATAATTGTACTCAAAGTATTCAATTGAACATTTAATATGAAAAGAGCTTTATTTTTAATTGAATACACGTCAGCAACAAATTACAAAAAGTGCTTCATCTTTATTAGTTTACAACGTATGTAAAATAATTCTTTATTGTTCATCACGCAAGCTATCCAAATTGCCACCGGGAAAAAAGAAAAAGTGCATGCTTAGAAATTCTCACGTTCATCATGATAAATAAATCTGATAATTTATTAATCAGGAACTTAGGTATCCGGTTAAAACATGTGTAAAATGTCCTATAATAATCTATCAAAGGTACTCACTAATTCTATTCATCGCAATTTAATCTAAAAGCAGAAATTGAGTCGACAAATGCGACAGTTATAGACTCGATCCAATCCATCGTTTATTATTTTCGTAATTTGCTTCGTTAGAACATAAAAAGAATCGACTAGAATAATTAAGTTACTTCAATGCTCACAGCGGGAATGATACTGCCGACAATCAAACATCTGTACAAGCAAGATCTTTTCTGTAAACCTCTTTTTTTACATTAAGGTGGTGCCTTCACACGTAAAAGCGGAGAACAGCTGCTACCAGCTGGTGCCATACGTTTTAGATTAAGTATTTGCAGAAAAACAAATACTTTGATGAAGCAAAAACAAAAAATCATATTAAAACTTTCAATATTTTATTTCGTGTATGCCATTGAAGTTTCAAGACAAAAGGGTAAGAGGAAAAAAGTAAACACCTAAATTCCATTATGTATAAGACAATAAATGGAATATGGTAGTTGAAAAATTAAATGGATAAAACAAACAAAACAAAAACCCGACTGTAAAATCTGGCGTATAATATTCAAAGTTACACGATTGTTCTTGAGATTAATAATATTTAATACTATTGAGGGAAAAGTAAGGAAATCTATTCTTATGATGATTCTAGCCGGCCATGATGGACGGAAATATGAAAAAAGAAAAACTAATGAACTAAAAAAAAAGATATTCATTTGTTTTTGTCATCAAGCTTTAACTTGATCATTCTCATTCATTGGCACCAATTCTTCATCGTTGATTTTCTTTTCTTCTTGAGCAGCAGCTGATTGAAATCGAGCCCATTTACGCGGTACACCTGAACCAAATAATAAAAATATGAGACCGCCAATAAAATAAACTATGCCGAAAATAATAAATAATTTTCTCCATTCTTCGAGTATTGGCTTTTTAACAAGAAGACCAGCAACAAGATTTCCAGTTAGACCAGCTATTGATGCAAATGTATTAGCTATACCAAAAATAATACCCGAATATGCTGGAACAATATCAGCAAAATTCACAGAAAAACCACTTCCATAGCCAAGACCTTCAATGAAACAATTTTTCATTAGATATTTACAATCTAATCTAAATTTTCTTCAAATTTTCGCTTAAAATCTCGTTGCTTTTCTTTTACATTGACGATTGGCTACTTTCTAGTTCACATTAGCATCATAAATAGCCCTAATTTATAATGATGTATTTGTCGAAACTTTTCTCTCTCCTTCATTTCATCCCGTACTTTTCTTCCCAAGGCAGTTATATGAATATTCTGTGCGCTTGAACATTACGTCTATCGTCGTCTATCGGGAAAAATGAGCTCTATAAAAAATAAAAAAATATATATATGCATCTGTCTATCTCGTTCTCTTATTTGTTTCTTTCAAGGGCATTCTCTCAGCATAAGAACAAATGGCAGATTTTTTTATGCGTAGACGTACATCAATCAAGGACACTCAATAGGACACCATGCTATTCATCTTTTAATTTAGATAAGTTCTTTGTTTAAAAGAATATCAAGTCTTGATTAGACTTACCGGACGCAGCAAGAAAGATGAGTACAGTAATAACGCCCAATACTTGTCTCGATTCATTACAGAAATACAATGATATCATACATAAAGCAGGCACAAATGATGTTATAGAATTAAATAATCTTCTTGCAGTTGTTAATGTCATTATTTCAGATCGAACAAGTTTATCAGCGATAATACCTTAAAGTAATTTCGGTAAAAAGAAAAAATAAGCTAAATTTACTTTTCTTTCCTATACCTGATGTTAAACTAGTGCAAAGTGTAAGAAAAAATCCGAATGATAATATATAACCAGTATATTGCGTAGGTACGCGATGAAGTTCAGTCAAAATTTTACCAAGATTTGTTAAAAAGAAAAATAACCCAAATAAATTTGCTATATGTGTACACATTAAAGCAAGTAACGGTTTAGATTTTATCATGCTTCCCCATGGTATGGATGCTAATGACATTGAGCGTTTTTTGCCTGTGTGGCCTGTATAACTGCATATATAATCTCTTTCATGACTACTAATTGTTTGATGATCAGTTGGTGCATGTGATGTCAATGGTATCCATAATGACAACCAAATAAAACCCAAAACACTTGTTAGAACAAATAAATACATCCAACCTGAGGCTAAATAGCTACATGAAATACCACCAAGAAGCATCGTTAATGATGTTCCGAATTGTGTGCCACAAAATCCAATTGATGCAAGCGTACTTCGTTCTTGTGGAACAGCCCAAACTGACCATAGGGATATTGTTGCTGGAAAAAGCACACCATGCGCAAGACCAATAATAAAACGAAGGATAAACATTAAGGCGAAGTGTGTACTTGACATAACATACATTATTGTTAGAGCAAGAGTAGCAGTAGAACTAACAGTTAGTGAAGTAGCAAAAACCCATTTAGGTCCAATACTTGTTGCTAGCCATCCGCCTAAATGTTCTCAATGATCTATTATAGATTGTGTGTAAAATAAAACATAGTACTTACCCGGTATCTGTGTAAATACATATCCAGCCCAATATCCTCCTAACAGAAGTTGTTGTTGTAATTCAATCCAATTGAACTGTTTATCTTTAAGAAATCCTCTTTTTTGTAGCGCCTTAGTAATTGTTTTTACTGTTGTTGGTGCATGCAAAAAGTTTTTGTTTACATTATTAGCTAAATTGTTACTTATTGTTTTTGTTCCATTTAATATTAATCCATGTTCAATTGGTTTTGTACGATTAACCATGCATACAATAGCTATAGGTAAATTCACACGTTGAGAATATTGTATGATAAAAGCAAAGCAGACTAATAAGGCCAATGTAAAACGCTTTGATGGTATCAATGGTGGTGGTGCTTCACCATCCACCAAGACAATCGTCTTTCCAGTGCCCATAATGCACAACAAGCTAAAAGTCACCAAAAACAAAAAAAACTATATTATCGACTAAGAAAATACTGGCTAAGAAGATTGAATAGTTATATGCCCATGCCTCCTCTTTGTTCTACAAGGTCTTGGAAAGAACTTGTATGTTAATATGTTCTTTCCTTCTCTTCGTATATTTTCTGACGCTCGTCTGACGCTCTTAGATCGAGAGAGAAAATTTCTTTTCTTTCTTTGTAAATGACAGCCTGACTTCCTCTCCCTCCGTGTCTACCATTTCAGTCTTTCAAGAAACACAAATGCCATAGACCGGCAATACTCTGGGCGAAAAAGAACCCTAACTGCCATTCTGGCATTCTTTGTGTTAGACCAAAGTCAAGCACAAGTCAAGCACAAGTCTCCTGCTCTCTGTTTGTCTCTCCCTCCCTCTCGCTCTCGTTCTATCAATCATTCATCAATGTGTGGAAAAAAAATAATTACAAATAATAATAATAGTGGAACAATAATGACCTTTTAGGTTACCATGGCTTGAATTACACCATCGAAACTTTACCGTATACCAGTAGGAACGAAAGTTTGTATTTATTAACAGTCGATGAATAGAAGTTTTGTTTACCATGATAGTCATCTAAATATCAATCAGCAACAAAAGAAATAATGAATAACAAAACAATGAAGTATTAAAAGAGCAAAAACGATTATTTCGTTTATTTTATTTTAATTTTTTATTCATCATTATCATCGTCATCACCATCGGCCATAGTATTATTAGATTTTCTTTCGGATGTTTGCTCATTTCCACCCATTTTACGTAATTCGCCGAGTAATTCTGATCGTTTTGAACGTTTTCCAGATGAGCTGAGATCTGAAAAAATGTAAAATAAAACATAGGACTATTTATTGGCATTTTTTCTTTAGTAAACTTGATTTTACCAAATTCTGCTGCAGTTTTTCTACGTAATCCTTCGACTGTATCATTTTCTTCGTCTGCCCATTCAAGGACAAGACGACGTCCATACAAATGTGTACTATGGCATAAAGCATCAAACGCATTCTAAATAAAATGAATTAAATTAGTAGAAATTTTTTTTTTATAGAGCTATTTACTTTTGCATCATTTTTACTTATGAAATCCACAAATCCGAAACCACGATGACGTTCATCGTCAACTTTTTTCGGAAGACGAACAAATTTAAGTTCACCAAATACACGAAATAATTCACGAATTTCTTTGATATTAGCTTGAAATGGAATATTTTTCACTAAAATTTTACTTGTTTGTTGTTCTTTTTCTATTTGACGTTTACGTTTATTTGATTTTGCGTGTGGACTAATTAGAGGAAGAAAAACAGTTGAAAAAACAAACGAACAAAGAATTAATTGTGTTTTACTTTGATTTCATTGTACGTTCAGATCGTTTAAGTTCAAGTGTATGACCTTGAAGTTCAGAATTCTGTAATTGTTTAAGTGCTTCTTCAAGTAATTTAACCGATGAATACTCAACAAAACCATAACCCATTGATAATAATTGACCTGGACGTTTTAGATCTTTTTTTTTCGCTACATAAGCTCGACATGAGCCAATCGAAGAAAAATGCTTGATGAAGAAAAGAATAAATTGAAATAAAAGAAAACAGAGAATATTTTACTTACTTTTTCTAAATCTTCATCAGTTGTATCAAAATTAAGATTTTTTACAAATAATGTAAATACTTCTTCTTCTTGAATTACTGGTTCTTGTTCTTGTTCTTCTTCAACAAGAGATTCAGTCTAGAACAAAATTTTAGTTTATTTAATTATCTGAATTTTGTTTCCACGTCAATGTAAAAAAATCAATCATTCATTTCCGGACACCATTGATGCATGACAAATGCAAGTAGACAATTATGTCTCAACGAAGAAATTGAAATTAGCATTCATGTATTTTGTATTTCAGAGAAAAATAAAATAGGTTTATCGAGATAAATATGTTTTTAAGCTTTACTTTTACGATTTTTCTATGATCATGTTTGATTTTAAGTGTCAATAAAACAAAAAACAGATTGCAATAAATATATCCTATTTCCGTGTACGCCGATGCTTACGATACATTCTGAATTGATAAATTTATGCTAACAACAACAAAACATCGTGGTAGTTGGATTGAGAAGAGCTAATGTAAATTTATGAGTATTTTTTCTTCCTCTGAGAATACAAACTTGAATGATTATGAGAGATGCTTTTCAATTTAAAGTAAATATTTTATTTATGAATGGATACATTTTTTATGTTAAGTTAGACTCGCCTTTGTAAATGATATTGAAGTATAATACGAGATATGTATTTTCAGAGAAAATAATATTGTTAGTAAAAATTCAGTTAATTGACTTATTTACATCATCGGCCGCAAATACATCAATAGAAGAAAATATGTTGATAAAAACAAGCCTCTGCTTTTCTGTATGTTTGACGCTTTCTGTTTTTGATTAATTTCCTCTGTCAAACCCATTCATCATTAGATCTGTATTCTAAAACGTCATCTTATCCTCTATGATAAATACTGTGGTATTGATAGAAATAAAATAGTTGTCACTTTGAGTCACGAAAAGAAAGAATTTATTTCCCAAGCAAAAAAAAGACACGTACCACAAATAAAAGATATGATAGTTCCGTGTTCATTTTAATCCTAATGATGGTATCCTTCCTTAATTATCTCATGCGACATTTCGTTTTATTAGTTCGTTAGATAAACAATGTTCTATTCTATTGTAATTAGCTTTTTTTACGACATTACAATTATTTTTATTCTAGTCTATTTATTAATAATTTAGCTTACGTGTTGTTTTTCTTCTGGTTTTATGTGTACCGAAAGTACATTTCCAGGTGCCCATTCCAAATATAATGGCCTATTATCTTTAAACTTCCGATAGGATAATTGTTTAAATGCTTGTCGTGCTTCTTGCGGATGTTCAAATACAATTAATGCACAATGTCCATAGGGTGGTAAAATAATTTTTTCTAATTTTCCATATTTTTCAAATAAAATTCGTAAATCTTGTGCATGCGTTTTAATGGGTAAATTTTTTGCTAATATAACATTTTTACTTCGTTTTGTTGCTGAGATTGCTTGACTAAACGAATCTAATTGTACACCATTGTCGATTAAAAATTGTCGAGTCTCATGAATGATTTGTGTTTCTCCAACAGCTAATCGTACAGCTAAACTATCATTTTTCTTTGTTGAATCAGCAATGGCTGATTTATCAAGGCTATATCGTTCGGCCATAATTTCAGCAATAGCATTGGAAGAAAGAAATAATGCATTCCAATTTTGTTCGGATGATGTTGCTATTGCGGTAGGTGTCTAGAATTATGATACACACTCAAAAATAGATATCCTATTGCTAGGAAATAAGTTCTACAGATTACTTGATCATAACTATTGGATAATTTTAGCAAATTTTATGATAGAAAATTAAATCAAATGTATGACAAAAACGGCCATCTTAGCTTTACATGGTATGGAGTGGTTCTCAAAATGATTCGAGTAGATTTAGTGTATATATTTGAAGTCTTTGAGGATAATGCGGCATAAATAAAAAAAAGAAGAACACTCGCTATTTCCAAAGCGTGTGCTAATGGGTAAGTTCTGACCTTCAGTCACACCCTTGCCATGTGAATGATAGTGAAACAAATTGATGATCTTCGTGCTTGATAAAGCATCTGACATTCACACAAATCACTGAGGGACCGTTTAAAAGTCAGATGAAAATATACATTTTCCCTTCTCTGAATGTTTATAATTGATATGATTGCTATCTTTACACGGTTAGATCTATTTTAAGTCCCCCTGAAAAAAACCAAGTAAGAAATTTTCTAAAAAATTCAACGCCTCCATCATGATTTTGAACTAGAACAAATTAATCTTATGCGAGCCATCCGTATGTTGTTTGCCTACGGAGTTAATAAAAATAAAAGTTTGTGTCGTTCGTAAGATTAATATTCCTTGGCTCGAAAATTTCGAAGGAAGTCAAGAGACATTTCATCTTGTATGGTCTATTATTCCAGGTAATTCAATCAGAAATCTACATGCCTATTCCAGAAATTAAAAATTTCAGCTATTAGTTTGTTAGGAACACTATTCTTTTAAAAAAAACTATGAATTAATTTCATCTGCAAAATATTTTGTGTAATATAATTGTGCCAGAAGAATTTTTTGCGATTCCCTGAGTCTACGTTGCCTCTGACAAAATTAATTATTTCGAAAATATGAAAGTAGACTAATATAGAAAGTATTCTGGATATCATGTTGTCTAAATAGGCAACACATGCGTAAGAAAACTTCAAGTTTGTGATTATGATTTTCTTTGACATTGTCCGGAACAGGAAATTCAAACAATAAAGTCATTGAATTGCGGTTGAGAAGACTGTAAAAGTGATGCAATTATTTTTCTTTTTTAATATAAGAACAGATCGCTCACTCAAACTTATTTATCCCTGTTAGACACGGACATGAACATAATGAAAACTATCAAAACTTGAATCAAACTAATTCGTTCGTATAGTTAAATATGATTGAGAAGGCTGATTAACCTTTTTTTTGTCAACTACAAAAGGTTTTAGATACCGTTCTGGCAGGATTATAATATAAAAACATGACGAAGATGCGTTTTTTAATTATAGGAATATTCTTCAATACAATCTACTTTGTGATGCATTCTATCACTATTCATTCATTCGATCCTTTAGAAATACAATCAGGAAATAGTTTAAATCATGGGTAATTACAAACCGACTATTTCTAATCATAATTCAGATATTAGAACGAAAATTCATTGCTTTACGATCTATGAATAGAAATGCCTGTGAAATTCTTTACTATTCACTTCGACACTAGTTTTAGGTTTTATTTCATAAAAATAATCATACCTGACTTTTAGTTGATTCCAACGAGTCTTGTTCTTTTTGTTGCTGTGTTTTTCCTGGTAAAATATGCAATAAGCGACCTTGAAAAGCATGCCCATCGAGTTGATTAAAAGCTCCTAAGGCATGTTCAGGAAACATAAATGTAACATGTGCAAAACCTTTCGGTTGTTTTGTTAAACTATCAATGGGCATATTAATATTTGTTATTCGTCCAAATGGACTAAAAAGTTGGTCTAAATCTTGTTCAGTTGTTCTATATGAAAGATTTCGTACGAATAATTCGCCTGTTTCACCAATTGCTTCATTAATGGGTTCATAGGCTTTCATTGGCTTTTTATTATTATCTTTTGATTTATTTAATAATTCTTTATTTTTAATAAATGATGTTAATTCTAAATAACGATTTTCACCGGTTTTCTTAATTGATAATACAGTTTTTTGTTTAAACATTGCTTTATTCATATCATCTTCATTTTCGAGTTCAATCCAGCAAACTCCTGTTAAGGAATTCGTTTTACGATTGTGAATTAAACGACAACGAACAATAGATATTGGAGAGAAAAATTGACGAATATCGTTTTCTTTGGATGAATATGGTATGCCACAAATTTTTATTAGATAACGAGGCTTTTTAGGTTTGTCTTCTTTAACAGGAATAGGAAGAGAAGGAACAGAAGATATTGGTTTATTTTCAGCAGGCTTCGATGGTGTCTTTTTTTCGTCTTCAGTATTTTTCATTGAATCATTCCATATGATTTGTTCACTTTTCTTCATTGAATCAACATTTTTAACGAATTCTTTAAATTTTTCATCATATTTAAGATCACCAAGTATTGCATCCACCAATTGACTACTTCCTTTTGATTTCGTTTTCGGTTTATTTGTTGCCTCGGGAATTTTTATTGGTTCAGGAATCTGTTCAGAATATTTACTCCACGGTCTCGGACGATTACTATCATTCAAAGCAAAACATTGTTCAACAATTATTTTTGATGTACCAATATAAGATTTATTTAATTTATCAATTGCACGTTGAGCTTCTTCATCGTTTATAAATCCAACAAATGCAAAACGACGGAATATACCATCTTTGGTATATTTTAATTGTAGATCAGTTATGGATCCGAATGGTTGGAAATGTTTTCGAATCTGTTCTTCTTTAACCTAAGCAAGAGAGTGATAAAGAAATTCTACATGTAGTTTAATTTACATAGAAAATCTGTAAGATAGAATTCGCATAGCTATGAAGTCGTATAAAATACTCTGAAATTCAATATTTGTAGTGCAATATAAAAAAATATATAATTTTTTCTATCTCTTTTTATGTAATAGAAAACACTTTCAGGCACACTTCTTAGGTAGTTATTGCATATATTTTACATACTTGTTTTGGTAAGTTTTTGACAATCACACGAGACATGATGAATAATCTAAAAGAAAACTATATATTTGTTAATTCTTTTCTCTGCAATACTCTTGTATCAACACTTTTTGTTCACCAGTTATTCGCAAAAATCATCCGTACGAATATTAAATGGAACCTCTATTTGATGACTGTGTTTTGTGATGAAAAATATAAACTCTAGCAAATCAATCCTACGCTGTCCCTTGCTATTCAAATCATTTTATTTTATTTTCATGATAGAATTCATGCAATATTCGATTTCAAAAACACGTTCATGACTTTAATGATTTTGATTAGTGTATATGATTATACAATAAAAATGCATGATGGAAATCTTCTTTAACTTAGATAAATTAAAATTAAAATTTTACAATTTTAATAGTATTTATGCATGTTTATCTTCAAACATTCTCCAACTTTCTAGTTGACTTGAAAAGATGTCGCCAACAGATGACTCAGTCGTAACTGTATCTTTACAATTTTCATAATACTAATCATTTTTCCTGTCAAGTGTCTAAATCCGCACGCATTTCGTTGCATTATTTTTTATTTCTCTTACTATTTTCGACCGCAAGTGTCTCATTGCTTACACGTACGATCGACGTCATCCGAAATGTTTTGCTGGACCAATCAAATGCAGACAGCATTTTCATCCTTCAGCAACAAGCAAAACATGCATGTACTACTTCAAGAATCTTCATTTTAAATATATACAACGCGTTTTCAACAACACTATCATTTTGTTAACAAATCATACGTTTAGTAGACATGAAGATATTCGCTAGTCTTCTTATTATAGCAACTTTTGCGTTTACATTTACGTTCGCTGCTGAGGAAAAGAAAGGTAGGATTTTGAATTGAAATCTAGCAAAGCTTCATTTCATTTTGATCCATTAGATATTGGTACTGTAATTGGTATTGATCTTGGAACAACATATTCATGTGTTGGAATTTTTAAAAATGGTCGTGTAGAAATTATTGCTAATGATCAAGGTAATCGTATCACACCATCTTATGTAGCATTTACATCTGATGGTGAACGATTAATCGGAGATGCAGCCAAAAATCAGTTGACATCTAATCCTGAAAGTATGTTTGTATTTTATTTTTCGTACACTTGAATTCCTATGTCTACGATATAATGAATAACTTTAGATACTGTATTCGATGCTAAACGACTCATTGGTCGTGAATTTAGTGATGCAAGTGTTCAACAAGATATTAAACATTTTCCATTTCAAGTTGTTGAAAAGAATTCAAAACCAATTATTCAAATTAACGTTGGTACAGAAAAAAGACTGTTTACACCTGAAGAGATCTCAGCTATGGTTCTTGGAAAAATGCGTGATATTGCTGTAAGTTCATTGTTCATTTTCTACTCTCAATCAATTTACAGTGTGCCACTACTTTTTTCTCTCGTCATCGTATAGGAAGCTTATCTTGGAAAGAAAGTTACTCATGCTGTTGTTACTGTTCCGGCTTATTTCAATGATGCACAACGTCAAGCAACTAAAGATGCTGGAACAATTTCTGGTTTGAATGTAATGCGTATTATCAATGAACCAACTGCTGCTGCCATTGCTTATGGTTTAGATAAGAAAGACGGAGAAAAAAATATTCTTGTCTTTGATTTGGGTGGTGGTACATTTGATGTATCATTATTGACAATCGACAATGGTGTATTTGAAGTTGTTGCAACCAATGGTGATACACATTTAGGTGGTGAAGATTTTGATCAACGTGTTATGGAACATTTTATTAAATTATTCAAAAAGAAAACTGGCAAAGATGTTCGAAAAGATAATCGTGCTGTTCAAAAACTCCGTCGTGAAGTTGAAAAAGCTAAACGAACATTATCATCGCAACATCAAACAAAGATTGAAATTGAATCATTTTTTGACAACGAAGATTTTAGTGAAACATTAACGCGAGCTAAATTTGAAGAATTAAATATGGATCTATTTCGATCAACAATGAAACCAGTACAAAAAGTTTTAGAAGATTCTGATTTGAAAAAAACAGATATTGCTGAAGTTGTTCTTGTTGGTGGTTCAACACGTATTCCAAAAGTTCAACAGTTAGTCAAAGAATTCTTTGATGGTAAAGAACCATCACGTGGTATTAATCCCGATGAAGCTGTTGGTAAGTTAACTGTGTTAATTTCAAGGTAATGCAAATGTTAAATGGTGTTCTTTTTCTAATGCATGTTTAGCATATGGTGCTGCTGTTCAAGCTGGTGTTTTATCAGGTGAAGAAAGTACTGGCGATATCGTCTTATTGGATGTCAATCCGCTGACCATGGGAATTGAAACTGTTGGTGGAGTAATGACAAAGATTATTCCACGTAATACAGTTATTCCAACAAAGAAAAGTCAAATCTTTTCGACAGCTGCTGAAAATCAACCATCAGTAACAATTCAAGTATTTGAAGGTGAACGACCAATGACAAAAGATAATCATGTTTTGGGTAAATTTGATTTAACTGGTATTCCACCTGCACCCCGTGGTGTTCCACAAATTGAAGTTACATTTGAAATTGATGTCAATGGTATTCTTAAAGTAAGGTTTTGCATTATTAGTGTTTCAGTTTTAATTATACTTGCGAGTTTAGGTAACTGCTGAAGACAAAGGAACAGGAAACAAGAATAATATTGTCATCAATTCAAATACGAACCGATTATCACCCGAAGACATCGATCGTATGATTAAAGATTCAGAAAAATTTGCAGATGAAGATAAAAAAGTCAAAGATCGTGTTGATGCTAAAAATGAACTTGAATCGTAAGTTACTCTTTCGCTCTCTAATCGTTGTGAAAGAATTGATTCGCTGATTTCGTTTATTGTAGATATGCTTATTCATTGAAAACTCAATTAAGTGATAAAGAAAAACTTGGTGGTAAACTTTCTGATACTGACAAACAAACTATTGAAGAAGCTGTTGCAGAACAAATAAAATGGCTTGAATCAAATCAAGGCGCGGAAGCTGATGAATTGAAAGAACATAAGAAACAACTTGAAGAAATTGTTACACCAATTATGACTAAACTATATGGACAAGGTGGTGGTCCAGGCGGTCCAGGTGGCCCAGGCGGCCCAGGTGATGTTCCACCACATTCTTCACAAGGACATGATGATGATAGTTTGTAAAAAAAAACAGAAAGTACTAGGTGAATGTAAAGATAGGAAGAGGTCAGATTCTTCCATATTTATTTATGCTTGCTACGTTCATTCCAGTCTTTTTTTGCTCGCATTGTATCACAAAACTAACAGAGCAGCAACACGCTTTTTGTTTATTCAATTATTTTTCTCATTCTCTCTTGTTCTGTGGTGAACTTTATTCGATTGATTTTTTCCTTCTGTCTTTTGTTATTGGTATATATATAGTGTGAGAATTTTTGTTTTTGTGTTAAATATATTGCGACAGAGAAACAAGCTAAAAAAAAGTAATTGATCATAGAAACAGCAAATTGATATTAATAGTACGCCACTCTACAGTTGATAAAATGAATTCAGAATGAAAAACAACAAGAAAAATAAGCTGAAAGTTGTACAAATTGCAAATAGTTCAGTTTCTCAAGATTCAGCGTACGTAGATAATTTTTCATAATACGAATTCATCCGATGCAGTTCTTAAATATTTTTCAACAGTATTGTGGAGAACTCGGACGAGTGAATGAGAAGAAACATTGCATAAACAGAGAGAGAGAGAGAGATGACAATGAACAGAACAATTATTCATTCAAACATATGGCAATATAAATCATGTGCAATCAAATATGATCGTTAAAACCGTGAAGGAAGTTCATAATTTATTTAGTCATAATTCTTCTCTATCGTAGTAAAAAGACTGAAATCTGGAACACAATTAGCTTCTGTCATCTCAGAAAAAGTCTAAAGGCTATGTGTTTTCAACAATATCACAGAGATGCTTATGTCAAACGGAAATATTTCAGCGGCGTAACCAAATTAGCGTATTCTTTAACACAAAACACCATTATAAATAATAAATTCTAATTTTAGCATTACCACTAAAGAGAAAAGCTTTTCATGCATTCCTAGTACTCATTCATTTCCTTATACGGACCATACATAGTGGTTCATTAAATATTCAAGCGATTTCGTATTCATAAAGAGAGCTTTTGCTAAATTATCATGTTTTTAATTAGTCTTATTCTTTAGAATAAAGCTTCCCTAATGGATCTCTACTTTCGAAGAAAAAAAGAGGATAGTTCATGAAGCTGAATCAATTAAAGAATTTGCACAATAATATGACAAATGAAATATTTTGAGGTCGTTTATTTTATAAACAAAAGTCGGCCCAAATAACAATGAATTTCTTGCTTAGCAACAAATAAACCTTACATCATTTAACAATATTTTTGGGGACAAAACTAACAATTGTTTAACAACAAAGAATATTAATGAAAATTTTGTTGTTGCTGATAAGTATTTTGATTTGCGATATAACGATAATCAATCCGATTTGATGATGATGGTAATGGTGGTGGTGGCGGCGGCGGTGGTAGCTGTTGTTGTTGTTGTTGTTGATATGGCGCTGGATTATCATAGCGAGGTTTCTTATTTGGCCATGATTGCCGTTGATTATAATAATTGTTGTTGTTATTATTATTATTTTGTTGATAAGGCCGTTTGTTATTACTGTTAACAAAATTTGGGTTGTCTAAGAAAAGAAAACGAACTAAATGTATTGAATAAATAGAATTAAAAACTAAAATTACATGGCCGAAACGTTGTTGGTAGATGGAAATTATTTTGTGCATAGAATTGATTTGTAGGATTATTATTAATATTATTATTATTAAATAAGCGTGGTTGATAATTCGATGGCTGATAGTTTGATGATTGATGATATTGTTCTAAATACAAGAAAAGGAATTCATTGTGGCATTTAAAATGTCAATTAAACAACCTGAATGGAAATGTTGTCCATTTTGTTGATGGAAGTGACCTCGTGGTCTAAAATTTTGACCGCGAAATGGTTGTCCTCCACGACCACGACCACGACCGCGTCCGCGTCCTCGGCCTCTATCATTACCATTACCATGATTGAATCGATTATTGTTATTATTATTATTATTATTATTGCCTTGTTGATTATGAACATTATGCATAACTTGTTGTGCAAGTTGTGTATCAAAACGTTTAATATCATCTTGAAGGCCCTCCATTGTTACAGGCTCAAGATTATATTTTAATCGATATTCATCAGGTGTTTTAGCCATCTGTTGAATACCACCATTACGTTGTTCATGACTTAATTGATTAAAATTTAAATAAGTCTATAGAAAAAAAAAAGAAAAAGAAAAAGAAAACTTCAACCGGTCCTTTTTTCCAATATAATATATTTACCACAAGACGTGGTATATTATCAACTTCGCGTTGTCGACGTTTTCGTAATAAATCACGATGGCCTTTCCAACCAAGATGCTAAATAAGATTTGAAAATCTTTTTTTTAACAATAAATTTTAATTAAATCAATACTTTTTCTAGTGTATAAGCTGATTCGAATGATTTTTTACAAAACGTGCAATAATACGCATTTTTAATAGTTTTATTAGATGGTGGAAGTCGATAGGCATTAACTCGTGTTCGGTAATAATCCACTTTATCCAATGGAATAAATTCATTTAATAAACGACCAGTAAATAAACTCTACAAAAACCATAGATTAAGTAGAAAATTGAAAAAGAAAGACTTACATGTTGAACAGCTCGTCGATACGGTGGAAGACGCTTTAAATTATTCTCATGTTTTTCACTTGATTCAAAATGCTTTTTAGTTTTAAAACAAACAAATCCATTCAAAAGAAACTATAAAGATTTTATTATCATCTGCTTACACAAAGAATTGCTTTTCGTTTTCGAAAACATTGTTTACAAATATCACACCTGAAAAGATTCGTTTCAACAAATAAAAACGAGACAGCTTTTTATTCCGTTCAATACTCACCAAAAACCCGGTTTATTTTCTTGACGATGAAACATACGCCATGTTTGAATAGAATGTGCTATTATACGTTCGCGTTCTGGTTCAACACTTGTGTATACACAGTAATCAAGGACTTCCTACGAAAAAAGTACGATATCGATACATTGAAGAATTTATGTCTACTGGTAGTTTCAAAAAGTAGAAACACTTCAGAGATGGAAACACCGCTAGTTTACGAGTAAAAAGTGTCAGAACATGAATTATTTATGTAAATGGCAGTTCTGTGACTTTCACAATTGACGGATGTTTTATCAGCGAAGATGAAAAATCCCTGAAGAAAATTTTCTAGCACCAATGGAATTTCTCTCGTTATCGAATAGAATACAGGATATACAGGGGTTGCCCAAATTATAGCCCCCNGGGGGGGCTATAATTTTGACAACCCCTGTGTATATATATATATAAATATTTCTCACTTACTTTAACAATTTGCTCATTGGATTTTCCTGTGTCATCACAATAGCGTGGTACAGTCCAAACATGATCGACTTCTTTTCGATTGATTTCTGTAGATTTTTTATCGTTTATATTGTATGAGAGAAAAAAAAGTGTTTTTTACTACCTCGCGCAACAAAAAAACTTTGTGGTGGCATTTTTAATTGATGTTTTTCATTGTCTTGATTAAATTTATGCACAAGTATTTGATACAAATCATTGAGTGATGGTGCATGTTGATGTTCATATTTAGTATTATTATATTCTAATGAGCCGCTTACACTGAAATCAACAGATTGAATGTCAATGGGAATACTTTCAAATGGTATCTAAAAACAAATATTCTAATGAAGGATTTTCTCTACTAAATATTTTTACTACTTACTCTATTGTAAAGTAATAGATTAACAAATATTTCCACTGATGATGTTTCAATCGCACATCCTTCCTTAAAAAGTTAAAGAAAAAATGATTTTATTTTTATACATAATAAGAAAAGATTCACTAACACCAAGACGTTTTTTTTCATCACGTCGTTTATATCGATGTTCTGTAGACACAAAATGTTCACGATATGCTTCGAATTTACTGAAGGATACTGAACATAATTTACAAGAAAATGGTTTTATTTGACCATCATCTTTAAGTACTTCCGCTTCGTCTTCGTCTTCTTCAGCAGGTTCGATTTCTTCATGATTATTATGATCTTTCTCCTCCTCTTCTTCTTCTTCCTCTTCTTCTTCCATTGTGAAAGTTCTAAAATTAATTGGACAAAATGCTTTCAGTAAAATACAATCGAAATTTGTTTATTTATTGTCTCTTATACCCTTCATCATCTGGATCTAATAATGCTTGATAACCTTGTGGTTGATCTTCATCATAGCTTTCATTATATTCATCATCGTCATCGTCATTTGCAAACATTTTTTTTTCTAGAATGTTACAAAGCTTGTTCAAAACGAACTTGTTCTTGGAAGATCTGATAAAGAAATTTATTTATTTTAACGATAACAAAAAAGATGAAAATTAATCAAGTTCAATAATTGATGGCGTTCGCTGTAACGTTTTCTTTGCACCGTTGGCTAAAAGCAAAAGAATGGAATATGTGCCGCAATCAAAGAATATTTCCTGTTAAAATATACTTACCACTAACTTTACATACTTCACAATCAATTTCAAATTCAACTAATTTATCAAGCCAGACTATTTGATGATGTGAAAGACGGTCATTATGACTTTTTACTTCAACAAACTAAATTAAAAATTAGTAAACATTTGAAGCTAACTTGTTTTAGTATATACTTTGCATTTTTTGGATACCGGGTTCCATACGAATAAATCTGGAAAACCTTTCCATACAGCACGATTATGTACAAATGTATAAGTTGATATTAATTGAATTTGTTCGGATGTTAAACATTTCAAAGCACTCTATAATACGTCAATGATGATTAGAAAATAAGAATCAATATCATCTATTGTCTTACTAATAATGTTGATTTTGTTGGAAATAATTCCCAATTTACAACGGAACTCATTGTTAGATTGTACATATCCCAGTTTTTTTCAGCGACATCTTGAATATTCTAAAATTATTTTGAACTAATTATAAAAGAAATTTCTCAAATGTGAATTAAGCTGATATTTTGTTTGATAATTATGTTGTAACCTATCTGATAGATATCCTTGAAAAATTGGTCTACCTGGTCTATTCTTATCAATTTAAAAACAAATTCTACTCTATTAATAACAACAATCTATGGGAATGAATTTTTTTGCAAAGTCTATAGTAATCTCATCTGTACCTACTTATTCGGAGTACACTCCTCAACCAACGAATATTCCAACAGGATTTATAGATTAAAACAATATCGTCCTAGGTTTCAATGCAAGTGTTTTATAGGCACTTGAATAGGATTCTAATCTCTAGTAGATGAATGATCTTGTTCGAGTCGACCATAGTTCTGTTGAAAGTATTGCTGTATACTAGCTTAGATAAATAGTATTAAAATTTCTCTCTGTTCAATTGTAATCAGTTTTTTTTAGAGAAACTATGTTATCATAGAATTCGAAATGAAATAAATTTTAGTAACCGATACATTGATACTAAACGCAATAATTATGCAGTATGTCGCAGCAAATTCTTGACAAACTTCCTCTAACGTATTCGTAGCATACATGCCTCGACACTAATTTCACAGATATCCCACAAAAGAAACTAAGTATCTGGTTGGTTGAATTCATTTTATCATAAAAAGATAAATTTGTCTTTCAATCGAATAAAATATATGCTGCAATATTCTGAGTCAATTTTTCTTACTTCTTCAGAATTCAAGTGACTTATTCGTTCATCAATCTGGCTTTGACGTGACTTATAAAAAGCATCGGTTTGAAAATCAAGAGGTTCTGTTTGAAATATATCAATAAGTAGATCAGGTGTTGGCAACGTATAAATTAAATCAAGAAATAAAAGGCCAATTAATGTTCGAATTATAGCTCCTTCAGAATGAATACCTAAATTGGAATATAACCAATAAGATTTATATTGATATGAAAAAGAAAATTTACCATAAGGATAATCCTCTTGCGTTCGATAATGTTGAATAGCTAATTGTTCAACATTACAAAATTGTATTGAACCATCAACTGGATCTTGTATTGTATATGTTACTTTACCCATTCGAGCATCATTGGCTATTAGACGTCCAGTAACTTCAATCTAATGTGTCAAAATCAAGATTTTTTTCTTTTGTTTTATTATTAAATCTAACTTCAGTCGGCATTGGTATATTCCACATTAGTTTTTCGTCTTCATTGTTTATCCAATCTGCTACAAGTACTCCTCTGGATTTTGGTCGTGAATATAATTTTCTTGCTCGTTCACACAGTGAAAGACGATCACCTAATTTAACATAAGGATCCTTTAATGCATCATATATTGTATTTAAACATTGTTGATGACCATTCGTTTTAACATAATTTTCTTGTATAAGTGCTAAACGATTCCATAATTTACCTCGACGATGTCGACTATAGTTTGCTCGATCTAAACTAATGAATATAAATTAATCTGTTGAAATGAATAACAGGAGTAAATTAAAATCTATCAAAAAGAAATATACTCAGTAAATATTGAATTAATTCGATAGATTCATCATAACGTCGAGCTCGTTGTAATATTTCAGTTAGCGACGACAGAATACGAGCACGAACATAATCGGGTGAAAAGCGACGAAAATAGCCGGGCAATTGTTCACTGCGACAAAACAAAAATGACACTTTTATTATTTCATATTATTTTCAAGTATGTACTTTTCAATAGATGAGTCAATCATTGCACGAAATTGTTCATTATATGTTTCATAGAATTTTATTAATTCATCGGTATTTTTCGATTCTTCTAATTGAAAATATTCTGTTTGAAGATCGATAGCTTCTTGGTAACTAAATAAAAAATGATGAAAATGAAAATCTTTTGACTTAATTATTTTATCAATGAAAAAATTTCAAGGTGAGCTTTCCTAGCTGCTAATCTCTGAATGTACTAGTATTTTATTGTTTGTTAAGGACCATTTTGTTCAGGAAAACGTTCTAAACGAGCATGTGCTTTCGCCTGGAGTTTTAGTCATTTGAGTACATTTTCAGTTTACTGCATCTCTGTTATCTCGCTAGAGAGCCAATCTTTTTATACTAAAATAATTATCATTTTAGAAAAATTAAGATTCTTCTAAAGATCATAATTCTAGAAGAGAGTGTTATGGACATATAAACTTTTTAGAAATCTTATCGTTTGAAATGGACATCTATAATTAGTAAAATATTATCATTTGTAGTATAATATGAATTGCTGTCTCAAGCTTGTGAACAGTTTGAAAACAAATATATAACTGAATAATACCGGATCAGGTTCATCGCCTTGTAAATGATCATTGAGATACAAAAAACTAATTGATTTATTACGTATGCAGAAACAAAGATCCTCTGTATCTCTATCAATGACAGATGAACATGTTCTATTGAATTTCCTATATTATTCCGTCAATTAAAGGAAAATAAAATCTTAAGAAAAACACTGCGTAGCCCTTTCGTATGTATCTACAAAGATAATATCCTTGAGTTTCACGTCCATATAGTATTATAGTGCTGGTGTCATTACTGGCGGTATGTTCTAAGTATTTTTGTTATTCTAATATAAAATAGAAAACCGATGAAATTCATATGCTTGTTTTTCGATAGTTCTATCGAATAAATACATCATGAACCTTTACGATAAAAACATTATTGTTCTAATAATAGAATATATGTGTAACAGATGTTCTCCAATTGTTAATATCAGTTATAGACGATCAATGATAGTGCTATGTGAAACCTAATTGACTAGTCCAACATTTGAAATAGGCCATGACAAGAAAAAAAAAGATAATCGGCAGACCTGAATTAGTAGACTAGCCTTATGATAACTAGTTGTACTTTCACAACTTGCGGACAGAAACCTATTCGTTTAAAACTGATTAAACCCTATAAAACGTTGCCTTTGTAATAGTTATTAGAATAAAATACAAAATATCTATTTCATCAGGATAATCCATGCATCGACTATAATTGGAATAATGAATTCCAAGGCTGTTCAAGACAAGCTTAGAGAAATATCTTTTGTTTTTCTAATATTTCAATAGAAAGGTCAGGCCATGATCTCATCTCTCCTATATATCGTTATTTTACATCTCAGTTAATGATGCCTAGTCTTTTCTTAGTCTCACATCGCGTGATGACATATAAAAATGTTTTATCATAACATGGGTATTGCTCGCCTTTCATTACTATCAATTTATCGATCATCGATGCTTAATGACAATCGTCTAGTCTACGTTTTAAAAAATCATGATAATTTAAAAGCAAAAAAAGTAATTCTTATGAACCATCTTACCACTTCAATTGTTCAGGGGTTTTAAATGGTAAATATTCATGATTAATTTGATCTGCATTCCATGGTAGTCGAAGTTGTCCACGAGTAATTTGAAATGTTTTATATCTAAATAGTCGTTCGTTGAAAATTTTCTTTTAAGAAACCAGAAAAATATTTTTACAATAGTGCAAATGCATTTTGATCAAGATCATCCGTAGCTAAAAGTGCAACTGGGTGATACGTTAACATCATACGAAAAAACAATCCACGAACATCTTCGGATATTTTATAACAATTATTTATCATTCGTTTTAATCTGAATATGCAAAATAAAGAAGTTTATATTATCGAAATTTGTTTTTGAATATACAAAACTCTTTTAATAAAATATGATCACGATTTGTCGTCGTCGTTGAGCCAAACATTGATTTATATTGGTTTGTTAGATTTTTTAAATTTTCTATTGAGGTTTTTTTCGATTTATTTGTTTTTGATTGACAATGGAAACGTTTCGAAAAATCACGCATTTCATCACTAGTTAATAAACGAAGACCAGCATCAAGATTGTCTAATGATGATACTAAAAAATTAAAAAAATATGAATTTACTTTTTTCAATCAATTTTTTATTTCTTACTATCTTGTAATAAACCTATTTGCACAAGTGGATTTAAACTATCGTTATCATTTGTTACATCAGATATTTCATAATTAATAGTCGATCGTCGAAGCCATTTACAACGACGCATTAATAAACGAACAAATATAATTTGTGATGACGCTGAATAAAATATTTATTGAAGAGATAAAAAAAATCGCAGAAAAAGAAGAAAAACTAACCAGATAATGCTTGAAATTTTTTCAATAATATTAATTCATTTTCATCAAATAAACATTTATGATGTTCAAGTAATGATGAAAGAATTAATAAGAATTTATCCAAATAAAATTGATTTAACGAGAAGTTAGTTTCGATATTTTCCTTACTTTGAGAACTATCCTCACTGTTTATTGCATGTGAATCTGATTTTGTTCGTTTTAGTTTCTTGTTATTCTCATATGCATTTGTCGATAATCGTTTATTGGTTTGTCGATTAGATGTTGTTGAATCATTTAAACCACCATCGTCATCATTACTATTATTCACTAATTTACTAGTTGTTGCTGATTTTTTAATTGTAAAAAATTTATCCAATCGACTTTGTTGCATCTGTAATTATAATGTATTCTTTTTTTCTCTCTCTGTAAATCCATTAAGTTCTTTTCGTTCTAGCTCTCATCCTGAAAAAACATACATTTTTTTCCAAAGATAAATATATTTATTCATTTAGAGAGCGAAAGAGAGAGAGAAAAAAAAAGAGAGAAGAAGATTTATAAAATATAAAAGTTTGACGACAAATAAATAAACAGACAACCACCAAGAGTACACAGTTGTACATATTATGGGCATATACACGAAACGGAAAAAAAAAGAAGAAAAAAAAAAGAAGTGACTGTATATGGTGTACTACGTCTAGTGAAAATTATGCGAAAAAAGCAAAAATTGCACAAAAGAAAGAGGCGGCAGCAGTAGCAGCATGATGATGATGAATGACTAGAAGAAGATAGAGAAGAAGAAAAAAAAATACTGTAATTGAATAAAATTAACTCGCAACACAAAAAGAAGAGAAGAAAGATATGTACGCACACAGACAAAAACAACAATCAAATGACTAGAGTTCATAGAAAGTACGAAATTATGCCTTTAAATGTTACATATCCGTTTGATCTAGAATTATTTTAGTAGAACGATGTGTTGATGGTGATTTCTGTTGAGCATTTATCGTAGAGTTTGCTGTTATCGCAGGTGCTGTTGTCGGTGTCATCATTGAGAATTGACTTGATGTTGCTGTTGGTAGTGGTGCGGCCGATGACGATGAATGTAAAGATTGAAATGGTGATTGTGTTGGATTTCTTTTCGTTTCAATATGTGGTATTGGCATGTGGTCAGTTTTAACAACAGTAATTGTTGATGATACAGTATCATTTGTGGATGATTGATGAGATAATATCGGTGTCATCGGTAATGTTTGTTTTAAATTAACGGGTAAATCATCACGTAATGCACGTCGACCATCGTTAGCATCATCTTTGGGCATTTCGCCACGTTCTAAACAGCGCCAATCAGCATTTTGATATGAAAAATCTTTAAATTCATCTTGATTGATAGCTTTAACGATAACGGCTTCAATTGGTGTGAATGCTACGGGCATATTCGTAAAATCTTTATCGAAATTACTTGTATCTCGTGGATTAACCTATTCAATAGAGAATTGATAAACAAACTAGAAATTTGTAGTATAAGCATAAATATATTCTACACACCACTTTTGGTTTAAAGGGAGATTTAACTTGTCGACGTTCCAATGCTTCCCAATCAAGTTTACCAGCAAAAAATGCATGACGTTTTATGGCTTCTTCACCACCTTGTGCGGCTACACAACCGAGACGTTTTGCAGGATTTTTTGTCATGAACTAAATTAAGAAACGGAACTGTAATCAATAACAATCATTTATTTTTTATCAAATCTTACTGATTTAAGAATATGTACGGCTTCTTTTGATAGCCAAACAGGATATAGAACTTCATCACGTAGGATAGATTCGAATAAACTATCTTCATCATCGGCTTCAAATGGTGGTTGTCCAGCCATCATTTCATACATTAATACACCTAATGCCCACCAATCAACAGAGAATGAATAATCAAGTTCTTGAAGTATCTCGGGTGCAATGTAATCTAATAAAAGAAATCATGAAAATAAATAATTCGATTATACAACGTTGTTTCATACCAGGTGTACCACAAAACGTGGATGTCAATTTTCCATCAAATATACCTTCTTTACACATGCCAAAACTAGAATAAAAATATCAAGTTTCAATCCAATCAACCTTTATAATCAACACAAAGAGAAATGATTTATGTTAGCGTTTTTTTTTTACATCTAATTGTAATTCTAAAAAATAAATTAAAAATAAACGTACTTCTGAAGCAAATCCTTCACCTAATTAATCACTACTAAGTCAATAGCGTACATTAAAAAGGGCTAGAAGAAAGTATGAATATCTTGGCAAATTCAGATCGTTGAAAATAAGTCACATTTTTATAATACTCTTCAAATTAAAGTTGTGTTTCATCGCAACAACAATTTCTTTTGAAATTTGAACTTGACATCAAATAGAGAGATCGATTTATAGTAAGAGTTTGCTTTCTACTAATATATTTATCTCTTCCTTTTAGAAGAGAACATCGTTTTTTTATTCTGAAAACACTCTTAATAATGCAGTATTTTGATACTATCGAGTGACAGTTCCAAATTCTTTTGTGAAAGAGTATCTCATGGGAGTATTGAGAGGAATAGTAGAAAGTGAGACCACACGTCCTCCATTTAGACACTACTATTGACACTAGTTAGACATCATCACACCAGAAATTCATCAGCGCACTGATGTTATGAACTTGTGATAGAATAGTCTATCGACTGATGTGGTACTGTACTTTCATATATGTCAAACTTGAAACTTGAAAATTTTAATTTTCAACTTTTAAGCCAGTAGCATTTTGAAGAATCGTGACTCACACATATATCGCTACGAGTTGAAAGTTTCTATTTTCTATTTTCAACTGAATTCAAGTTTCGAGTTTGACACTACTGTGTACTTTCAGCTCAGATCAATAGTGTTACTAAGAACGAAAAATCCAGACCATATATCTGGAACGTCTCTTTATAATATAATAACTATTTCTTTATTCCATTGGCGAAGGATTGAGTGAAAGAATGGCGTTCTGAAATGAACAAAACAAACCAATCTCTTCGTGATTAGCAACGTCAAAGAGATCGTCTTTCATATTTTAATCCAGTGGGTATTGCGCTAACAGCTTTTTAGGGTATTCACAGACTACTACTACTAACACGATGCCAATAATGCTGACTCAGAAGTGATGGATGAATCACTCGAAAGACTTTTTCTTTCATGCGAGGCCTAACAATTCACTGTAAAAATCGATATTCTACATCCTTTCTCATGAACATGGAAAACATATTAGGAATCGTGTATTTTATTTTTTGTTGCTGTTGTTTAGTATCCAATATCAAATTCATTCCCTCAACCATAAAATCACATTAATTTAATATCAAAAATTTTAGCAAAATATAGCAGCTTTAATATTCTTACACTATACTTATGAAAACTAATTGAATATCTGTATAAAACAAAATACAAAACTATCAAAAAAGAAGAAGAACAACAACAACAACAATAAATAAGATTTTAACATACTCGGCAATTTTACAGTGACCTTCAGCATCAAGTAAAATATTATCAAGTTTGAGATCACTAAAGAAAACAAAATAAAAATAATTATTTTGAAAGAAATATTTTTTTAAATTTATACCGATAGATAACACCATGTCGATGTAAAAACATTAATGCTAATGTAACTTCTGATGCATAAAAACGTGCACGTGCTTCATCGAATTTTCTAGAACGTTGAATTTGAAACATCAAATCTCCACCATTGACATATTCCATAATTAAAAATAGACGCTCCTGAAAAAATTTCAATTCGTTCATTAACAAAATAAAAATAAAATAAAAACATACCTTTGTTTGAAAACTACAATATAGTCCAGTTAAAAATGGATGTCGTGTTGATAAAGCTAATATTCGTCGTTCAGTCATTGTACATTCAACATCATCATTTTGTATGATGGCATCTTTATTAAGCACTTTTATGGCAAATATTTCACCAGTTGCTTTATGTTCACCTAACAATACCTAAATAAAAAATATGATCATAGTTTTGTATTGCTTTTAAATTGAAATTGAAATTACTTTGCCAAATGATCCTTTGCCAAGTACTTTCATGAAATGAAAATCATCAATAGTATAATGATGCTGTCGTTTTGCTGAACTATCATCCGATAATGCTGATGGAGGAGGTGTTGGAGTTTTTGCTGTTTTTGAAGTTACTTCAGAGGTTGATGGTGCTGAAAGGATAAGAAAAAACACAGCAATATTATTTTTGTGAACGTTATACAACAATTTAAAAGCGTGCATTGACTAATACACTCAAACTAATCTTTATCCTAATCTGTAGTTCCATCATTCGTCACTCGAATGAGAATTTTTTACACTTTGAAGAAAATTTGTCTTATACTGATTCATACGTGAAAAATGAGTTCCTGAAAAATCCGTGCGCTTGAAAATAGCAGCAAAGTAGGAATGATTTATTTTCCTCAATAAATGAGTTATAGGATGGTGTTACAAGCTGCAACGGTGATTAAATCTACTACTAATATCGATACCAGTAGAAAAACTAACCCGACATGAGACTGTTGAAAAACACAGAATGGTAAATACAGCTGTTCTGGAAAAATTGAATCTTTCGTGTTTTCAGCGTCAAAAACTCGATTATAACAGTCGTTTGTATTACTCGATATGTTATAATAAATCGTGTCTAAGTTTGTTGTGATATTTCTAGATCAAAAATCTTCAAAAGGTGAGGATTTTTCCTATTGACTGAAATGACTTTTCATTGCACTATTCAATAAAGGCATTTACGCTGATTCTCAATAAGATATTTATTTTCTTTTGGAACTTGCTTCACAATATTTACAATAAATTTCGATCAACTGTGAAAAGAAAAAAACAGTTTAGCTCGACTTTCGCTTTGAATATTTAAGAAAATTCTAATAAAATATTCTTACTGTCGACTTCACTTGGTGGACTTATCTAAATAAGAAAAACAAACATGAGATTTTTGTTAAATATTAATACTTTCTTACTGTTACCATTTTTAGTGGTTCCGTACTAATATTGAGATCAGCAAGAACAGTAGCAAGTTTTTTCTTATCCAATCCACAGTCATTTGCAACATTACGTGTACAACGTTTGTGCACGTTTAATTTACATTCTATTTAGAAGAAAATAGAAAGAATATTTTAAGCGATTAAATTAATCATCATTCAATTAAAACGAAATATAAAAGCACTTTTTTTGAAGTTATCTGATTTGTTTAAAGGTAATAATATTTCAACGTTTGACCGTTATGGTCCAGCATGTATTCAAGAGAAATAGCTTACTCTACTCTGCAAGACTGTATTGATCAAACTAAATGCTTTCGTTTTTCTTGTGTAGTCAGAAGAAAATGCCCATAATGTTATA